TTGGACTGAGTACCCGAAGGACCTGGCTGGCCGTTCCGCTCTGAAGAGGCCTCGCGGCTGGAGGGAAACGTCGTTACCGGGTCTGACGGTTCACGGGGCTTGTCAGGGCGCGTAAAGGTAATGACCTCGGTGCCGAAGTAGTCCGCGATGAGGTAGAGCATCTCGTGGTACGCGGCCTCTTTGGGTAGGCCAGCGTCCTGCTCGTTCCTGTTGAGGCAGCGTATGAGATCTAGAGGGCCCCATTCCTTGATTTTGTCCTTGGACACGTTCGTAGCTGAGTTCGCGAGGAGTTGACAGTACATCCGGAAACGGGGTGAAGCGGGGTCCGATAACTGGGAATGAAACCAGTTGGCCAATCTGCCCTTGATAGTCTTCGCAAGATCACACCGGTTGTGAACAAGGACGCTATAAGAGTTAGAACGGGTTCTCAGTAATGAAAGTCTATGGCGAAACAAAAGAGTAGGTGGGGAAGAGGGGGGGGACTTACGAGAGAGAATACCACAAACTATCCTCACCTTTCGGCACAGGGCTCGCGAAGAAGGTGTAGGGGAGGAGCTCCTCCTCACTGTCTCCCTCTCTCTCTGGAATGACGCCGTATAACTTCGGATCTTTACCCTTTCCCTTTGGACTTCTGGCCTTTCTCTGCGTATTGATGCTCTCTTCTTGCTCGACGTCATCCTCTTCCTGCTCCTCGGTATTCTTCTCTTGCATTTCTTCGTCTTCCTCCTGCTCTCCACTCTCTTCCTCCTCCTCATCATTTTCTCCCTCATCGTTCTCGTCATCCGTCTCAACCTCGCAAAACTCAGGGTCGCTGCCCTTGAATCGGAAATTCGTCGTAGCCTGAAACCCATAACAAGCAATAAGATCCTGCCACTCCTCGGCCTCTTTTTCTCGCGCATCCCGAACCATATTCTTCGTCGCCATCCACGTCTTACCCATCTTCCGATGATCCCGCGCCCGATCGTCCCTCTCCTTCTGTCTATCAGGCCCATACGTCGCATCGAAAATAGTCTTCGTCACAGGCGTAGGCACATTCCGATCCCAGTTGGCAATCGTCAAATTAACCGGCGCATCGTCACAAGTACCATTAGGCTTCCAGTGACTGATCCACGTATCCTCGAATATCTGCCAATCTTCGTGCCCGGGCCGTCGGATGCCCGCTATGGTTCGGATAGCCGATCGGACCCGTCTGCTAGCCTCGAGGAACCGCCGGTGACCGACAGACCCAGGCTGGAACTCGAGACTTTCCTCACGGATTTTGGTAATTAAACGGTTGCACCAGTGCACAAACTCGTGGGCTGGCGGTCGAACTGCCGGTCTGGCGGCGTCTCTGCTGTGTAGGCCCAGAATTTTGTATGCGAGATCCACGTCCCCGTCGTCTGGGGCGCACCCGAGGATCACCCCAATCTCGGGATATGCTGTGGCTCCTGTCGGCGCGACCCACTGTTGGACAGCTGCAGCGGCAGCCATTTTGTCAAATGTGTCTTGGTGATACGGTGTTCGCGTAAGATACGGTGTAAACTGTAATCCGCTGAGAGAACTTTGTGGGGGCTTGTCGAATTGGCTGTATGAGGGTGGCTAGATCTTCGTTGAAGCCTCTAGTAATTACAGTGTTCTTCTTTACAGTCTTTTTGGTTGCCAGCAATCAATCTTTCTGCGTTGGAATTGTGTAATGACCTCGATTTCCGTTGTGGTTTCGTCGTTCTCGCTCTCATTCAAGTAGGAATGATAGAGCCTGCCCGTACTGCAAGCACCAGGCATCTTTTCACCTAGGTCCAAAGAGACCTCGCAGAACTATGAAAGAAGGCATTGTATTCCGAGGCAAAGGACGGAAAGACCAAGCTAACAATGATGGCTTAAGAGTATTGTGCTACTCATGAAAACCGTTACTGAAACCTCAAAGGCTTCAAGAACAACAAGGTCATGAACACAAGGACATCACATCCAAGTAAGGCTGGTCCGTTACCTAACTTATTACACCCTTACTTAGAGCAATACCAATGAAAACAAATGAATAAATCAGCATTGTAACAGGTAGCACGAACTCCATTGTAGGGCACTTGACAGTGTCCAAACTTAAAGACAGCACAATGATGATCATGGGGAAATCGCAAGACTCGCAGCACACTTTCTACGGGACCTCAGAAAGTGAACAGAGGTAAACAAGAGCACCATACGTTTTCAAGAAGAAAATACCTCTAAGGTGGCTCTATCCCAAGCACGCCATGCATGCAAAATCCTTTACAGTCCCATCTTGTTTGCCCCTTATCCCACGAGTAAAGTACCCAAAGATGTAAAGAAACTCCGTCCTCAAGTTCGCTTAGCTGTTACCACGACCATCATCTGGCGCCATCCTCGTCGAAACTCTTCTCACTGAAAGGTGACAATCGACGTCCCCCGGCAGTATGCTAAGCCGCTCTCATCACGTTCTTCCCACGTTCCCCTTCATCCATCTGCCTTTGGCAACTTTGAAAAATACCGATACAAAGAACAACTTGTCACGACCCAGCATCCGAGGATGAATGCTAGGTCGGCAACAAGGGCCCCGGGTCAAGGGGTGACAAAAGCACAAAAAACTCCTCAAAGACATCCCTCCTTGTCTTTACAAAGGAGGCTTTGGGTATTGTGTAATGCTCGTACAATATTCCACCACAACTAAACCACTCCACACATGCCCTCTCTCTGTCTTTACCGGCGTTCCGGGCCCTCCCACTTCCTCTTCGCGCCCCCGCCACCACCACCAGTCTCATAGCTCAGGTCAACGCTCCAAAGCGAATCCCAAACCACGCTCTTCTTCGTCGGACTCTCAACGCTGGCCCCGCTCCTCTGACGCTGCAGCCTCAAGGGCGATCGAGCTTTCTGACCGAAATCAGTGAGAAGGGGGTTAAACCTCGGACAGAGAGAGGGAGAAAGAGACACAGAGACGGAGACGGGGGAGGTTTTTTGCTGATCTAGGGGCCAACGAGAGAATCGATCATGTTTCGTACCTCGGGCGACCTGGGTCTATCGGCCTGACCCTCCTCGACAAGGGGGCTCGATGCCTGCCCTGCCTGTCCCGACTGCTCGTGGCCATTCATCGACGGTCCCAACTGTCCTTCTTCAGGGTGGCTCGTCTCGGTCGGCGTATCTGGTGCGACTGCGCGGAGAGAATTCGTCTCGCTGCCCAGTGCATTACCCTTGAGAAGTGCCGCACCGCCGCCACCGACAGCAAAGGGAAGGGCCCGTTTCGAGTTGGAGCTGCTTCGACGGCTCTCGAGGCTCTTGCTGAGCGCCTTGCTGACACCTTCGATGCTGTGGGTGTTGGCGCGCTGTTTGTCTTTGCCATTTGTCTGCGCGTGAGTGTGCATGTCCGCCATTGCCTCGACATTATTTGTCGCGATCGTAGATTTGCCCAGTCCGGGTGTGGCGGGTGCGCCGGGCTTGTCCTCGTGCGCGTCAATCAGGTACCATCGCAGGCCATCCGAAAGCTGGAAGGGGTTATCATCCTCTTCGCCATTAACCGAGTCGGTATCAGGGAGTTGCTTGTGCATGCTCTTTGAAAGATCCACAACGCGCTCCTGTACCCTCGTGATGCGAGCCACGAGCCACTCGCGGGATCGCAGACGATGGGCATCTGTCTCCCGTAAAAAGTAGTGAGGAAAGCCGACGTTGAAAGCCGCCCATGCGCCAGCCGTCTGGTTTCGGGTGGGCAGGAACAAAGCGAGGTCACCCTCTTTGAAGTGCTTGAAGGCAATCTTCTCGTGTGAGTCCCGCTGAAGGGTGTGCGCCTTCTCCCTGTACGCGCGCGCATCTCGCTGGAGTTTCCGGGCAAGGTGCTCAACATCCTTGACGCGCTTGTAGACTGTCTCAGCAAACAGATCCATATCGAAGGTGCCCAGCCGCGTCATGAAAGCCTCGTATTTCTCAGTCTCTGCGTCGGCATCGCTACTATTCATCCAGTACAGTAACTCTAGGTCGGTGCTATCGGCCAGAGTGCGACTGGTGAGCATGCCGGAGCGGCGAATCGTGGACTGACTAGGATCGGATAAGTCGTTTGCGGTATGGTATTGGCTCATGGTGCCCCTCTCGGACCTCGGAACCTTTTGGATTGTCATGATCGCGTCCTGCCGAGTGACCGAGAAGCCCAATCGCTCTAACAGCCGGCACAACCTGTCGTTCTGGGAGTAAAGACGCTGCGTCAGATCCTTAGTCTTTTCAGATCTAGACTCAAAGTGACCGAGCACAGCTGAAAGCTTGGACTGAGACTTCTCCATCTTTTCCTTGTAGAGTCGCAACTCTTCCTCGAGACTACCAACTTGGGATTGTCTGGAGGCAAGCTCCTCGGTGATAGAACTGATTCGTCCCTCTTCCTCGTCGAGCTTCTTCCTCAGGCTCTCCGAGCCCGTCTCGCCATCGGCAATCTTGGCACGAAGCTGATCAAGCTGCTCTCGGCCCTCAGCGGCCTCCTTTTCAAGAGCAGCCACACGGGCCTTCTCTCCCTCCAGATTTTCCTTCAGGTGCCGGGACTTGTCCTCCTCGGAAGTAAGCTTGCTCTTCGTTTCAGAGATTGTGGCCTTTAGGTTCTTAATCTGCTCGTCAGCTTGTTCCAGATCGGCCTTGAGAATTGATCGGTCACTCTCAAGGGTCTTCATGTTGGCGGCGACATCGGTAGCCCGGTAAATGAGTGCGTCGATGAGATCGTTGAGGTCCTCAGTGGTGTCATCGTTCGGTGACAGCTGGTCGTGAACATCACGGAGCGCCTTCATTTGTACGTCAGCCGCCTCCTGTGTGGTGTTCAGTACCTTGGCTATCCTCTTGGCCTCGTCGTTGGCGGTCTGCAGTTGCTTGTCGAGAGACTCGTTTTGTTCTCTTTGGAGCCGTGCCTCGTTGCGTAGGAAGTCGACTTGGCCCTGAGTCTTGAGGGCCTCGTCCTTCTGTTCCTTCTGTAGCCTCTCAACCTCGGCCTCCAGCTCGTGCATTCGCTCAATGTAGGTGGCCTTCTCGTTTTCTCTCGACTCGCCAAAGTTCTCAATCTCATCTTCGGTGTCTTCGATGCGGGCCTTGAGTCCCTTGATCTCGTTTTCCAGTGACTTGCGCTCTTCGACGAATTCCCGCTGCAGGGCCTCCATGTTCTCGAGAAGCTCCTTCTTAGTAGAGTTGGCCTCCTCCATTCGGTCCTTGACGTCGTCGTGCGCTGTAGCCCGGACGCTGAGGTCCTTTTCGAACGCTGTAGATTTCTCCTTTTCAGCATTGAGCTCGCTTTCAAGGTGCTGTATTCTTTGCTGAACCTCGGCATCGTTGGACGATTGGCGCTTTTCCAATTCGCTCTCCAGTTGCTGTACTCTCTTCGCCAAAGCCTCGGATTGATCAGATGCTCGACGAGCGTTTAGTTCACCTTCGAGCTGCTGTATTCTTTGCAAGAGCGCTTCTGAATTTCCTGCGGAACGGCGATGGTCATCAACTGTCGCTGTTGACCTAACGGAGTTGGTCGAATCATTCCTCTCGTGTCCGAATAAGCCCCCAATACCGGGTCGAGATGCTGCGCTTTGTCTGTGAAGCAAGTCTTCCAATCTTCGAACGCGACTTTCTGCCGTCTTTAACTTATTCTCGAGCTTTGATTTGTCGTCTTGGAGGCTTCGCAGCAACTCATCATCCCCACGGATCATCAAGCCACTTCGTCCAAGGGCGGCTTCGTGGACACTACCATTCTTAAAGGCCTTCAACCTCTTCGACTGCTGCTTCGTAGGACTGCTCAACTCATTCACAAGCTTCATCACATCCTCAATGATATCCACTTCGGCTTGTTGCTTCTGGAGGTGTTCCAGGAATTCTTCAAGGTCTCGCTTGACCATGCTGGGCCACGTTTCCTCTTCGCCGAGCAAGTTGACCTCGAGTCCAAGTACGTTTGCCTCGGTTTTGTCTGATCCGTACATGCTGCCGACCATTTTGTGCCACTTCCTCCGTCTCTTTGACTCCTCGTCCTGGAACAGCGCCATCTCGTTGGCCAGTGTCGACGAATCCGTCTTGATCTTGTCGGACCACTCTCGGCGACGGACAGCTTCGGAGACGAAAGAGGCGTACATGTACGGGAGCTGGTGAATGAGACGCAAATAGTCAAAGGTCGTCATGTCGTCCTCAGCTTGGTTCAAGACATTAATCTGATTTTTAACGCTGCTGTGTAATGTGGTGATCTCGGTGATGTTGCGCATAAAACTAATTGAATCGGCCGATATCGCGTTCCGTGCCTGCGTGACATAGAGCAACATATCATCCATCTCCGCGGAGCGCTTCTTCAAACTTGGGATGAGGCGTGACGTGTGGTTCTCCGCCGTCCGTGAGGCTTGAAGGACGTTGGGCTGCGTATCCTGGTACTCCAAGACGATGTGGTAATCAGTCTCTATCTTCTTAGCCACGGCTTCGACATCCTGGAGCAATTGCTGCGCCTCGCCACTGTGCGACAGCGCCGAACGACCAACAAGGCTGTCAAAGTCTCCTATCAGCTGCTCAAGTCCGCCATACATCATTTTCGCGGCCTTCTCCAGATCCGTCGCCTTGGTGGTGAACTTTTTCAAGGACGTCGGCGCCAACCGTCCCGACTTCTTTGCAGTGTCGATCTCGATCAGGTCTTCCAGCGTCGTCGTCTTCTTCTTGAGGTCCCTGGAGGTCATGAAACGCACCATAGCAGCAGAGATGGGCACACTGCGCGCCACGGTGAGGTAGTGCTCCCAGTTCTCGGCAAGCTGCTCGTACTCGCCCAGCGCAGGTTCTACCCATTTCTTGAGCTCTGCGTACTTTGGCTCAATCTGTTTCACACTAATCTCCAGGTTGGCCACAGCCGCATCGAGGCATTTGACCATGACGTCCATTTCGCTATACCGCTCCTGAATCTCGGCTGTCATACGTGCCGAGTCGTCAACAATGCCGCGGGCCCATGCCTGGCGCTCCTTGTAGAGAGCCTGCCATTCTGATAGAACACGAATGTTGCCGATGTAGTTGGGAGCGTTCGGGACAGCATAGCGCTTAGGAAGGGGGAGCTCGGACTTTGGAGACGAGGCGGCGTTTGGGGAGTTTGGTTGCGATATTCGAATATCGTAAATGTAGATCTCGGTCTGCGCCAGCAGGTCAGCTTTCAGTTCTCTTACCCGTAGTAGAAGGAAAGTATATCGTACCTCCTGGTGGAGAGTCTGCAGCTTGACACTCCGGCCTTGGGCAGTCAAAGCAACGACCTGGTGCGCCGGAATCGACGTCTGCCTTGCGATCCAGGCTTTGAGGTCATCGAGCCTGCGAATAGAACTGTCAGCCTGCTTCTCCAAGTCTCACGAGAAGGCAAACCCTGACATACGCAGAAAACTGTGTCGTGTCCACCTGCAGGCGCTGGCCCGTATGGGCTATCAACACCTGCGTCGCCATCCCCGGAACATCTCCGGAGAGAAGATGAGCTGCGACAGCTGGCCTGCGGTCCGGTCTTTGCAGCAATAGTTTCAAAGGTTTTGGCGTAACTATGTGTTAGAGTCGACAAAGGCCGTCGCCTGGTAAAATCGTATGATGCGCGCGCGCAAGGAACTCGCTGTTGTCGTTGTGCTCGTAGTCGCCGTCGTCGTCGTCGTTGCGGAAGATCGGAGGGAAAGAGAGAAGTATGCCCGAACGTCGGTTGTTGCAAAAGCGCAAAGGCGGTTCGTTCGCCAGGTTCCAAGACGTGACCGCTGAGGCGCCCTCCGGAGCTCGTGCAGGCTGCAAACCCACTAAAAACCTTTGGGAAGCATAGCGTGACGCCGCCTCGTGATGTCTTGAGTCATTTGATTGGACAGTCACAGGGCACCAGCCACTGATAAGGTAACGGCTCCAGAATGGGGCTGACACCCAGGAGATGGAAGGCACGCCGCGCCGCACCCGCCACAACCTTCCTACCAAGTAAGTTCCTGCCTTGCCCCACCGTCCATCCGGATCCGAAACTAAAGGCCGCCGGGTTTCCGTGAGTTCGGGGGTTTTGAGTGCGATTGTGAGAGAGAGTCGCGCGTCGCGTCCGGAAGGCGGGGCGGTGACATTTCGGCCACCGGATTCATCCTATACAAACTCGAATTTCTGCTATCTGATGGTAGAAGCCATTTTCGACCATGGATGAGCCACCAAATCGAAGCCTTTCGACAGCAAACAAAGCTGACGAAGTGCCTCCCCTTTTATTCTCCAAGGACGAACAGCGCGTCCTGGCTCTTTACGATGAGCTTCGCGACCTCGAGATCAAGGTCGCCCTGGTGAAGGCGCAACAGAGCCATGTCTCAGGTACAAACTTCCCATATCAAGGCGATCAACAATGTCAATGTCCGCGTTGCTAATTTGTAGGAAATAGACTCGGCAATACCAAACACGGAAGAAAACCTGAGAAAAGCCCAGCAGGACGCGTCAACGGCGCGTGCAGGATGGCTTCTGCGGAACAATATCACGGACAGCGTCATGACTGCCAACCCCATTCTCAAAGCCGTTCATGGGAGCACGCAGTCAACGCCCATCGAAACGTACGTCCATCGTTTATTCAATGCTCACAAAACTCACATGATTTTTATCCATGATGGAAACTACCTCTGAACTTGGTATCTGAGTGCTGACATGAACCAGTGATCTCCTCCCACACATTCGCTCCCGCGACAACGTCTCCGTCGCCCTCGCCAACAAATCAAAAGACATCCGTAGCCTCATCAATCAGTTGACCGAGGTAGAAGCCGAGAGCCTTCTTGTCGGCCGGCAGAACGTGGAGCTCACAGCCGAGATCCTCAGACTCACCGAGGACGCGGAAAAGCGAAGAGCGGGCGAGACCGACGACCCCGCCGTGCAGGCGGAGATAGCCAGGCTTGAAGCCGATATGAAGGCGAGCAGACAGCGGTGGAAAGTCATGAAAGGCACCGCAAGCGCTGTGATCGTTGGCAGTGGCGTGGACTGGTCCAGAGATGAAGCGCTGCGGGAAGTAGTACTGGACCCCGAAGATGACGAGTAATGAAAGCTTGCTAGTCCTTGGAGACCAAAAGCCCACATTGCCCACGATGCGCACACGATGCGCAAAGGGAAGGGCGGACAAAGGCGCCTCAACGCCGTGAGAAGCTGCCCGCAGACGCCTAAAATACAGGCTCATAGACCATCTTATCATGACCATGTTATATCAGGAATCAGGGCTCTGAGATGGTGCCGATCACAACGGCGTATTGCCACCGGTTTGAGGGGCTCGTCAAATGGAGTGGACCGAAATCCAAGCCCTCAGTACCGAAACGTTCGCTTCAACCCCCCCTACGCAAACAGTATGCAGCTACGGACCCTCAGAGGCTCGGTCAAGTCGTGACCACGGTCTAGGCTGGCGGGCCTTACGGATGGCATTACCAGACCACGGTGCTCGCCCTGCCCTGCGCACGATCGATTTACTGCTGCTCATAAAAGTGTATCCGTACGGCACGGCATCAGCACCTGAGGACCTGAGGGCACTTTTGGTTTCCAAGCTCACCTTCGGCCCCTGCCGCCTCCACACGATCCTCACCACTCACGAAGGCTCACGAAACTGGACAGGGCTTAGCGGCAACTCGGACGCTATGACCACGGCGATGTCGAATCACGTGGGTGAGCTTGGCTCCGAGATCTGCTCCTGTGGCCAATGCTTGAGCTCGATCAGCTGCTCTGTGACTGTCTATGTAGCTGTATCGCTAGAAAGTATGAGATAGCAAAGATTGACAATTGTTTGATGAAACGCGTTTCAATATCTTGGAGAGGAGCCGATGCGCGTCACGGGTCCTAGTCAAGTAGTTGTAGTGAGCTCATTCTCCTCTTTTATGGTGACTTTCACGCGCAAAGTGTCAAGACTCGAGAGGTCCCAGACGGCGCGAACAGCTTAAGCATCGAGAGGAACAACGCGTTTCGCGTTTCCATTTCATACCCCTGTGACCATGGAAGAAACATGCCTTTTTGGATTAGATAATCAACGTCACTCGAGGTCTGTCTAGAAGAGGGAAGAAGGAGGGAAAATGGGACTGAAAGTTGGGGGGAGCTTTGCACTCCCCGTCAGTCGAGCTCTGTGTCTGTTGCGACAGATCAGCCAGGAGGCCCAGGAGGAGTGGAGCATGGGCTCGCGTTGAACTACACAGTCTACACTACACTTCAGTCTCCGACTCTCCATGTACCTCTCGGGTGCAGGTCCTAGGCGTGAGCAGCAAGAGTGTTTGGCTTGGGAGGGGGTGTGTGTGTGGTGTGTGGGAGAGAGTGATTGTGTGAAAGTGGGAGAGTCTTCAGTCAGGGAGGGCCAAATTTTGCCGGGGGACCATCAGGTACAGCACAGTATCAGCAAAGCAAAGGCAACCAGACCAGCGAAATTGCCTGGCTCCGTGTATCCGCTGCAAGTCGTCGGTACTTTGCGCACTTTGTTCGCCAGCCCGTTACCACCGCCTTCCCAGTGCCAGCCCAGCCAAACAGGGAACAAGCGGGCAAAAGCAAAATGGCTGGGCCCGGCGGCCCTGACTGGAATGGTGAAATGGTGCGGCAACGCCCTCCTACTGGAGTTCTGGGCAGACACGGCTCATTTGGCCCAAGGGCACAACGCGCTGCTGGCTTGCCAATTTGCAGAGGAGACCTGCATTGGGCGTCTTGGGTGCGCTTTGGGTGCATTGGAGCGGGGGGCCGTCTCGATTGTCGTTGCAGGCATTACCCAGTCTTATGCCTCGAGGTACACGAGACGCCCGCACACTTTGTGCGCATGACGAAGTATTCCACCCTTCTTTGACGCCGGGAACGTTGCACCGCCTGGCTGCTGCCCGCTTCGTGGTGTGTCGGTGTTAGAAGACGTAGAACAGTGACGAGACAGACACGCCGCTCGCCATCGGTCTTCGGTCGCCTTGTAATCCTCAAGCTCCGCAAATAGTAACGCGGCTCTATCTCCGCTATCTCATGTGGTGAAGCTCATGGTAAATATGATGTTCAAGCAAACCATCTGTGGTGGTCTGTAGACTCGCATTGAGCATAGGCTCTGGTGGACATAGCTGATCGCAAAATAGTGCCTACACAGTAAGCTCTTCGTAGATCACCTAGTGGCGGAGGGTAGCTTGGAACAGTACTGAGCAACCAAGCAACCTACAATGGCCAAAGATTGTTAGTAAGCCGACCAGTTTCCACATCCGCTGCAGAAGCAGGCTGCTCTCTGGGTGTCCAACAATAGACACTACGGAGACGGATGGAGGATGTAGGAATCGACGGCAGAGGGGAGGCTGGGGAGGCCCAAAGTGTACCGTGAGCTGCGTGTGAGGAGTGATTGGGCGCATTCGCCCAAGCTGATTCCGGAGTCGGTGGACCGCGTTTGGGGTACCTTGGGTCAAGTAGCGGTACAAGACAATCTCGTATGACGGTACATGGGGCGAATGCATGAATCAAGTACCCAGATTCCGTTTCGGCCAGCCTGAATGCCATCCCCATCAGTCAGTCATCATGGCTTCCGGTCGTTCCAATGTCACATCTCCCTGAGCAACAGCGTGAGGTGCTGCTGCTTCGCATCACGCCTCGTCACCCGATGCTGAGTCTACGCCTCTGTGCACGGCAGCCGACGGTGTGCCCCTGACTGCCAGGAGATGGCAGCGTGGCTCAGTTTCTTGGATGAGAACGATTTCTAATTATACGGTGAGTGGATGCTTCGATAGCGAGTGGTCTAGAGGCGCCCCAGTCACTTGCTGTAAGCTCCCCTCGGGCTCAAGAGCTCTCCAAGTCGCGTCGAAGCTGGTGAGTGGCTTCGCGCCGGAACTCTGCCAAATGGTGTTGCAATCTGTGCCGCATATGAAAGCCACCATTGGGTCTGCCGTATGTATCTTGTCTAGCCGCGTGGACCAGCAACCCAGGGCGAGCCGGACACGGAGCGTTTGTCGAGAACTCTGAGCCGACGGTACCTGTAGACTTTGGTGCGTTTTGGAGGCGATGTCCTTGGGTGTTGATAGGACAAGCCACCTTGAAGAGGGGGAATGCCGCAAAGTGTGTCGAGTGGTGTTTTAGTGTGGATGAAATTGCGCAGCGACGTCCAGGAAGCACAATCACTTACACAGTGTGTGAGCGTGTAAGTCAGCTTGTCCCCCATTCTCCAAACATTGAATCCTCCACCACACCACAGGTGCTCCATCGATTTCCCAATATCCATAATCCAGCCGGCCGAGCTTTGTTGTCTTGGTAAACAGCCGAAAGTTGCAAAGGCTTGTCACCGGAAGACGCTAAGGAGACAACGTCGAGAACATGAGGTCACTAACACCCACAGCCCCAGCAAAGTGCAAGTGATGGGCATATTAGTGTGTCCGAAGTATAGCTTGTCTGCCAAGGCGAAGGTTTACTTTGATGGCGTAGGAAGTGATGTCGTCTCATAGACCTAATTCAGGTCGTGCAGACCTCGAATTCCACAGAGGGTTGGCGAGAAGAAGCTTTGACTGCTGTGAACACGATCGACCATCAGCCATGCTGTATCGAGCAGATGCAACTGCCAAATGGAAGAGCCGCCAAGGTGTAAGGTATCTCACTGCCTTAAGTTGAAAATGTCGAGGCAACGTTAGCTACTGAACTTCCGTCTTCCCCGTACGGCGTGGTCGGTCTTCAATGTCTGACCGATGTACCTACGGCATGTCTAGCGAACGGGCCCTTGCCATTTTACAGGCGGTAGGGAGTATCGGAAGTATCTTAGCGCTCATGAAGATGACGAAGAATTGCCTGGTCCAGACCAAGTGCAGTCGGACGGAGCAGGTGTGCCATGTGCCACTGCACGTCTCTGCCATCTGGAAGTACGAATAGGTACACAAGGTCGTCTCCCTTAGGCTGTCAATGCCTAGTGGTATCGCATCACTGTTGTATGAAGGATGGTATAAGTAGCAGGGTATGCTAGGCTAATGGTGCATGCGCGGAACCATCCTCAAATGGATGGGTGATGACTGGTGTTGAAGAAAGAGGTCGTGGATCCAAATCATAGTTGTTGATGGCATGGTGCTGTAAGTGGGTGGTGACATGGAATTCGTAAGAAGCTGAAGCTTGACGAGCCAATATTCGGCCTCTCACTGCTTGGAATATCAGCAGTCAGAAGTGGAGGGAGAGGGATTGGATTGAGAATGGGCATGGCGACTTGGGCGAGAGTCTTGGACTAGAGAGAAGTCGGTTGATGGACGAGAGATGGTCCGTGTGGACAGTGACAGGAGGAAGGGAAGGTGGGGTAAGGTAAGGTAGACGGAAAGGAAAGCACGAGATGCTTCAAAAGGAAGAGTGAAAGAGGGAGGGAGGCAGGAGCAGGCGCAGGAGCAGGCACAAGACTCAACCGCAACTCACCTCAGACATTGGCGAAAAAGCCGGCACGTAGCCGTAGGTAGGTAGGTAGCAAGCGGAGAAAGAAGGCGCGACGGCTGTCAAGTACACGGTGCGAAAACATGATATAAAACCCAGGTACAAAGCGGATGTACAGTACTTCGGTGCGGAGTTTTGCGTGCGCTTTGTACCTGTACAGTACCACACAATAATAGCAGCGGCACACCAAGAGCAAGGACTCTCCGAGGATGGAGTGATTGAGATGGGTGGAAAGCGAGCGACAAGCTGGGCCAGATCCGACGGGTTGAGACGAGGGATGGAAGGCAAAATAAGAGCACCGCAGGATGGGCCCGATCCTGCTTCTTTTCCCTGCTTCCGTTACCTGGCCAGGTACGGTTTTGGCCACGGCTACGACCACCTGGACGGATACGCGATACCTTACACCTGAAGCTAAGGCCATTGGCGCCTGCCTTGCAAGTTGCAGCTGGTCCGCTGGATAGGTAACATGTCGCTCCTTCCTTCTCCATCGCATTGCCGGCACGTTCGCAACTTCTGATCGCGCATTGTCCACACCTGACTTGGTTTGGACTGGTTCCGCAGTTTGATTTATTGCCATGGAATTGAATGAACAGTTGAATAGGTTGCGTGCGGACGCACTTGCATACTCAGGTGAAGTATCCGTAAGGTAGGGAGGTATCTTTCCGTACTGATCAAGGTACTGGGGTACTTTCGAGCATGTATCCGTTGCTGGCCGCTTCAAGGTGTGTGTAGTCGTTGTCCCTGGCAGATGCGACGAGCAGGAAGGGGGTAAGGTAGGCAGAAGGTGTGAAAGGAACGTGAGGTACTTTGCACGGTAGTCTCTGGTGCAAGGTACCTTCACCTTGTGGGTGGGCGCGGACTGTAACTAGGAGGGACTTGGACTTCCGCGTAGGAGGGGGGGAGGATGATGGGAGGAGAAGGATGGGGAAAGAAGGGTCAAGCTGGACTCTGGAGCAAAAGGCAAGAGAAGGGAAGGGTGCGCACGTCGACTGTCAGGGAGGGAAGGCGCGCCCACACCCTTTCCCTTCCCATTGCGCCTTCCCCCTCTCTTGCCTCTCTCCTCTTTTTTGCCCTTCGCCAGGTGGGCGGGTGCTCGGTATACCCAGTGCCAGGCCAATGCCGCCAGTTACCACCCAGTGACAAGTGTTGCCAACCTATGCCAGTGCGCAGACCTTTTTTTTTTTTTTTTTTTGGCCCGCCGTCTGGTTTTGGTACGGATACCTGCCCAGCCTACCCAGACACCCATCCCCTCTTAGCCATTCAGCGCGCAGCAGCAAGCCCAGGCACAGGCGAGGAAGCGACGGGAGGGAAAGGCCAAAGTGACAAGCGTCCGCACCTGCGCAGGCAAGAAAAAAGGTGACTTGGAGTGATCCAAGGGGAAAGAGGAGGAGTGCCCATCCACGGTGACCCCCCTTCCCTCCTCACTTCTCCCAGTCTCCCACTCAGTCTCGCACACGGTACGAAGTACCACCCCCAGTCCACTCGCCCAGTCGCCAGTCGTAGTCAGTCCTGGCCCCGTCCCAGACTTCCCAGCAAAAACAAGTGCACCCAGGCGCGTTGCTCCCGCACAATCACTCCCCCCATAGTAAAAAGGCTGCTTGGCCCTCCCCCCATACAATTTCCTCCCTCTTCTTCTCCCATACAAATCTCCCACCCAAATCCTCCTCTCTTACAATCCGCACTCTCACAATACCACACTTTACTGCCTTCGCGCACTCAACCCCGTGAGTACCTGCTGCCCATATCCCATTGCCTACTTGCACCATCAACCACCGCAACATACACGCGCAACATCATCCTTTTCTATTTTCACCGTCGTCACAATTTCGATCACTCTGCCTCGATTTGCAACTCAGAAATCGCTTTTTTACAAGTCGATATCGTGGGTGCGATCCGTGGTTGAGCTTCGAACTTTGGCGTGCACCTCTTCGTCTCTTACACGCTTGTCCATCAACCAGCTTCGCCCAGAGAGCTTTCCAGCTAACAAGAGCTTGACGCGTCCAGATCACCACATCAACACCTCTTTTCCCACTTCTCAAAAACCTCCTCAGGTATGCTTCACGATCCCTCTTGGACGACTCTGAGCTTCAAATCGCAATTACTTCGCGTTGCGGAGCGCAATTGCATTTGCGACTCAATCACCTACATATCCCGGCTCCCGCTGTACAGCGGTCCTCTTGCACCATGGCTTTCCCCCATGTCGGCGCTGCGGCTTTGCCGTCACGTCGTCGTGTCGCGCCGACTTCACACATTTTCAAGTCTCCGTTCTTCGTCGCGCCATCACATTCATCTTGACATTGAAGCAATTGGACTAACACCATATTCCAGATACTCAAAATGCCTAAGGCCGCAACCAAGCGAGGTGCCGCTAAGGACACCAAGAAGCGCGCGAAGAAGGGTACGTTGCCAACCCGATTCTCACTTGTCACGAGACGTTGTGAATTTCGGGCAAGGTCGAACTTCAGAGGTTGAACCTGGGGAGTCTCTCCATAAGATTCCACCGGGCCACGACTGAAATGACTTTCGACTTGCCTGCTTTGCACTGCGTCTATCTAGACTAGTTACCTCGCCATCGACAGGTAGTTAACATGTTGTCCAGACCCCAACGCCCCCAAGCGTGGCCTTTCCGCCTACATGTTCTTCGCCAACGAGCAGCGCGAGAACGTCCGTGAGGAGAACCCTGGTATCTCCTTCGGACAGGTCGGCAAGATCCTCGGTGAGCGCTGGAAGGCCCTCAACGAGAAGCAGCGCGGTCCCTACGAGGCTAAGGCTGCCACCGACAAGAAGCGCTACGAGGATGAGAAGCAGGCATACAACGTAAGACACCCCCAACCCCCACTCCATCTGGCCGTGTTGTGCTGAAGCTAATTAGTCCCTGTAAAGGCCGAACAAGAGGAGGATGAGTCCTCTTGATTGCTGTATTTCTGCTGCTTCTCAGTCCGAACTGGTGGCGTGGAGTTACTTTTTGCGCACATCTTTCGGACTTTCCTTGTAACTTTGGGCTCGGCGGTGTATGATGGTATTGAAATGGGTTGCTTTTCTCGTTATTCAGGATCGGCAGGAAGGCGGATATGAGGCAGGCGAAGCTCTCACGCCGCCCCGCGCGTCAATAGCAGAGCTGGTCATGCCGCCGGTCGCGGAATGAAACTGTCCTCGATTGGGACACAATGACATTTGACGGCTCACACATTGACAAACATACATAACTACCTACTTGTCCCATGGCGATGTGAGTGAATGTTACAGTGAAGGTGTGTACGGACGGAAGAGGCGCCAATCAAAGTCCTGCTGTTTCTGCCCTTGCTTCCAAGGGTCCTTCCCCAGGTCCAGGGATCTGGGTTGATGGAGCTTGTTTTTGTCCAGCCACGCAAGGGTCTCTACCACTGCGACCCCATCGTGTCATGGTATTTGGTAAGGCATAGCGACTACATCGCCATGTTCCGCTAATGCAGATTGTCTGAAGCCGGTTGGGGATCATTCAGATGCGACAGCCAAAGTATGACCAGCTTGAGTGGTCCGTGGTCTTGGAGACCTTTCCCTTCCGAACGGAAGCCGCTTCCTCGATTGCGATTGGAGGTGAGGTGACCGGTGAACCTCGGGGAATTCGGTCAGTCGGTGAAGACAGGCTACGGCAGAACATCGGATTTCATCGCTTGAATAAGTGGGAATGTTTCCATTTCATTCCGTCCGCCGTGTGATAGGTGCTCTGGCAGGACGGAAGTGAGGGGAGATACGTATCTCGTGCTAAGGACGTAAGCTGTCTGCCTCCAATCACAGACTCCAGTGACAGAAGGATCTCTCAGTCTCAGCACCTCCTCATACCTTACCCTTCAGGGTCGCTGGTTCCCTCCCGATGATCAGACACGGCATGCAGGTGAAGGCCTGGGGAGTTGATGTTGGATGCCTGAGCAGGATGAAACAAGGCTGCCTCTCTCTCCCGCCAGAATGCGTTCAATGTGTCAGTGTAGAAAAATTCATAAAAGGAGCCCATGGCCACCTCGGGCGCCGGCCCTTGTGATCTTCGAATGCCAACCAGCACCTCATTGTCGGAGATGACCTCTTCACTCATCCACCACATCCTGCTAGCCTTACCTGCGGCACTGCTACCCACCGTCTAGATGTACGTTGGCGCCAACGTAGAAGTCTTCGCCGTTCCAGAAACCAAGGACAGCTACCTTAGCCTCTTCATCATGGGCCACAGTTAAGGACGGGCGACTATGTTATTGAACACCATGGATCCCTGGCCTTCGTAGCCAGATTAGTTCATCGAACACCAACATCAAGTATGGGCATTCCGCATATCGGCCCAGTGATCTTTCGTCGCATGAGATGAACCGACGAATGTCCTGCAGCTGCTCGTCCCAGGATCTCTCCTGGGCTTGGTCCATCTTATCTCGTCCATCAGACGCAATTACCTCACGCATTACCTGGAGCCTTCATAGCCTGCCTACATTGTGCACAAACGAAGCGATCACGTCCATACTTAGCCGCCATCTCACGCATCGCAGATGTATGTGCCGAGGATTATCTTAGCTAGGCATGGCCCGCCGTTGCGGGAGGTCTACTCGGATCTCTTGATGCATCACATCACTTCGCATGTTCTACACAGCTGACACCTGTCAGTTCTATTTCCTCAGTACGCCTCTTTGTGCGTTTCGTTCGGTGCCATCATCACTCAGCCTAGTGTCTGTCTATCGACGGTATCCCGTTGAGCGCTCGAGACAACCTGCTCTTAGAAGCAGTCAGCTCGAGCATTTCGAAAAATTGCCAATTCCCCAGATGACCTAGGTGCATCGCGCGCTCGATCACTTACCTCGACTGTGTACTTTGTACACTTGCGTTACCGAAATGGTCACCTAGTCGTCGCACTTCGTATCCCGATACCAATGTTCTCTTACGTTCCCCGGGGTCTATGGTGGAAAGGCTTGTGAGGAGAGTTCGTCTGCATTACTTATGCAAGTGCTCACAACCTGGACCTCCACCCCACCGGCTCCGGGCCGGCCTCATTCGTCCGTTGATCCAAGTCGAGCGTTCCTAATGCATGCAGAGGGAAGCATACATGCCCATGGGGCCATCCCCAGCTGTCGTGGCATGCTCTGGCTAGTCGGTGGCCGGATCAATATGTGTTGAGCCCACACTCCATTCTCTGACAGCAATCTGACCTACATACGCTCCTCTTTGCCGTTACGCCCCGGGCCCTCCTTGCGATTTCTTGGGTAGCGGTTGCTAGAACCGACCAAATTGCATCGTTTGGCCTGGATGTGTTGACACAAGGATCGTTCTCTCGACTTGGTGGTTCGAGGGTCGAGACGACCAATGCCTCATTGTTTTTTGACACACCTTAGGCCTTGCTTGAGACAGACGACCAAGGCAAGACTTGGCCTATCTCTCACGAAGACAAGAAAACAACATAGCCAACATCTAACGAATTGTGCACGCTCTCGTACCCCTCAAGTCGTAGCTGATCAGTGCACGAAGACAACGAAATTCAGACACGTCAGAAGCAAGCACCTGGTGTTTGGGCGTGTGCTGCCAACACAGCGAGAGCGACCTGGATTGTTGGGTTTGAAGTCAGGCGGGGTGGTGGCGTGTGTTTCCGGGCTGGCCGTTGAAATCGAGACCTGCAGCTCCGAATCGCTGTTGCAGCCGCTTCCCGTCCAGTAAGTGGCTGCGAGTGTAGCGACCACGTTACCACTGCATATCTGAGATTACCACGCTGAGCCCATGAAGCAAACCATCTCTTCGTCCCTTTTCTCTTATCAGCACAATTGACTGTGGTCGATCTTGGTCGATATATCGTCAAAAGCCGTATGAGGCATTCGCAACGGTGTCAACCTTCTTCCAACTTGGTCACCACAGTTCAACCAAACTCCTGCAGGGGCAACGATTGCACGACGAGAGTCTCTAGGATAGAAGAGGTGAGGGCGCCGCGGGAACCCGACGACTCTAACGGTTAGGTCTGGTTCGTTGGACGATGAGATCCTGAGACGCAGACGTTGCTAGTTCGGCTCGGTCCGTCAGTGTAGGTAGGCAAAATGGAGCAAGGCATTCAGAGAATCGACTACCGCCTCCTTCAAGGCTGCTGCCTCGAAGCTGAGCGCGCCGACATCATATCGGTGAGCCTAGAAGGGCTCCGCATGGCTCTTCCTGAGGCATACGGAGGCACCATCACCAGTCTTGTTGACGAGATACGGAGGTCTGCAAGGAAGCTGAGAGACTTGGCGGATCTATCGCAGATGCATTTCACCAGGGTCCCAATTTTGCTCAACTACCTCGACGTCATTCTTCCATGTTATTGCAAGACACTTCGCGACATCACCGAGTTTTACGAAGATCGGACCGTGAGTAAGGACATGCGATGGCGAAGGATGTACCACAAGATGACACAGGAGGCCGGTGGCCTGCCACTACCTCAGCGTTTCATGCTCTACAACTGCTTTTTAGAGTCCCTCCGACACCTTCTCATGAGGCGCGCTAGCATCTCTCCTTCGATCTTGGAGATGACGCACTAACAGTCACACAGGTCGACACTCTTTGACCTCAATGGCTTAGAGACGCTTCGGACTAGGATAATCAAGTTGAGAGAAGCAAGAGGACTCCGTATGTTCATCCAGAGGCAAAGCAGCAGCAGACTGACTGACACATACTATGAAGCCACGCCAACAACTCAAGTCGGGCCTGTCCTTCGACCGGAGATTATGCTCAGACCAACACCTCAGGATCCGGTACGTGCTGTTGCCATTGGAAAGGCCGCTTGGCTGATGAGCCCTCCTTCCCAAGACATTACACTGGGCAGAGCAGATCTTCTCACTCCCGCTCACCTCCCGAACGGCTTTGAAGCACATCAGGCCATCGACAGCTTATGGTCCTTTCCAGACGTGGGGACAACTGAATATTCCCAAACAGGTCAAGATGCTGTTCAGAAGGTACATGTGCTCGTTACTTATGACTAGGCAAAGTCTTGCTAACGCCAGAACCAAGACCATTCGACGAGGATCGCCTTGCGTTGATGACCTACCTAAATCATGTTAACCAGACCCCCTACTTTCTCCTCAGGACATATCACCTGGGGGGCCAGTGGTTCTCACTACTTGGTGCCCACGAACTCTGCATAAGGCGGGAAGGCAGCGCCTTGCTACTGGACCGATACAGTCATTCTCAAATGGGCCTCAAACTATGGGCATCTCTCTACTTCAAAACCTGGGAGGGTTTGTAAATCCTCGTTCGAATTGTCGTTGAACTTTCCACTGACATCTCCCAGAATTGGTCCTATTCCACTGCACGTTCGTCTCTCTCAAGGCTCGGATTATCTTGACGAGCAGAATGAGCCCAAGGGAGTTCAAGCTCGGAAGTGAATCCCGACTCTTCCAAGCGTGCGTGATCCACCCAGTATTGCACCTCCGGCCATGCCACCATAGCTAACACCTCTGGCCACAGCCAAATCCTCGATGACGGCTTCAAACATTCACTTATTGTCTACCGCGACCTTGTCACCCAAGGCCTTCGTCTTCAAGCTTCAGTGTGGGATGGCGAACTCAAGAATTGTCCAGTTTGGACTGCTTTCGGTATGATCCTCCTACTTCATCTTCCATCCTCGCCCTTGCCCCCGTCCCTTTTCTTTCGGGCTTGAGACTAACAAGACACGATAATCTTAGTCACCCACCAATCCGCCTCTCCGACCTGGCTCGTACGCAAATCAGACCACCGCATCTGGCTCAAAGACGTCCAGCTTTACGTCTTTTGCCAACAGTATCATCAGCAGAATCAGAGGAAAGGCTCCTCGGCCGGCGCCTTTGAGATCGACTTTGTCTCCGAGATGGGCGCGACGCGGTTCATTGAGGAAATACAGTCGCAGGTGGATCCCTCCGAGGCATCCACAGACACCATGGAAGCTATCGAGGACGCCAGATAACTTTCAAACGGTGACGAGCTTCTTCAAGGCAAGGGTGTATATATATACCCACTCCGACTCCGGACCAATATGGGGCACCTCCTTCACCGACACCTTCCACCCCCAGGAGGTTACCATCCGCCGTTTTGCGGGCAGATGCCCCGACAAATTTGCGGGACTCGAAGAGTAGGTGAGTAGACATCCACCTACTCTCAGTCCGGCATGTTACTCGCCCAGCCTCTGTCTCCTCCACGTTTCCCAACGAAGAACTACTCTAATGAGCTCTGACACGCGCAACTCTGATACTTTCGACGAATTTCTACGGCCGTCTGCTTTTTTTCCCTTTCAGCTTGGACAATTCCAAACGTAGCTTCAACATACCGCAAGGGATAAGCGAGCGAATGTTTTGTATCTCGGAGGAAATACCCCGGAAGGTTGCTCTGAGGGGTACTTAATTGCCCAGATTGGTCATGCGTTCCATACGTTTCCTCCATTCTCTTTTTCCTTTTTTTACGACTTGACGACCTTGATGATCAAGATTGATGATTACGCACGCGCAAAATTCCCATATTGGAAAGACCCTACAGAAGAGGAAGGGAGGGCGCCGTCAAGCAAAGGACTATTGTGTGATTAGGTCAATTGATTCAATCTATGCAAATCGTGTACCATCGTGATATCGTCCACAGCAAACCTGGTGCTGGCCTTTCTTCTACTTCTCTATACTGAAGCGTTACTTTTTTGATAAACTCCCACCTTATCCCTCCCCTTTGTCCAAGTGCAACCCAATCATGCAATAATGCACCTAGGTCTTGACATCGGGCTCGTCACGGCCAATGAACTCCTTGAACTTGAGTAGCTCGGTGGCCATCTGGATTTCAGGCTTGAGGAAGTCCTGGGCATCCAGGTCGTACGTCTTGGGATCAGAGCTGTGCTGCTCGAGGTACAGGCGGATAGTGGCGCCGGAAGAGCCAGTGCCGGAGAGACGGACAATGATGCGGCTGCCAGAGGAGAAGGTGGCGTACAAGCCCTGGTTGGAGGAGACAGAGCCGTCGAGATCGGTGTAGGAGAAGTTGCCAGCGCCGGTGACGGTGCGGTCTATCAAAGTTAGTTTCGTTTCATTCTCAAGGGTTCTTCCCACAGGTGTTTTATCAGTGAACTCACCTCCAACCTTGCTGCCGATGAAGTTGGAGTCGGCGACGAGATCCTTGAGGACACCAACAACCTTGTTGGCACCCTCGCTGTCGACATCCTCGTAGTCGTAACGGGTGAAGAAGGTACGACCGTACTCGGTCCAGAAGTCCTGCTGGATCTTCTTGATGGAGGGAGTGACGCCAGGGTTCTGCTCACCGATACCGGCAATGATGTTCAACCAGGCGACGACAGCCCAGAGACCATCCTTCTCACGGATGTGGTTGCTGCCGGTACCGAAAGACTCCTCACCGCAAATGGAGAGCTTGTCAGCATCGAAGAGGGCGCAGAAGAACTTCCAGCCGGTGGGGACCTCGTAGCAGTTCAGGCCCTGCTTCTTGGCAACCAGGTCAACGGCGCCGGAGGTGGGCATGGAGCGAGCCAGGCCGTAAACACCCTGCTTCTTGAAGTAGGGGATGAGGTTGGCGTGGTGGGCAATGATGGCCAAGGAGTCGCCAGGGGAGACGAAGGCGTTAGCGCCGTAGATCATGTTACGGTCACCATCACCGTCGGAGGCAGCACCGAAGGGAATGTTGTTCTTGTCAACGACCTCGACGAGGGAGTGGGCGTAGGTCAGGTTGGGGTCGGGGTGACCGCCGTTAAAGTCGGGGCTGGGAACGCAGTTCTGGGTGGCGCCCTTGAGGCCGAGCTCCTTCTCGAAGATGGCGGTTCCGTAAGGACCAGTGACACCATGGAGGCCGTCAAAGAGGACCTTGAAGTCGGGGTTGGACTGGAAGAACTTCTTGATGAGGTCGAAATCGAAGATGTCCTTGAGCATCTCGATGTAGTCGACAGTGCTGTCAACAACCTCGACCTCGAGAGAGCCGTAGGTCTTGGTGCCGATGGTGGAGATGTCGACATCGGGGATGTTGGCGATCTTGTAGGAGGTGAGGGTCTTGGAGGCCTCGTAGATCTTGTTGGTGACGGATTCGGGGGCGGGGCCACCGTTGGCAAGGTTGTACTTGATACCGAAGTCGTTCTTGGGACCTGAATTGGGTTCATCGTTTAGCTGGCGAATATGATTTTCAGGGTATGGGTAGAGATCTTACCGCCGGGGTTGTGGCTGGCAGTCAGGAGGATACCACCAGTGGCCTTGCGCTTGCGGATGACATGGCTGGCAGCGGGAGTGGACAGAATGCCGTCCTGGCCGATGAGCAGCTTCTTGACACCGTAGGCAGCACCAATCTTGGCAATCAATTGGACAACCTCGGGGTTCCAGAAACGACCATCACCACCGATGACGAGGAAAGAACCTAGAGAGGCGGTCTGTCAGTTTCCTGGGAGGGTTACCAAGGACGAAAGCTGAGATGGATTTTCCATTTACCCTCGACGCCCTCGGGGATGGACAGGAGAATGCTCGTGACAAAGGCCTCGCTGTAATGAGCCTGCTGGAAGACGGTGACCTTCTTGCGAAGACCAGAACTGTGGAATTGCTAGTCAGTGATGGGGCTGCTGCGTGAGGGTGCATCGCGCAACTAGCAGCTATGGCGGGGTAGCAACAAAAAGTTGGACTCGACATGATTGGGGACGATAACAGCGAGGGGTTTGTTTTGTTAGGGGAGAAATGACGTACGTGCCGGGCTTCTGGTCCTGGAAAGGCTTGAACTCGACAGTCTGGACGTCCATGATGCTGTATAGTTCGAAGAGTGATGATGTTGAGGGGGGGGGAGTTTGTCTAGGTTGTAGAAGAGGAAAAGGAGAATGTTGGGAATGGAGCTGCAAGTATTAGTGTCTCTGTCTGGCATTGCCTGGGCTCTTTCTTCCGTCTCTCATGCGAACCGGCGTTGGCGTAGGTACGGGAGGTGGGACCGGGGAGTGGTGGGCAAGGGGCCCAGAAAGCTTTCAACGGGAACATGGTGCGGTGAGAGACTTAGGTAAGGTATCCGTATCCATAGGCCACTGGAAATAGCTAAGTGGGCAGAATACGACGCATTGGTACACCTCAGTGAATGGGAGATGGCATGCGATAGGCTCAAATTGCACCTTTTTAGTGAATAGCGCCCCTCCAACCTCGTACACATTGGTGAGCCTGGAAGCCTGAAGGTACCTTTCACTCAGCCAGAGCTGTGGCCACCTCATGGTGGGGGTTTGCTTGGCCAGTGATATCATCCTGAGCCTAGACGTGGGCGGGGTCACCGCACAATGAAGGAGGGGCAGCTCTGGCAGAGCCCCTCACTTCCAGGGGCCAAACACAGGGGATCCTCCCGGCGAATCATCGTGAGGTGCTAGTGAGTATCGCTCTTATTCGCACCGTCTTGGAATGCTTGAGTAACCAGGAGTAAGCAGTGCCTTTGATATTTCGCACTGTCTTCAAACGACCCCGCTACTCTTGCGGCCGACTATCGATTCAACTATTTACCTTAATGTAAGGTAGCTAATGCCAGGCAATCTTAGACAGACGAGGCATGGTATCTCACTCATCTCAGTGCCTCATCAGAGAAGGATTGAGCTCGACCTCCTTTGAATATGATAATCTACAGCAAGTTGTCTGCCCAAGCATCGTCCTCATCCCGTTCACTGACCGGCGTGTCCTGCGAGCTGGCCTCCCCTCTCCACGTCCGGCCAAAAATAGCTTCTCTGTAGTACTTGGCCTCAGCAATACTCTCGAGAATGTCCTCCTTGGCCTGGTGAAGTCCCTGCTTAGCTGGGGCACCGTCCACGACATGTGCCGGGCACCAACGTCTCGCCGCCTCCTTGAGCGAGCTGACATCGAGAATGCGATGGTGTAAATGGTCAACCACCTTGCGGTAGGGCGGCTTGTTGAGGAACGATCGGTCCGCGTGTACACTGTTGCCCGCCAGCAGCGCCGTCTTCTTCTGCGGGATGTGCTTCTTGATGTAAGCGAGCAAATCGTCGGCAGCCTGCTCGGGTGTCGTCGTCGACTTGACGACCGCCGCTGTGAGGCCGCTGTCGCCGTGTGTCTTGGTACACCAGTCGTCCATCTGTGCCATGCGTTGCTCCGTCTGGTGCACCACGCAGCCCCAGCCCTCGGGATCAATGACTTGCAGGTTTCCCGTGGTGATGATGCAGAAAATCTCAATGATTTCCTCCTTGTCCGGATCCAGTCCAGTCATCTGGGAATATGTTGGTCAGTCTTGGGTAGGAATGGCATGTCTAAGGTTGTAGTGCATACCTCGCAGTCAACCCAGACCAAGGGGCCGTCAGATGCAGACTGCATCTTCGGGGCAGGAGCTTTGGGTTTGAGAGAGTTGAGAAGATCCATGATTCAGGCGAGAATGACGTTGATATCGATTCGAACTCTTGTCAACTTGAGTTGCACTTCGTCAACAGCAAGATCTTCTTTTTGGCGTGCTAAGCTTGACTGAGCCACAACTTCACCGGGCAGAGCTGGCGTCCAAGGTGGGGTGCAAGCTGCAGCGTCCCGGCTGTGGCTTCCAATTGTTGCATGGAAGGAGGAGCGAGATGCACGGAGTACTATGGGATCCTAGCTGTTCCAGTTGGCGTTCTCAATGCTTCCTTTCTTACCATCACCATGGCCACTACCCAGGCCATTGCCATTGCTGGTAGGAACTCCGCCCCACATGTTCACTATCAATAGACAACTTAATGCGTACATCCAACTGCAATAAAAACTCAAGGGATTCAGGATGCATCAGTAGCATAGTAAGGTTCCTATTGTTACTGCCCACTTCCATTGCCCGGGCAGGGAGGGACGTCTCACCGCCAGAACTGCAGAGGAAGGTGCCCCACATCGGCAGAGGAGGAAATTCAGCCGACAGCCGCTGATAAGATAAAGAAACTGCCAAGAACCAAGGCAAGTACCCCGGACCACCATTCAAATAGACCATCATTCATTGGACCTATCCTTCTACACGTGCCCCACTTTCCATGTTGGAGCCAATACTCCAAGTGACATGAACCTCCTTCTTTCATCTGACTGACCTCTGTTCGTTGATAACATCCCTCATATCCCATTTCCAAGAGACAGGGTGTTTTCCGAGATTCTCAAGGAATACAAATTCGTCAAAAAAGAAAGAGAAATTCAACACAGCGTTGTCCTGTAACCAACAGATCACACTTCAACGATAACGACCTCGACATGTCATCCGTCAAGAAGTCGGGTTCGCCCGTCGCGGTCCCTCAAGATGCAACTCCAGTGCCACCTCAAAAACCTCCCATGTCTGCTTCGCCACCTCGCATTCTCGTCATCGGAGCTGGCTCTCGCGGACAAGCATATGCTCATGCTAACGAGACTTCATGCAACGGTATCGTGGCTGCCGTCGCTGAACCCATAACCTACAAGCGTCAAAGCTTTGGCCGAACATTCGTTTGGGGCTCCAACGCTCCCCAAGAAGGGCAACAGTTTGCCGACTGGACCGAGTTCGTAATATACGAGACACACCGCCGAGAGAGAGAAGCTGCTGGTGAAGATGTACCGCCTGGTGTTGATGCCGCCTTTATCTGTGTTCTTGACGAAATGCATCGCGACGTCCTCGTCGGTCTTGCTCCTCTGGGACTGCACGTCATGTGCGAGAAACCCCTCGCCACGTCTCTTACCGATTGTCTCGACATGTATCAGGCTATGAAGCCTCCTGCTGGTCAGGAGCCCAAGAATGTCTTCTCCATCGGTCATGTACTACGTTACAGCCCACACAATATGCTACTTCGCAAACTCTTGCTCGAAGACCGTGTCATTGGCGATATCCTCAAGATCGTGCACACCGAGCCGGTCGGTTGGTGGCATTTTACCCACTCGTATGTGCGTGGCAACTGGCGGAACGAAAAGACGACGGCACCAAGTCTATTAACAAAAAGCTGCCACGACATCGATCTCCTCCTCTGGCTTCTGAGCGCACCAGTAAAGGCTGGAACAGGCACCCCTCATCTACCATCCACCGTCTCGTCAAGTGGTTCGCTTCACCTCTTCAGGAAAGGTCGCAAGCCTGCTGCCGCCGGAAGTGCAACAAACTGTATGTCATGTCCTCTGGGTGATTCAGGCTGTAAATTCTCGGCCAAGAATATCTATCTCGGCCAGGATCTGAAAGGTCTCGCCTCTGGTAACACCGACTGGCCAGTCAGCATTGTACTGCCGGAGATTGAAGACTTCCCGATATCTGAGCGAAACAAAGTCCTGGCATCAAAGCTTGCTGAAGATTACGATGATTCCACCCCCAAAGACGTCGTCGCATCGCGGAACTGGTTCGGTCGTTGTGTCTTCGACGCGGACAACAATGTCTGTGATGACCAGACTGTCACCATCACCTGGGACGATGCTACGGACGGTAGCCCAAAGTCAACCAAGCAATCCAAATCAGCAACTCTGCACATGGTCGCACAAACGAAAAAGATTTGCGAGAGGTACACCCATATTTATGGTATTGATGGCGAGATTTATGCCGACGCCCGTACAATCACCATAGAGGACTTCAACACGGGTGCCACCCAATCATTCCACCCAACCCTCGAAGACGCCGGTCACGGCGGTGGGGACAAAGGTCTCGCACGTCAATTCATACTGGCGGTGGACAAAGTTAAGAACCACGGCTGGACGCCGGAGAAAGCGCAGAATGAATTCATCGGCTGCTCACTTGAGGAGGTAATTCGCTCCCATGCGATGGTATTCGCAGCAGAGGAAGCGCGGACAGGGAAGAAGGTGGTCGACTGGCAGGAATGGTGGTCACAGAAGGTTGCCAACACGACAAGTGATTAAAGGCAAAGCCAGTTTACCTTCGGCGCGTCAGTCTGCGGTCGGGGAGGCATCGGCGTATTTACATGGCAATCGGAGTCAACTCCGATCCTTGATTGTTGGGTTCATACTGCCTCTTCGTTCTCGGGGACGCAAAGCCGACGGGTTCTCCCCGGTTCTCTTAGCTCGCGAAACCATTTCGATTTCAATTGCCAGCCCCGTGAGCTACGCCTCAGTGCGAGATATGTTACGGTGTAGACGGGGTCGTCTGCCGAGGCAGCCAAGGCAGTCCCTTGTCGTACAGCTCCAAGTCTCCATCGTCACTGCACCAGACATATCTCGTCTGGAATTCAGAGTGGTAGCGTTGAATTTCCACGTTGTCCGATCTGATCTAACCAAAAAACATCGTACTGATCTTTGGAACGACGATCGCCACTGGCCTGCCATTAGCTTGAGCGGTCTTTGAGACGCATCTTGACAGACAACAGCCGTTTACACCGAAACTTCCTCTCACTGATCCTACAGCCTTTGCAAAGTCCGGGTCAACCCGACGGCAGCTCCACGTGTACCTTCTCTAAAGATGAGGAAGTGAAATGAATCTTTCGTACTCTTCCCGGCGGTACAGTCCGCGCTAGACTTTCCTCACGTTGCCGTTCTGTCTATCGACGCTGGTCAACTTCGTCCCACATCTCGGCGACCCACGACAAGCTTCCTGGTAGGAGCTCCTTTTGACTTCGCACAATACGAGAGACCTAGCAAATGTCGCCAGTTAGACTTGGAATAAATGTCAGCAAGCTTGTAGCCGCCTCTCCACAAATGCCTTTTTATTACTCATGGGAAGATTGCTCCCCGGCGGTCAGTTTCCCCGACGGCTTTTGACAGTGCTCGCCATACTTGTGGACCGACGATCTTGCGGTGATCGCGATTCCTTGACTCTCAAGTCCACATCGCGGTCTTCCACAACGAAACTCGTCAAAGTCGACTGCCCGATTACAGCTGCTCTCCCCGACGGTCGATTTCCCCGACAGCGAAGATACACATGCTTGTCCCCTGGCGATCCCTAACCGCCGATTGAGACGTTGGTGCCGCGGCCTATCACTGCCAGACTATTCAAAGTCGACGTTCCGATCTCCTATGATCTCCCCGGCGGTCAACATCCCCGTTCCAACGACAATGATACGTTTGGGACAGTCGGGGAATTCCCGAAAGTTGGTTCATCAAGGTTGAGAACGCTCACCTTGGCCTCCGCCAGGCGGTGCATACGCGCATGCATGCATCCTTTTGTCCTTGCCGGAGTTGATTCCGAGTCCGACATCCCCGCTTGTCGCGGAGCCGTTGCGAAGATTTTTCTGGAACACGGGGCGCCAAAGCGGACACCTCCCCGTCTTTCAGATCAACGTCGGACCGGCGTGCGTGTGACCGCAGGACCCGAAACGCCAGCGTGAGCTGAAGCGCAAGTTGCATGTATTAGAGTACGAGATGCCCGCCAACCTCGGGCTTTGAGCGATTGCGAGGTATGATTTGATGTTTACATGATCAATGATCATTGACCGAGGGAGCCTTCACCTTCGAGGTCTCAGCTCAAAGCCATACACAGTACACTAGTTCGACTTGATGCAGAGAACGCCGCAAGTTCAACGAGGCTAGTGACCGTTGAGCGGACAGTATTTCTTTGGCAATCCGCAATCGGCCGGATACCGCGGGGTTGCCATACTTACTCGACGCCAAGCATAGGCAATATAAATTCAAACTCAATTGAGCACTATCTTCAACAAATGCCCCCAGAATCGATCCACAAAGTCACTCAATGCAAGCGGTCAGCTCCCGAGGCTTGCAACAACAGTGCTTAGTGATCCTCGTCACGATGCCGAGTCAGATGAATGCAGTGGGCAATCGCAAGCCAAGCTTCGTTTCACTACGAGCTCCCCCTCTTCACTGGTGAGCTCATCCTTGTCGCTTACCCGTGTTTGTTGAGACAGATAGATACCTGCCTACCTATCGTCGCAGTATTTTTTTTTTGTTTTTGCCGCACTTTGGAGCGGACTCTGCGCCTATCTGTCTGCATGGTTCGGAGGATGGGACTCGCAGGACTCCCTTTTACTCGTACGGGCGTAAGACATCGCTCATGCAGCAGAAGTGGCGTTACCGTGTCGGCACTGCTAGACGAACCTTTTTTTTTTTTTTGAGGAGGATTTCCCAACCACCGTGCCTCCGTCACCAACTTCCGACCACTTGGGTTCAAGTCAGGACGAGAACTGCGCATAGTCGATGCAGCCGCGCCCGGCTGGGGTGGCACTGGCACCCCACACCGAATGCCGCGTTTAATTCTCACCAAACCTTAGAACGCAGCAAGGCAGGTGGAAACATGCAGGCTGGCTGGCAGGATTGCCGCTTCCTGCGTCAGGTGAGGGACAACACTGTCTTTCCTAAGGCAATGCCAGCTGGCTAGGTACTTTCCTACAAGCAAGCGGCTTTTTCATCTCTTCCCTCGGCGAGCCGCGAGACACCCCCAAGTCTGTGCGCCGAGGCCAACGGCCGTGACAGCACACCTTCTTAAAGGGACCTTTCATCCCCTCTTCTTACCCCCCCAATCGCATCTTTCAAAGAACGAATCGTGCTTTGACAGAAGATACAATCCATCGGACGACTCCCCGCCCACACTTGTCTCGGTTGACGAAGAAGAAAAGACGAGAGGCCTTTAAAAGAAAACCACAGCAAAGTAGTCAACTACAAACTCTCGCCAGCTAGCTATACTTCGTTGCTCGCCCCCATCATCTGTCAAGCTTGTCAGACCCGTCATCGAACCTTGGTCCCTCAACCGTCTGTTCACACTTTTATCGCACATACTTCGCAACGCCTAGGCAAAGATGTCGTCGTCCGGAGCTTCTCCCGCCGCCCCCGCATCCGAAGACTGCCCCTTCGGCCCCGTATCCCGGCACATCACAACCCACGACGCCAACGGCCGCGCCGTCTTCTCCGACGCGTTCCCCGTACAAGTCACGCCGGACCCGCTGAAGAACATGTACTTCCACACCTGCTACACAACCTCCGAGTCACCCGTCACAATGGATGACGAAAAGGACCTGGCAGCCTACGCGCCCAACCACCCGCGCATGCCGACCCTGCACCTCCCCTCGGGCTCCGTCCTGCGGGTGGTCGATTTCGGTCCGCAGACCGGGCCGATGATGCACCGCACCGAGTCGTGCGACTACGGCATCGTGCTCAAGGGCGAGGTGGAGTGCTACCTAGACGACGGGGCGAAGCGGACGCTGAAGGAGGGGGAGATAATGATTCAGAGGGGCACGATGCACGGGTGGAAGAATGCGACGGATCAATGGGCGCGGGTGATTTTCTGTCTGCAACCTGCGGAGCCAGTGAGGGTTGCGGGTAAGGTTATGGAGGATGATATTCCGTTTATGAAGGTTTCGCCTGAGAGGCAGGCGGATTATGAAAAGTTTATGGCGGAGCAGGCTGCGAAGAAGAAGACGGAGGAGAAGATTTGAGCTTGAAGAGAGTTGTAGATATACCTTACGAGGGAGGCAGTGGGATTGTTGCATAGGAGCCCGGAAGAGATCCCATAAAAATCATGAGTTACGCTTCACGCCTCATTGAAGAAGAATGAGAGACAGCCCACGTACCTAGTGTACCCGTTAGTACCAACATTATATTACGGTTTATGCATAGGCCATCTGCCTCACTCCATCAAATCGATCCGCAGTGATTCATCGGTGCCATCACTCAGTTAAACCACATACCTCCAGTGTCCCCTTATCATCACCAGCCCGCGTTACCCTACATGAGGAAATACATGTGGTATAAATCTGTTTAAAATCCATCAACAATACCCATGGCGTGGCGGGGAATGTCAGCTTGGCTTTCAGAATTTTCCCACGCTCTCATGGGTCACGGGTTCGAGTCCCGTTTTCCACTTGTAGAGACGTTTGGGGATCTGTTATTCGGTCGTGGATAGTATGAACGGATGGATCTTGGAATGAAACAACACCCCTGCATCAGCGTGTAAGTGATGCCGGCGGACCACTTTTTTTTCTTTGGCGTGCTGAGGTGCTTCTTTCGCCAGAAGAAGTTTCCTTCCTGCTGCTAGATCACATAAAAATGTCACTATCCCGTTGCCTCAGTATGGGGAACCAGATGTTGTGAGGCCACATGCGAGCTTACGGCCAGAGGAGCAACATGTCCCAGCGTGGCTCTGTGCCGTGTGGCTGGTGCCAACTGCCCGAAAGCATCATCGGCGGTCCGTGTTGGGGTCATACTTGCTTCTTGCCAGACTTGCCTCTTTCTTTTGACGCTCTGTCCCCGAGAAAGGAAAGAGAGAAGAAAAAAAGAAAGAAGAAGAAAAGAATACCTCTGAGTACTGATCACGATAATTGATGAAGTCTACCTTTCCACGTCTTCACGGGGTTTTGGCGGCTAGGTAGCCTTCATGTTGCATGTCCAGAGAGGCACATTTCAATCTATTGGTCGAGAACAAGCTTACCTAAGCAAACTGAGCTGCTCCGCGCTGTTCCTGTCCGAGACCTGGGCTTGGCACCTTGGGTGGCCTCTGTTGTAGGTGGTATGGAATACCAGGTACTCACTTTGGAACCCACAAGGCCGGGAAGAGGGCCAATATGCTGGGGCATTCGTACCATTCTCTGGAGTTTGATGAACTATGATTTTACCTTGACCCCAACGATATGTTGATAGGAAGAGACGCTCACCTCCAGCTATCGAGATCAACCCCCACTAGCCGTAGTGATCCAGACTGAGGTGGGCCCTTGCTCCCGCCTCAGTGTGGTACCTGAGGTATCCACTACCCCGAATGCAACACCCCCTGATCCACCCCGAGAAAGTGGACCCAGCCACCGGGGTTCACCAAAAGAAAAAATAAAAAACGAAAATTTCGACATGCGCCGCTATCGTCTACATCTCATCCTCCTTCTCATCCATCCAGCCTCGTCTCACAACGTCCTAATCGCCCCCTTTTAATTCCCACCTTAACTCATCTGCTCTTCAGCGACAGCTCATCTCATCTATATTTCCAATCCTCACATCACTTGCACTTCTCCAAAACCCCCCACCTCTCACATACACACAAAACCAAAACCAACACACAATGCCTCGCCGCGCCGCACCAGAACCCAAGCCCCGCAAACCGCAATACTCCCCCGAAAAGCGCGCCCGCATCGCCGTCCTCTCGGAGCTCGGCATGTCCCTCAAAGAGATCTCCATCAAGGAGGAAGTCCCCGTCTCCTCCATCAAGGGCATCGTCACGCGCTACCGCCTCCAGCAGGCAGGGCGCGACCGGCCCCGTCCGGGCCGCCCCCGCATCCTCTCCGATCGGGACGTCAAGACGCTCCTCCGCGTGCTGCAGGAGAAGCCGGCCTGCTCGTACGGCGAGCTGAAGCGCGACGCGGGCGTGACGTGCGCGACAAAGACGCTGGTGCGGTATTTGCAGATGGAGGGGCTGAAGCCTACGAAGCCACCCGCGGGCGATTCCGAGGAGGAGGCGGAGAGGATGAGGGTTTTGGTTGAGGAGGGTGAGGGAGAGGAGGTTTGAGACGATTTGAAGTCCAACTTCGCCGCGGCAATGATGGCGGAGAGATCTAAGCATGTCGAGCCTGGGGGGGCGGCTTAACCCGCAGGCTTGCAATCACCGATACTCATCTATTCCAGATTGACTTATCTGTAGGTTTCCTCTCATCTTGGGCTCGACGTCGGCGCTGACTATTTAGACAATGACGGCCATTGTCTTGGGAGGGAGGCAACATAAGAGCTCGCCTTTTATGGGAAGGAGGTTTACGGATTACCAGCCCAGGCTCCTGTTGATGAGACCATTCAAGGGGGGCCCGAGAGAACCGTCATCTCGGCAAGGATGCAGCTTCTGCGCCGTTTATCAACAGGGATGCATAAGTCGGACCACAGGCACGGCGATTTCCTCCAGGAACCTGCCACAACAGACGATGGCCCGCAATGAGGCGTCCTACGTTACGGCTACCCATGTAGTCTTATGCGGTGGGAGGGAAGAATCACCCTGCGTCGTGGTGTATGAGGAAAACTATCTAGATAGAGGGAAGGATTATGATATCACGCAGCAACGAAGCAAAACGTGGCGTGTACTTTGTCTATCATACGATGCGAGGTTCAGTAAGTGGGGTTTGGCGTTCCCGATGGAGGTCTCCAAGATGAGCATGGAAAAGGAGAGAAGGCCCATGGAGGCGACGATCGCTTCTCCAATCTCATGGGCGTCGCCAAAGACTTCTCACTGACAACGGGCTATCATGTAACGTAACCATTTCTCAAAAAGAAGAGAGACTTACTCACCGGTCGCCCATCGCTCTGTCCAAATGCCTCAAATACGCCCCAGCACCACGACCCCCATCTTCATCCTCCTCCCCCTGACGAACCAACAACCCTTCCCCCTCAGCCCGAACCCTCCATGCATCCCAATCAACGTTAACAATTCTCCGATCAACAAACACCAACCTCCCGCCCTCCCCCAACGCCGGCGCAAAGACCTTGACCCAATTCACCTCCCCATCAACCTCCTCCTGCTGCTCGTCCTTCTCCCACTCACACACTCGCGACCTACCGTACCTCTCCCCCGTCCTCAACCCCGCGATGACAAGACACCGGAGCCGAAGACACCCCATCCTCACCGCGGCACACCGGATCGCGTCCCGGAGGAACCCACCACCACCACTCGCATACGTCCGCAAATCCAAAAAGAGCGTCTCAAGCTGCATCATGGCAGCCCAGTCTACTGCGATAAACTCCTCATCGGGAAAGCCCCGTTCGATGAAGAACGCCATGTCGCTTCGGAACTCGGTCACGGCGTTGCGGCGCAGCCGCAGCTGGAGATAGGGGTCGGAGGGGAGGCTGTTGAACATTAGGTGACGAGGCAACGACAACGACGTGTCTGATCTTGCTGCTCTTCTTGGATGAGAATGGTCGGCACCCCGTCCGTGACAGCAACTAGTCTCACGAAAGACGAGCGCACCGGAAGCCATACACCTACCTATCCCATCATCATGTCCCCTCGGCCAAACCTGCTCAAACACTCTCAGCCCGTTTCGTCCGAGGTCGCGCAGAGCCCAGTCCATCGCAGCCGGGAACCTCTTGCCGAGCTCTTCCTCCAGCAGCAATGCACCGTGCTGTTGCTGTCGCTCGCGTGAACCGTCTGCCTGCCTCATCAACGGAAACGAAGCGTGATCCCCGTCCCCGTGCCGCACCCCGGACTCGTACTTACCTCGAACGCTGCCACCGCCCTTGGTATAGACGTCGATCCGCTGAAGGTCGTAAATCTCGTTGACGGGATCTGAGGCGCGGGCGCAGACGGCCCAGTCCGGGACGAAGAGGGATAAGATGCAGGGGCTGCTACTTACTGTGAGGTAGTCGTAGAGGATGTGCTTCTGGAGCTCGAGCGGGAGTAAGGTCAGACGGTCGAGGATGGTTGGGTGACCTTGTTGCAGCGCTTGTTGAAGATCCATAGTCGTACGCATAGGAGGATGAGGGAGTGTGTGGCGTGGGAGTTTGCAAGGATAGAGGTCCTGATACGGTACTAGTTGGTGTTCTGCTATGGATTTTAGACAACTTTCGATGGTCGGACGGAACTGAGTACCGAGAACGTGGGATCTACAAGGGTGGCAGGGCTTAAGATGCCTTTTTAATAGATAACTCGACTTTGTGCTGTGGGACGGACCTCGGGCCGCAAGTCTGTTTCCCTTTGTTTTCGTTCAAGTTCCCGACAACGATCCTGGTCCGGTGCTCTGGGTTCCAGGCTGTGAACAATGCCATTGACGTTCGAGGCCCAGCCAGTCCTCGAGACCTGGAACATTGTAGTACATACGAAATCATATCTCAGAGGCTCAAACCGAAAAAGGACTCTTTCCATCAGTCGAAGACTATCGAATCTTGTTCCGGCAACCTCAGCCCGAGACCTTGAATAGTTGTCCGAGGAGCCCCGGGTGCCTCACGATGATGTACGAACCAACGGCGATGTTCTAGATTATGAAAGGATTTCCAAGACAGCTTTTTCAGTCGACATGTCACAAAGTCGCCAGCTACTTCCCAATGTCTGACGACCCGACTGTCAGACTTCTTCGGTAATGAGAAAGGTTATTGGCTCCAACCATTCGAGCCAGGCGGGCAAGCGCCGATTCGACTGTCAAAACAGGAGTCGTCGAGTTGAGCTCAAGAGCCGAAGAGATTGATGTGAAAATTGAAAACGACCTCTCAATAAGATGATTGAGAATTCAGCTACCGTGATACTTTTCCGTAATCTTGTGAACTTTCACTTATCGCTCACCATCTTGAAATCGTCTGGATACAACATGAGAGGTTGTATTTCGTACCTCCCTCCCACAACCACCTCATCCATTATCCCGTCTTCTCCATTGTGTCTAATAACAGAGTCGAAAGTCAGAGACCGATTCCACGCAGCAGGCAGGCTTTGATCCTCAAGCACCTAAACCACGACGAAAAGTCCATCATCATGTTCCATCACAGAATTCGATCCAAACGGGCTGTAGCACATCGGGCCGCCGCTAATTGCAAAATTATACACAACGTGTAGTCGGACGCTGATGGAAAGGAGACGAAGGTTCAAATGCAACATAGCCAGCTCGGCCACACTTTCTTAGTCAAACGACACAATCTCACATCAAGCCAAGTCATATTTTTTTCATCAATAAATTCGTTCATGATGAGACCATATTTGTCTATTCAAAAGTTCCCAACATCCTCCTCATCGATGGAGTACATCTCACTCCTCGCGCTCCACAATCTCAAAGTCATCCTCCGACTCAGCCAGCCCTCTTCTTCTCGTCAGGGTATTCGTCACGTTCAACCCAGTCATACTCCGACAACTTATCCAAGCCATCGGCAACACCTACCTTTCAGTCAGTCTCATACGCCCCTCTCACTCAATCGTGATTTTCGGGCGAGTTGTGCTGGTACTCGAACTACGAGACGCCCGCGCCACCGACTCACCTTGCTCCTTCACGTCATTGTTTCTCTTCTCCTCGGAATAGGCTGCCGTGTTAGTCTTACCGGCCGTAGGCACATCTCCGTATGCCTCCTTTGCAGATGTGTCGAGTTTGGTCGTCTGGGACTTCTCACCAGCCTCAGGTGCCTTGCCCTCAAGCTCGAAAGTATCACTGCCACTCGACGAATCCCACCCCTCTCCTCCCCTATACTCACCACCATGAGCATCGTCCCAGCCCCCGAACGCGACTCCCGGGTATCGATGCCCGCCCCCATTCTCTACGTCAGGCATCTCGTAGTCGTCGAATCCAGGCACCGGGTAGCCCGTCCCGTCGCCAAAAGCATTCTCGGAACCTTCGAGAGCGCCAAGATTAGCGCACTCCCACCATGCAGCCTCCCCTTGCTGCAGCCTGTCCTCGCAGAACCTCGCTTCCGTGATCAGGCCCAGATCGATCAACAAGTCCACCACATCGTATTGAGCGCCCTCCTCTTCCTGGGCCCACGCCAGCAGCCGCATCACGCACATGAACTCCGTCGGCTCGGCATCACGGCTCCATTCGAGCAGTCGACAGCAGATGCGAGCCCAGGTTGCGATCCACTCGACATCCAGGGACCCCGCTGCCTCGCGGAACTCGATCGTGTGGTCTTTCGTAGGGTAAGTCGTCCGCATCGTGTTTCCGTCCTGAGGGGCGAGATGTTCGACAGAGTAGAAATCATAGGCTTTGAACTTGTAGTTAATATGCTTGGGGAGAAAAGCAGGCGTCATCAGTTGCCCAACCTGTGCGACTGTCATGTCGGCACCGAGGAGATCCCTGACGCCAGACATGACGTCCCATCGAGCCGGCTGGTTGACTTCCACGCATTCGATACTTCCTCCTTGGCCTAGGATGTACCCGTCCAGGAAGTCGGGGTCTCCGCGGATGTCTTTTCGCATCCTTCCGGGAACACGAGTGTAGCGTCTGTTGATCGGGGGAGGCCGAGGTCGTGGTGGAGCTGCGCTGTTGGCTGTAGAGGTGCGGTAGTACTTCGGCATCGATACAGGAGCATCGTATTTATGTGGAGGAAACCCAAATGGCGAGGTTGAGCGAGCTTCGGAACTTTTTGGGTCTCTGACGTCGGGGATGGCCCGTCGATGCTGCCATGGTTCGTGACTCGTAAGAAGGGCCTCATCGTCCTCTTGATCTAAGTTCATCTCGTGGTTCATCGTCTCGAAGGTCGTGTCAACCTCAATCGAATCACCAAGCCAGCGGTCTCTTCCCAGAACTTTCATCTTCTTCAAATCCTGTGGGGCAATGTTTTTGTCAATAGTCGCTCCTGCGGGGCCTTTGCCCTGTCCCAAAGGTGTAGCTTCATTCACTCGAGCAGACTGGCTGTAGGCGAGGGTAGCACGCCAAGGAGGATGAAGTCGACTGATGAGGGGGTCAGCGGCCCATAGAAGGGCAGCAAAATGTCGCAATGTCCTTGCGTCGATTCGTTGTGTCGGTCCTACACCTACATGAACGTGGAACCCACAGCTAGGGTTCACTCGGCATCGGAAGTTAGTAGTGATTACACTTACCGCAAGACGTGTCATATCAAAAGACAGGTTCATATTGTACATGGCCGGTGATATCATTTCGACGCGCTGCCAGCGGTAGCCGTCGACGTGGTCCGCCTTGAGAGACATGTCTGTCTTTAGCTGGAACGCGTCCATGGCCTTCCTACTCTGCATGCTCTGCACAGAGCCGGGCACACCGCATTGACCCTGGCCATAAACCGGCAATCCAGCTTTAGCCAATGCGTCTCCAATGCTGTGGAACACAAAGTCCTCGTCCCAATCGTACGCCGTATGCGGAAGGCCGAGCTTATTGATCCCATCATCCGGTGGAACTACAACAAGAGGCTGCAGCTCATGCTTGATGGCATAGTCAGGGTCTCTTTCCCCCTCGCGCACGAAGGCAACGAAGAACTCAAGTTCTACGCCAAAGGACACTCGCGGAGGTGTGGTTTGTGTTTGGCGTTCGGTCATGGTGGATTTGGGTGTATGGTGTGAAGTCGTTTAGTGAAATGTACAATGTGGTGCTTGTGTCTGCGATCAGTCAATGATGCAAATTCGGACGAATGAATGATATGAGGTAGGTAAGTGTTGCGAAGAGCTGGACTGCTGTCATACAGGCGGCAGTGAGTTGGAATATATCGTAGCCTCCCTCCAGCAGCAGTAATGACCATGAAACGGTTTCGATATAAAGACAGAAAGAATTGTCTTTAGCAGTTTCCGTGGAACAGAAAGTTGATGAAACAATGGCGTAAAGTTTTGTTTGACCGATTTCATGAACCTACCTATTGACGTTGACAAAGGCATGCGTTAGTGAAGATTCGCAAGCTCGGGACGATGAGGCGTACCTCAAAGAAGGCCATTGAAGGACTGTCACAAGCCCATTGTCGGCCACGGGCCGGTGGCCAAATGTCAAAGCAGACGGGACAGGGAATGGGGGGAATCAATTCTTCATTTCTTTTGACGTCGTCTGGACTGTCTTTCAATCATGCCTAAAACGCGAAATGCAGAGCAAAAGCAACATGGGGTGACATCACCCGTCCCTGTAACGCACTGACTCCTCCTAGAACTTCAAAATGCCATACGGGTGGGAATATCCATCGTCTCCATCGCATAATTCCACGTATTCCTCGTCAAAAAAAGATTAGGGAGCCGCGTGGTAAGCACGCAGACCGGGTAGTAGGGAAGGTGATTACAGAGAAGCGAAATACCGCTCAAAGCCTGCGATTGTCAATCATGTCGCCGCATGAAGCAATCGAGACTGGCAGTTTACCACAGCCTAGGAGAATGCAGCAGCAATCTAGAGCATGTAGGCGAGGAGGCCAATGGCGGCGACAGCAGCAGCGTTGCCGACGTGAGCGGGGTTCGCAGTAGGAGCAGCCCAGGCGGAAGAGCTGGAGCTGGAGGCACCAGTAGTAGCGGCGGCGGTACCAGTTCCGGCGGCAGTGCTGGTAGCAGATGCGGTGGTGGTGGTGGAAACACCAGAAGCCTGGTCAGCCTGGGCGTTAACGGTACCGCACTGGGACTTGATGGTGTCGGTGCAGTTGGTCTGGCCGCGAGCGTCACCAACGTTGGCTGTGATGCAGTCCTCGAAGGCCTTCTCGCAGATGAAGGTGGGCATGGTCTGCTCGTAGTACTCAAGGCCGGGGGCAGAGCCGTTGGGGCAGAGGCAAGAGTAGACAAGGGTGGTCTATTGAGTAAGAGTTAGCCATGCTGCACTCGAGCGTCGGCCTGTTCTGATTCGGGCCGGGGTGATCAACGAGCAAGCAACTAGTGCTCCTGCTCTAGCATAGAAAAAAAGAGGAGAACTTACAGAATCGCAGTCGTTGGTGGTGGGGTTAGGCTCGCAAAGGACCTTGCAAGTGTTGCGCTCGGCGACACACCAGCTGGCTGTGGAAGGAAAAAAAGAATCAGTCAAAGCTCAGTGATTGTAATGGAGCGGCAAAGCCGGATTGCCACAGATGATAGCATCATTTCTCCCAATTGACTTACCTCTCTGGTTCACGGAGACAGTAGCAACGTTGATGTCGGCAGCGGTAAAGACCTTGCGCTGGGCAGAGACAGCAGTGAGGGCCGAGAGGGCCACGATCGCGAGAGAAGTACGCATGTTGTCTGTTGTTGTTGTGTAGAGGTAGTGGAAATTGTGGTTGGTTGGAGTTGTTGAATGGAGACGGGAGAGAACGTCTGACAATCAATCAAGCGATATTCAGTTCCAAAGTATCGTCGGCGGCGTGAAGATGTTTTGCCTGGATGTGCTTGCTGGTGATGTTTGACGGAGCGTGGACGGGGAGAGGAGAAGAGAAGAGGTGCGGTCACAACAGATGGGCGACGCGGGCAACGATGTGGTTTTATTATGAGGCAAGAGTGCTGCAACAGCAGCAACAGCAACGAGAGCGGCAGGTACCTCGGGGTGTGTGAGTGGTTCTTTCCCACGCTTGTGTCTCTGGTCGCACTTGCCTTGAATGCGGTAAGCTCAATGGGGGGAGCGGGAAAAAAAGTGTGAGGAGCCCAGGTATGAGTGCAGGTGCCAGTGGACAGTTGCAGGGGTGGCTGGTGGAACAGCAGAAACCGCACCTTCCCTCTTGCGATCATCAGAAAGACAGGCAACGCATGGTTTGATTGCGCGGTACCTGTCCGGCCGACCGCGTCTTTTTCTCTTTTTTTTTTTTTTTCCTCTCTCTCTCTCACACATTTTCCCCTCTCTCAGTACCTACCTTGCCTCACACTTGCGGCCTTACCCTCACTTTCCCTTCGTTTTCTACTAAGGTAGACACAATGTCCACGTCCACCCAGCAGCAAGTGCACCGGTGCGTCCACGTTAGGTACGATACAAGGGTACCACTTACATGGCAGTCGCAAGTCGCCGGGCTTGGCCCGTTCTTCCCTCACACAAATAGGAAGGCCTGCAAAGATGGGTACGTACTGGCGGATACAGACGTGTGGCTGGGGTCCACCCATCGCAAATGTCGGGTCACAGTGGGGGAGAGGGGAAACCCAACCAGGAACATACGCACATCCTCCAGTGCAGCCGCCGTATCTCCGTTAAGAAAAGTCCAATTGAGGTTGCCGTTGCGGACCTCGGGTTGGATCACGATGGAATTCTCGCGGTGAGGTCAGAACTGAGAAGCGACACCGTCACCGAGAGCGTGCGCGAGCGCCAACGAATTCGCACAGACAGTCCGCGACTTTGCTGTTATCGGCAGGGGCGGGTCGTCAACCGACTGGCCGGGGAGGTACGTACCGCACATGGCCTTAATCAAGATAGGAACGCTACAAGGTTGCACATGGCGGGAATTGGATGTGTACGTATCTTCGCTGTAGGTGCAGATAATTAGAGTGCATCTTCTCAAGCAGAAGCTAAGACAGCGCCATCCCGCAAAGTTGTGGTGGTTTAATTCTTCGTCTTCTTCTTCCTACTCACTCCCATAGCGCAGCGCAATTTCTGATACACTTAATCCCAATCTCATAATAACATCGTCAATTGTCAAGTGCCGCGGCGGTGGATGCTCATATGAGGGAGGTAGTCAAGCAGGCATAGGGCTGCCCTGTCAGTAGCACCTGGTCCCTGTCGCTTCAGACTTTGGGGACTGAAACTTTCAGCGACCCTCGTGATGGCCTCATCCGCGTCGTCGCATCTTTTCCGCTTTCATTCCATAATTAATACAGACGTGGCTCGGTAGTTTGCCTGTGCCACCGCGGCTTATGCCATGCCACGGGCCAGGCTGAGTGTTCACCCACACATGCATACGACAAGACAATCCAGGATTTACCGGGACGGAAACGACAGAATTCTTCCCGCCGAACCTTTGGCTGGGTGAGTCTCTCATCGTGATGGGATGGGCATGGCACGCCGCACGCGAAATTCCATTGACCAGGCGATGGTCGCAGCGCCAAGTGCTATTACAGTCGCATTCCTTGCGGTGCCTGTCTCATAACAAAACAGAGAGAAGCAAATTGAGATAGCGAGACTACCTAGTCACTAGAGGGAGAGAGAGGGAAAAATTGCCCCCCTCCCTCCGCCGGCGTCTCCTTCAGATTTCAGATTTCGCAGGGCCCGGGCTTTTCATCTCGGTCTAACGTTACCCAACACAGCTCCACCTTCCGCTCCTCTGTTACTAGGTACCTTAGGTACGAATACTCCGGAAGGTGCGAATACCTAGTGACTGAGGTGGTGTTCTCCATTTCTCTCAACTTCCTCGAGAGTTCCTCCGCTCCTCGGTCTGCAGAAACAGCACTATTCCCAAATAGTGTTAGAGCAGCAGGAACACTAGCCACAGATATGCAGCTTGGCTGTTGCCGTGGTCCGGGAGACTCGCTGGTTCCATCTCCATTGTGTGGGGGCAAGGGTATCTATTGCCAATCAATTCAACGCAACGCACTTTGCTCCGGCCGCCGTCCCATTTGCTGCTTCTTTTTTCCCCCTCGGTCTCTGGCTTCTCCCCGTCACTGTCGTCCACTGCTACAACTCACCGATGCCTCAGATTCATTGATTATCCGATGGTTCTTTCATTGCCGGCAGACGTCGAGTACCTCCCGGCAGCATCTCTACGGCTCTCTAGTACACGGACTGCATCGCCAACCACCAATCCACCAAAGAAGCAGCTATGGTGGTGTACCGTCAAGACGTCTCATCTTCCGAAACGAACGTGACTTTGCCCGCCCCTTCTCACATCGCATCGCGTCGCCCTCTTCTTGGCGTCGCTGAATTGCCGCCCTGTTCACTGGTTCCCTGCCTCACTCTTGTACCATGTTCTGTTTCTGTTTGCGAACCTCCTTACCTTCCAAACACCCCCTTTTCCCTGTGAACGAATCAACGACCTACCGCAACGTATAGAATGGCGGTACAACAGACGCCATGAGCCTGACCAAGCCGACATTTCAGCATCATGATCAACTACCTCGACTTCGCTACAGCGTACTTATCTTAGTGCCCGGTTGAGCCCGGACCCATATCGAGAACCCTGTCCTGCTGGCCTTACAAATGCCTGCTGCATCTTTTTCGTGGAGCAGCCTATGGAGCAGCCGGCGCCTGCGGATGTTCGTGCCCAAAGCTCCAACGCCGTTGGACGCCAGCCAACAATCACGGCACAAAGAGGCCGCCTCCTCAACTCCAATGTCGATTTTGGGCTGGTGAAAAAGACAATGAGTCTCTTAAATCGGCAACGCGGCCAGTCCACGCACGCTCTTGCAGCAGCACTAACCCGAAATACCACCTGGCACCTGTGGCACTCGCACACCACGGTGAGCTGCCTCCCACGGTCTTGGGCGCTGAGCTACCACGAGCTCGCCGTCCAATCATCGTAGTCAATTGCTTGCCCAGCTTTCTAGTGATCGTCATCAACAGCGACACTAGTTATCTACACCAGTCATCTGCACCAAACGCCCGGGGTATCGGTATGCGGGAGGGGCTGCTGCCAACCCGACCGAAGCAGAGCTTGCTATCGGATGTAGAAGTCGACTAGGTATTGTCTCTCACGGCAACGGTCATCCGCTTTCCATATGTTCCAGTTTCCAACAGGCGACGGTTGGGCAACAGAAACGCTCTCTTGTTCGATTCAGAGTACATTGGTGATTCACTTATGGCCGGCTCCATGTTGTCTTCCAGCCAACCGCAAACATTCTGCATGTGTCTATTGCACCGGCTATGACCAGCCAACCGTCACTTACATCGGACCATCTGCAGCGTCTGTTCAGCCATGCAGATTCTCCGCCTCGTCCAGCTGCATCCATCTCATCACACCCTCCCGTCCTTCGCCAGCCACCCGCGAACCAAGTTTGCCGCATTTCTTGCGGCGTCGCCAGATACTGCTCGCAAAGTTGGCCTAGACCTGCAAGAGGCTGCCGATACGAACTTTGCTTGTCCGTACCCGCTGGCACAACCCCGCCACTAGGCTTACGAACGCATCGCCCAGCCAGCATCTTGCCCCAGCCCTCAGTCTACCTACCTATGGCTTCATCTTCTGTTGAGTGGCTTGGCTTGTTGAGCTGCCTCAGCAAGGTTTTACTCCGTCCAGACCGTCAACGGATCGACTTGTGAGGCCCTCCTAGCGTGGCTTAAAGCTTACGACGGACTGAATCGAAACACGATATCATGCCACAGCATGGGAATTTCGGAATTTCCATCAGAGAAATCCCAAGAAGTGATCTTCGGAGCGCCATGCAGCCGCCCCCAGCGCCGCCAACTTGGCAGGCCGGGGTTGTGGGGGCCGGACGAGGATCCAGGTTCTGGATCTCCGTGCCGCGTCAAGACGTCACCTGTCATCATGTCGATAAGCGTGTGGCACTTACATGGTCAACACCTGAACCTTGGAGCAAGACACTGCCAAGTTATTGTCGACGACGGGAAGCTGCATGATTTTTCAAGAGCTACAACGTTCTCTTATGTACAGCGCCAGCAAACCCTGGATACTCCACCCTATGTAATCCGTCGCCGAAGGTGAATTCCGAGTTCCTTCGACATACACCCAAAGGGATTTCCAGCAATCGACCGCCGGCTGAATTCTATGAGCTCATGCTCGCCTCGCAACAGGCTCAACTCCAACTTCAAGAACATCCTTGACGATGCCCTTCTCGCTTCTGACTTTCTCGCCTCCACTCTTCACCCACCTGTTCCATGCGCCGAGCTGCATACACAATCCCTCCATGGTCGTGCACTTGGCCTGGTATCCCAATCCGCCCTCCTCCGGTCGTCGACGAGCGTCAGCATCGTTGATGATAGCATTGATGGCACCAGCTACGGAAGCGGGCTGCAGCATGTACAATGGCAATCCGGGTTCCGAGAAGATCTTCTGCAACGCTGGCACGCTCCAAAGCAACAAGCAATAAGCCTCTATGCAATGAGCCAAGAGCAACAATATCAGTGGCGGCGGGTATTGCACGTGAAAGGGTGTCACGCTGACCGACTGCACGAGTGTGTAAAAGTCCTTGAAAACCGGAGGCGGTCCTCCATCTGTGACAAGGAACGGGCGGGCAGCCACTTTGTGCGCGTGAGGGCCGAGCAGGGCTGCTTCGTACTGCAGATGTGCCAGAGCCACGTTGGCTCCATGGACCCAGTTCTGCATGAAGGGCGCGGTGAAGGTAGGGAAGCTGGCCATGCGTACTGTCGCTCCAACCAGGTAATCGTCCTTGTGGCCGTAAATGGCGTTCCCTGGGCGGATGGCGCCGGTGCGAAAGCCCCCTGCCTGCGTGGGATCTTGTGGCACCTTGTTCGCGCTGCAGACGAGTCGCTCGGCTTCGGCCTTGCTTCTGGCATAGTTGGCGAAGAACTCTTCGTGAGGACGTATCGGCTTCTTGAAGTCCACTTCATCAAGGACCTGGAAGAAGTTTGTTGGCCACCGACTCCACGGAGCATTGAAGAATTTGGTGGGCTTCAACGCCACACTACAAGACGAAGTAAAGACGAGAACATCTGCCCCCGCCGTCTTGGCTGCGGCAAGTACATGGGCGGTTCCTTTAGTGTTGACGAGAGAGCAACGGTCATAGACCAGCTGGCTACGCTCCGAAGGACGAATAACAGCGGCGGTATGGAATACGGTCAATGGAAGATGTGCTACCGCCTGTGGCCACGATCTGCCGAATGCGGCAGAGGTTGCTGATTCGGAAGAAATATCGGCTTGAGCGAAATCAACTCTAGATATCGGACCCTCGCTCATGTCGTCGCGGCCAGGTTTACGAAAGTCAATGATTCGAATAGCCTCTGGTGGGTGACCACGCGCAATGAGCTGGATAGCTAGCTGTCCTCCTACCAGACCTATTTCATACCGGAGTCAGCAGCAATACGTGACGATTATACGCAGAATACTTGCCAGAGCCTCCAACAATGATGTATCGGCGATCCAATTTCGGCGGCAAGTGCGGAGTCCAATCAATGGGCTGTTTCTCCATGCGCTCGAAAGTACGCTTGACTTTCTCTGGCGTCCATCGATCCGGCGACACCCGCAGAGCCTCCGGATAGATCGTCGACATGGCGCGGTTAATCTTCCAAAGATATGCCAGCAAAGCCGCCAGCAAGCCGAGGGCGACCCTCGTCGTCCATGCTTCCAGCACCATGCTGATCAAGATCCACCGTTTCCCCTCCGTCGTGGAATTCGGAGCTCCCGTATCAAAACGACTGCTCCTGTGAAGTCGGCGCGCTGCGACTCTCTGAACTACACAGACGACGATTTTAGGTGCAGTTGGAGAAGGAAGCTTGTTTTTCCATGACGCAACGCTAAAGGAGGGAGGGGGTCGGGAGGCTTTTTATGCCGGATTCCCTTTCCAAGACGCGCTCCTTGCCCGTCGCATCTGAAATTCGAGCCGATCAATGCGCTAAACGCTTTTCTCATGGAGTCCCAGAGCTTCCCCACCTCGCCGGTCCTTGCGCCGAAATGCCATTTTACAGCACCGTGGGGTTCAGTCTGAAGTCCTCGGAGCTGGAGTTCGCAGCAGCCGATACCCCCCATTAGGTGCACGAAGATCGTGAGGGTCGGCGGCCAGCCTCTTGAGAAAGGCGCCTTTGACCAACCAATTATTTTGCAATGGCAGAAAGGCTTCGGATTCCTCAAAAGTTCCGAACTTGGATGTCTCTTATTCGTATTCTAACCGAGTTGTGTAGGCGTCTATCAAGTGACCCCCATTCTAGACAATCCCAGCACCACTGCTACTCCAATTCGAACCCGCTGGGGAGAGAGCGGGGCCTGAAGCCACCGTTCGGCACGTAGACTTTCGTCCGGTGCGACCCGAAACCGAACGTGGGGTGCACCGGCGTCGCGCGGTCCCGTATGGTTCAACCTATATGCTCCCAGTCCCAACTTCTCCAGTCCAGACTGGGAATCGTGGGGAAGCTGAAGCCCTCCACGAGGCTATTCGCTGCTTGCTGCCCATGGGCAATACGGGCGCTAATTGGTTACAGGTATCTGTACTTTTTCGCCGCTCCTCTGTCAGCTTGTTCCCCGCATAGGCGATTTCGTGCTACGCGAAAGACCTGCATCATAACGTGCGCGCGGCGCACGGGAGTGGGCGCTCTGTCAGAACCTTAATGTGCCTCGTTGATGATCCATGCCATGAGTTCATGTTCGTCATTGATGCTAGAGCCTATCTCGGTCATGTGGCACGCCAGATTGGACGATTTTCCTTGATGGGAAAGCAGTTTGAGGCTCTTTTGGACTAATGATTGTCGAAGTCGATGTTTCTGGCCAAAGTCCGAATCTGTGAGCACGTATGTATGCGTTTGCGTGTGGGAGTGCGTCACTCCTTGGTGACACTCACGTAAAAAGAAGATGGAAACAAAACGATAGGAAGGGAGGGAAGATACTGACCATGTAATTCACGCCCCTGCCCAGACTCGAACAGCGCGCCCCTTAGTCAACCCGGACTCTGACTTCATGGGAGTATTTATTTTTCTTTGAACTACTCGACCACTTCGCACACAGCTTGACCTGACCTCGCCGACCTAGACGGGCGCGGCTGTGCTGGTGACAGGAATGGGCTTGAGGGGGGGTATATACTCTTGGGTGGCTGAGGTGAGGTAGATCAAGGAAGGAAGGAGTTAAGGACGTAAAGATCGGAAGGAGCCAATCCTCTACCAGTCACGCGAGCCTGTGTTGTTATTTTGTTGGATCACCCAAATCTTCCATCATCTTGCTGAGACCAGCAATACACACGTATACATACACTCAAGATTTAACAATCCTCCTGCGGTTTGATGGCACAAGCGAGACCGTCCATTGGAAGTAAGATTCAGGCACCATTTCTATCGGTTGGGTACTTTACACCGGAACATCTCGTTATGAAGCCCCGAAGGAACAAACGCAGATGATTCTTTCATTTCCAGAGCCTCGATTCTTGTAGCCAACATCATGAGGCTTACTAACTACATCGAATTATTGCCTCTCAATGTGTTACCTTTTAAGAGAAAGGAAACATCATTACCAAACCGAGTGTCTAAGAAAGGAGCGCGACTCTCATCTGTCAAACGACTGACGCAGCGGTGATTTCTTACTGGATATCCGAGATCGTCACCTTGGTCCACATGTTCTCCTCCACAAAGATGTTGTAACTATACGAATCCCACGGCCTCACCGGGTCCGCAAGCTCAAAATCAAAGTTGCGCATCAGCTAGAACGCAATCGTCAGCATCCACATCCAATGCGTACCTGTTAACAGCCTGGTCAGTAACCTGGTCCTTGTGAACGTACCTCAAAGAAAGCCTTATACAGCTCCATAAACGCCACCGGCTTACCCGCACACATGTACCGCCCGTACCCGAACGCCATCTCCACGTCGCGCTCCATGCCGAGCCTGGCCGCGTCGTCGTCGACCTCGAGAAACCGCTCCGGCCGGAAGAGCTCCGCGTCGGGGCCGAAGAGCAAGGGGGATTTGAGGAGGCCGGGGGCGTTCATGCCGATGGCGGTGCCGCCGGGGATGAACTTGCCGTCGATGGTGTCGCCTTGTGGCGGGACGGTTTTGGGGTAGAGGCCTGTTGCTGGGGCGCGGATGCGGATGCCTTCGTAGATTAGTGCCTGTGAGGTTTTAGTATCGTCGTATACCAAGGTAGGTACTTCAAGTTGGAGGGGGAAAGGGGGGTACAATACGTACGCGTAAGAATGGGATCTTGCTGGCTTGGTCAAAGGTGATTGGCGTCGAGACGCCAGACGCGACAGCGTCTCGGATGACGGCCTTGAATTTTCGGTAGATCCTGGGGTTGCACATGAGATGCAGCATGGTGATGCGGATCACGGAGGCGGTGGTGTCGGAGCCAGCAACAAGGGCGAAGAGGCCTTCGGCTTCGCACTCTTGCTGCGTCATGCCGTTCTTGATCCAGGATCCCTGTGTCGACTTTCATCAGCAAACTTCTCTCAGAGAAAGAAGACTCGTCGATGTAGATGGACGTACCAACATGTCCTTCTGAGGCTTGGAGGTGGACTTGAACCTTTCCCCGACGTACTTCTCGGCGATCCTAATCACCCTGTTAGTTCTAACCCAATGGGATGAATAGCTCCCGTGATGAAAGACGATACTCACCCCATCATCTGCCCAAGCCCAATCGCATCCGTCGTCCTTGGCCCAAGCCACCGCAGAAACAACTTTGAAAACCGAATCGTCCGGATCCACGGTGTATCCAACGTGATCGCAATCAGTGGCCAATTGTCTCTCATCTGCTTGATAAACCCAAATACATCCGCATCAGCCTCCAAGTGTCCAAACGGCTTCCCAAACGCGGCGGTGGTGATTACGTCCATGGTCAGATACGCCGGCAAGACTCCCATGTCCACCAACTTTCCTTTACCTCCTCCATCACCGCCACCACTACGATCCGCACCATAAGCATACCTCTCCCTCAGAAGCCTAACCAAGCCCAAGACCTGCACATCAACACTCGGCTCCAACAAATCCACCTCCCGCCCCGCATACGCCGCCGCCGTCTTGGCCTTCATCCGGTCGTGTTCCCCCTTATCGAGCGTGGTGAATATGGTCTCCTGGTAAGGGTTGAACCGGCTGGAGAAGTACCACGAGTCCTTGCCGTAGTCGCTGCGGACGGCGTTGATGCGGCGGAGGACGGAGGGGTCGTCTGTGAGGAGCTCATTGGGGCCGACGCGGACGAGGCGGGAGCCCGCATGTTGCGTGTTGAGGGTGCGGTAGATTTCTTCTTGGCGGGCGGAGCGGGCGATGAGGAAGAGGGGGAGGTAGGAGAAGGTGGAGAGCGGGGAGTAGGCTGGGATGTGGCGGAGGCGGTGCCATGTTAAGAGGGAGGTGAGGGTGTAGTAGAGGGTTAAGAGGGTGAGGAAGAGGGCGGTATATTGGAGGGGGGAAAGGTCAAGAGATGGGAGGTTTGGGATGGCCATGATGAGCAGTCTGTCTCCTGGCGCTGCTGGGTGTTGAGCTGTTCTTCGTCGGGATTCTGGACTTTCACCACCTGAAAGTCGCGGTGTCGCGAGAGACGAAGGGTATTTTGTATTATTCGCACACTTTGCCGTATCCTTGAAAGTTCACGGAGTTCAGTCGTGATTATCACGCTTATATGGAGATGTCAGCACCACGTCGCACCGCAGTTACCTATGGCGGACCTGGAGACGTCGATCTGCCGGGGTATTTAACATTCGTCGACAAGGTCTGAGATGTGATGGAAATAGCTTTTGTATCATTCGATATCGTATTACGTCGGCCCCGCTACCGGCAGCTTAGCGCCCGTTTTGTGTAGCATTTGATTAGGTGGTGAGAGTTGCATGCATTTTACGGGACGTGCAGTCCTCCAGGAGGGGATACGGCAATGCGGCATGTAAGACCTATGAGATGGCAAGAGCCGAGAATGACCCGATTCAGATGAGCCCCCTTCGTTGAAGATTTGGAGATTATCCTGAAACTGACTACGGTCTCAAAGGGACTTTGGTTGAGAACGATGGATATCACAAGTCTGAACGTGGGCTAATCCAAGCTAAACAGCCGACGGCATCTGATATATGTGCTAGGGTCTGTCGGTATTTTCATTTAAGAAAGGCAATGGCACGTGTCGCACTTGTCACGTTCTCTTTATTCAAAGAGCCAGTCTTGTCCCTCCGGAAAATGGCAAGGGTTGTTTTTACAATTATCAAGCGGTTGCTGGCTCTGGCTTTCTTTCCTTCGATCCGTCTACTTGGTCTTCGTGCGGAGCCAAGGTATGTAGCATGCAATGAGAGAGCACCGGTGGCCCGGGGCCATTCGACAAAATCTAGTTCAGGCTGTACCAGAGAGAATGGTAGGGGTAGTAAGATTTCCCACCTCTCAAGGATGAGTTCGGATGTGATTTGATGCCAACGCCAAAGGCCTAAAGCGTCGTACATGAGGTCCACATTGTTGAACTAGGTGGTTATTCCATCGATCCTAGATGGCTACTACCGAAAGGCACGCGGTCTGGACTAGCTCAGAATCGTTGATAGCTGTGACCGTTCAGGGTGAGGCACGTTGACGTGGCGTTGAGGGAAAAAAGGGCATGCCGCAAAGAATAGGATAAAACAAACCCTTGCAGACCCGAACTTGGTCAAATTTGCCCAGAGTAGTCGTTTGTGAAACCTCGAGTCTCGCCTTTTACCGCGCTCTTGAAAGCAGAATCAAGTACCTTAGGTATGCTGTGCATAAGCGCCTCTAGACCAAGGTACTCGTAACTTGAAGAATATAGCACGGCGAGATGGATCATGTCAATTTGCAGCTAGTTTAAAGCAGTTTTGACACCTAACCCATGAACTATAAGGTAATGTTGCCCTCAGCTGCCTATCCTTACTCGAGGCTAAGTTAGTCTCTACCCTGGAGTGCGCAATTCGGGAACCAACTCGTTCCAACTAGCAGATTTCTTTCTTCTTTGAGTTGTGATATACCTGAATACCCATGAAAATCTATTGATTACTTTGAGCTTCAGTCCTTTGATCCGCCTTGTCGTCTAAAACCGTTGTAGGGCTACCTTGGACAAGGAGAAGTTGTTGACGTCGGACGACAAACGGAAGCGGAGAGTGGGGCCGGATCTGGCTCGGCCCCTCTGAGGATCGCTCGGATGTCACCGACTACGAGGATATGCCTTCGAACGATGTCGGGTCAAGTTGGCTCGTTGTATTGTAGAAAAAGAGTATAGGGTATAGCCGTGCTAGGGTCTCAAAGTTGTTGAACCACAGGCCTTCCCAAAGTACTCTCAGAATTTTTTCCTCATCAAAGGCACTACGAATCTGGCAAGATCTTCGCCTGCGCTGTTCCCGAAAGTCAATGCCTTGGACCCCGGATTCCCCGCACAGGCCATTTGTGTCAAGAGGGAAGAGAAGATGTGGCCGCTGATGAGTGAGCGGTGAGGATACCGAATGCAATTGAAGCCTTAAATATATCTGTTTCTGCCTTGATAGCCAGGTGAAGAAGGAATGAACATTTCCGAGCTTGATATCCTGTCGTACATCGCAGCAGTTGCCGTGTAAAGGACCGGTAAATGGTGATGGCAGGTGGCAGTGTGCGGGTATCTTCATGCACCCCTGAACGTCGTCCAATAGACAAAAAGGAAAAACGCTTGGGCCATGTAGCGGTGAGAGTGTCACCGGTACCTGATTGGCTTGGAGTACCCCCGCAATCATCTTGGTACTGGAGACCCAACACGCCAACAGCTGTTAAAGCACTAAAGCTAGCAGTGAAAGGCAGGCGCTAAGCCCAGTGAAGAAGGGGGGGGGAATACCCTTTGCCTTGAAGCCTATCGCGCCACTGGTCGGCCTGGTTGATTGTGCCCCGCCTTGCCCACAACAAGTGACCCTCCACTCCAAACCTCTGAAAACCATCACCAACACCTTCCTTCCCCCTAGCTCTTCCGAACCTCAACTCTGCGCTGCGCGCGTGAAAATATTCCCTTTTCCCATTCCACTTTGCGTCGCAGCTATTCCCAAGTTTCGTTGAGCCACATTACACAATGAAGGGCGAGGTATGTTCAATGTCATTCATTCTCATTTTATCTTCTCATCTCTACTCCAAATCCTCCATATCACAGCTCCCAACGGGATCGTGGGCTGCTTGCTGGCAGCTCGCTACTCTCCCCCATTTTCCCGTACCGAGGCGACCCCTGAAATCTAGCCTACCTTACCTAGCTGTCCCATCCATCTTGACCTCGGTGTGCGGCCCCAATACTGACGGCGATGTCTCCAGATTCTTCACCTTCATCTCGGTCAGGCCGGTACCCAGCTGGGTAACTCTGCTTGGGAGCTGTACGTTGACCTCCAATCTCGTATCCTCCCAATCCCAACGCGAAATCCGATGGAACTGACCGCCCAACACGCAGCTACCTCCTCGAGCACGGCCTTGGCTCCGATGGTCGTCCTGACCCCAACGCCAAGGATGTCGTCGACGGCGGTTCCTACGAGACCTTCTTCACCGAGACGAGCGGAGGAAAATACGTTCCTCGCTCCCTCTTCGTCGATCTCGACCCCTCTCCCATTGACGAGATCCGAACTGGCGGCTACCGTCAGCTCTTCCACCCTGAGCTGTTGATCAGCGGCAAGGAGGATGCTGCCAACAACTATGCTCGTGGTCACTACACCATCGGCAAGGAGATGGTCGACAATGTCATTGACCGTGTTCGCCGCGTCGCTGGTCCGTACCCCTTTTAACGCCTCTCGACCTGTTGGCCACGTTGAAACTGACAATTCCTTCCCTAGACAACTGCCACTCCCTCCAGGGCTTCCTGATCTTCCACTCCTTTGGTGGTGGTACTGGTTCTGGATTCGGTGCCCTCCTCCTCGAGCGCCTATCCACCGAGTACGGCAAGAAGTCGAAGCTTGAGTTCGCCGTCTACCCCGCCCCCCGTGTCTCGACTGCCGTCGTTGAGCCCTACAACGCCGTCCTGTCTACCCACAGCACCATTGAGAACTCGGACTGCACTTTCCTCGTCGATAACGAGGCTGTCTACGACATCTGCCGCCGCAACCTCGACATTCCCCGGCCCGGTTACGAGCACCTCAACCGCCTGATCGCCCAGGTTGTCTCCTCCATCACCTCCTCCCTCCGTTTCGATGGTGCCCTCAACGTCGATCTCAACGAGTTCCAGACCAACTTGGTCCCTTACCCTCGTATCCACTACCCCTTGATCAGCTACGCTCCCGTCATCTCTGCCAACAAGAGTTCTCACGAGAGCTTCAAGGTCCAGGAGCTCACCTTCCAGTGTATGTCTTCATCGTCTGCCAGCAACGCGTGAATACGAACGAGCGCTAATCCATCACAGGCTTCGAGCCCAACAACCAGATGGTCGTCTGCGACCCCCGCAACGGAAAGTACATGGCTGTTGCCCTTCTGTACCGTGGCGACGTCGTCCCCCGCGACTGCAACGCCGCCATTGCTGCCCTCAAGGCCAAGTCCTCCTTCAACCTGGTCGAGTGGTGCCCCACCGGTTTCAAGCTCGGAATCAACTACCAGAAGCCCATGGCCGTTCCCGCCGCCGCTGGCGACGGTGGTCTCGCCTCTGTCGACCGCTCCGTCTCTATGCTGTCCAACACCACCGCCATCGCCGAGGCCTGGTCGAGACTGGACCACAAGTTCGATCTCATGTACAGCAAGCGCGCCTTCGTCCACTGGTACGTCGGTGAGGGTATGGAGGAGGGTGAGTTCAGCGAGGCCCGTGAGGATCTTGCTGCGCTTGAGAAGGATTACGAGGAGGTTGCTGCCGACTCGTACGAGGGCGAGGAGGACGATGCCGAGTACTAAGCCGACATCGGAGACCGTCCCGTTTTTTTGTTTCGCGGTATATCGGTTGCTGCAACGAACAATGACGAACCCGGCAGCCTTGGACGAAAAACGAATTGCATGAAAAAAAGTTTGTTCTTTTGGCGGCCGTCGGGATGTCGGTTCGGTAGACTTTTGTTCTCGTTCTCGCCGGACGGACATGGACGCACAAGGCACTGGATTGACCCATAACCCAACGAATGGATATTTCGGCGTCAAGCTCGAGTTGATAATAGATGAGACCAAGTCACTTTCTTCTTTCACAAGTATACACGCGGTACCTCTTGACTTGTCTGACGAGAGCCTCTTGGGGGATTGAAAGTAGTCACTTGTAAATCGACGTATTCTTCCAAATGATTTTGCATGATGTGAATTGATGCTATGACTGTAGAGTGTGTCACGAATGTTTGCACCCATGGTAATGCGACCATTGACGGGGAGAGGGGCAACACCCTGCGTTCCGAGAAAAACGTGCTTTGTACAATGCTCATTATTTTGGACGCCTTTTCCCGACGCCTCTATCCGTCTACTTTTGGTATTCCATGCATCTACCTCAATACAAGCAGATCACCCCATCTCCAGCATTTTCAGACTCATTTTTGCTTCTTCTTCCACTCCGCAGCTCTCTTGGCACCACGGCCCGTGGGCTTGCTCTTCTTGACGCCGCCCTTGTTCAAGGGCTTACTCCGCTTGTTGAACTTGAGATCCTTTGGCCTGCCGTCCTTGGCACTGGCGCGACGGCCCTCGAAAATGAAGTCCTCGGGCTTCTTCAACTCGTCCTTGGGGATGGCGCCAGAGCCGTTGCCCGGAGCACGCGGCTTCCTATCCTCGAATTCTCGGCCTCTGCGCTGCTCGCGGCGGGCTCCTTGACGGCCCAGGAGACGGCTGGAGCGGCCGGCGAGAGACTGCTGCTCGGGGGTGATCTTGGCCTTGTACTTTGTGCTGCCGGAGGAGGCGCCGCGGGAGGCGTCTGCTTGGGCGGCTCTGGCCTTGTTGGTGCGCTCCATGGCGAGAGCGGTCTTGTGGGGGGCCTTTGCGCGGGTTACGCGCATGATGCGGGGGAGCATGGGGGGGTATTTCTTGCCGTCTAGGAGAAGGGCTGATTCTACGTGGTTGCCGTCCTGTGGATATTTGGTTAGCAATGTTTCTTCTCTCACTACGTTGCAACGTTTGAGGACAACTTACGTAGAACTGGACGTAGGCGAAGCCCTTGCCCACTCTTGTCTTGGGATCGCGAACGACGCGCACGTTCTCGACCTTGCCAGCGTGCTTGCCAAACGTCCTCCAGAGACCCTCCTCAATGTCGGCCGGCACTTTGGTGCGCTTCTTCTGCACCGTCTCGCCCTCCTCGTTGGTGGCGAGGATGGTCTCGTCGTCGATGAAGCCGAGGTTGCCGACGAAGACGCAGCGGCGGTGGTCCGTCGGCGCGGGGTGAGCGACGCTGTCGACGCGCAGGTGGCGGTCGAGGACGATGGTGCCGTTGAGCTCGGCGCAGACCTTGCGCGCGGCGGCGGGCGTGGAGAAGACGACGTAGGCGTTTGCGGACTTGGTCGTCTCGTTCATGAGGGACTTTGTGATGTAGGCTGCGCGCTTGGGGAGGCCGCCGCCGGAGAAGGCGATGGAGCGGAAGCGGATGGACTCGATCTTTTGCGGGGGCTTGGCGTCCTTGTCGAGGACGCTGGTGAGGTGTCCTTCGAGGGTGCGCTTGGCTGCCTTGTTGTCGACGGCTTCGGAGGCGACGTTGGAGAGGAAGACTGTGCGGTTTGCCTTTTCCAGCTCAGTGTCCTTTGTCTTGGCCTTGCTCTCGGCCGCGACGGATTCGTGGACGGGGACGGCATCATCGTCAGACTCCTCTTCTTCCTCTTCCTCTTCCTCCTCCTCCTCGTTGTCGTCTTCACCTGCGCTCTCGCCCTCGGATGATGTTTCTGAGGCTGCCTCCTCTGCCTCTTCCGCATCCTCGGTCTCTTTCTTGCTGCGCTTCTCAGCATGGATCTCCTTCTCCTCTGCTTCGGCGAGCTTGCTCAGGTATTTGCCCTCGATGTCGTCCTCTACTCTCTTGCGCTTACGCTCCTTCTTTGGCTTAACAGCTGCTTCTGAAACTTCCTCCTCCTCTGACTCGGCGATATCCTCGAGGTCAATCTCTTCATCGCTACCAAGCTCAGACAACTCCTCGTCGTCGGCGTCAGGTAGTTCCTCATCGTCGTCGGAAGCCTCCGGAGCGGCCTTCGCCTTCGGTGGAGGCGCTTCGGAGTACCTTGACTTTTCCGGGGCCTTCACAGGTCCTGACTGAATTTTGTTAAAATTTTCTTGGCATAGTTGATCGACTTTTGCGCAAAAAGACTTACACTGGATGCGAAGAGGGCATCGAGGGTGGGGTCAATGGCCTTGCTCGAGGCCGTAAGTTTTGAACTATTCAGAGCGCAATTAGTCTTTGAAATTGTGCCATGACAATCGGAGTGAGCTCACCTTTTCCCCATTATTGCGACAGATGTATGAGTTGTTGTGTTGAGTATCTATGTTCTGCAACGGGTCTGCCGTAGATGCACCGATCCCCCCCCAGATCGCTGCCGCGACAGAAAAAAAATCAAGCTCTCTGTACCACTTGGCCTGCGCTCCAGTGCGATAAGAGATTTCGGAGGTGGAGTGCGCCGATAAGGAACGGAACAACCGTGGATTGGTGCAAAACGTCAGAAGACCGCTATTTGCCGAGAACAAGTGCCCCGTGCCCGCTGTTATGCCAGCTCTCACCGCTTTCGCTCGTTGCTAAGACTTGGTTCTGCCGACCGATGCTGGTTCCGCTGGGGGGGCCGGAGAAAGGCACAGAGCACAGAGAGAGAGGGAGCAGGTGAGCGCATCTCTCATGGAGCGGCAGGTCACTAACGCTTCTCTCTCATCCCCGAAAACCCACCACAACACCACCACTTTGCGCTCGCCCACCTCTGCATTCGGGACCAGACTGTCACACGCGTTGATGCTTCTCTCGAACTCCCTTCTTCCAAACCTTGATTTTAGCACGCACTCGCTTCCCTCTTCACGACAGCGACCCGCCCGCTCCTCCAACCCACCGTTGTCGCTGCCGCTGGTGCTTGTCCCTCTGCGCCCCGTCTTCGTTCCCACGAAAACTCGTCTACCCGAATTGCACTACTCCACGACGCACCCAATCTCCAAACCGCCCGATTTGATATCCCAAACCGCGGTATTAACTCAATTTTTCAATGGCAGCTACGGCGTCCGCGCCGCCTGCCCTCTCCCCAGGGCAGGCGACGCTCGATCATGACGATAGCAACATCTCCAGCCCGCTGAGCGACGTCGAGGACAAGGACGGCGGTGAATCTCTTGATGGGATGCAGCTCGACCACACTCGGCCAGACCATGACGAGGCGCTCGACTCTGACAGCAATCTGTCAGAGGCAAATGATACCGAAGCAGAGACTGAGCGTCTCTACGACACCCCGCAGGCACAGCGCCACAAGGACGTCGTTGTCAATCAGTTCAACGACGGCCAGGTCTACGAACGGACCCCTAGCAAGCTTCAAAAAACGTTTTCTGTTGACGGCCACGACGATGGCGACGACGACAGTCTTTCCGACCGCGACGACGTGTCAATGACCTCTAGTCACGGTGACTTGGGCTCGCCCACCAAGCCCAAGAAGTCGACCGAGCTCCCAACCACCGAAGACGACCCTGAGAATACCGATAGCAAGAAAAGGAAGCGGTCGCCGGTCGCGGAATCATCCGAGCCAGGCCAGCCCGCCAGGAAGCGCACCGGCTCCGTCGTGCCCCAGGAGCAGGATCAGCACAAGAATGACGTGGAGATGCACGACGATGAGGCCCCATCCACAAACTCACATACTGGTGATCACTCAGCGACCGAGGACAGTGTTTTGGAACTTCCCCACAGCAAGCGCGGCCCTTCGCGCGATGGACACAGCCCGATCAAGGATTCACAAATTACAAAAAAGGTTACCCGCAATGGGAGCAGAAGGAAAGGTCACGCTGCCGAGGCCCACGAGAATGAAGGGCACGATGGTGACGCTCGAGATGACAGTCGCGGTGACGACGACTCGGGCCCCCACGGCGACGACCAGGCTGACCACGAAGGTGACGACGAGGCGGAGGCGACGAGGAATGACGAAGAATGTAGGTGGCTTGCGACCCATCCGTCTTTCGAAGCCTTGCTGACAGAATGCAATAGTTGAAAGAAAACGTGCTGCGGTTGAGGAATGGACCGATCTTGAAGAGAAATTTGTCGTCTTCCGCGAGCGGTGAGTCTTTCCGAGAGGAAGCATTAGCTTTCCCAGCGACTAACGCAGTTTTCGCAGTTTGTACAAGGATCGCCTCGAGCGCCTCGAGCATGAAGAACAGTCATTGCAAGCCGAGCCGCCAACACATCCCGAATACTTAAACATGAAGCAATGTCTGGACGAAAGGCTCGAAAAAAGGCTTCGAAACATTGAAAAAGAATATGAGCTCTCAGTCGAGGCCCTCGAGAGATTGGCAGTGGCGCGCCGCGCCCAGATTTGGAACCAATTCTACCAAGGCTCTCGGGAAAAGCGCTCAAAGATGCTCGAAGATCTCAACAAGGAGTGGTACGAGACCCAGAATGCTAGGCGAAGCGCACACAGCATTCCGGACTACGGCCTCCTCTTCCCGACGAACCCTGCACAGCGCACAAGGAACGCCGTGGCATACAATTCGGAGGTCTCGTTTTTGGCCGGTCTCGCCAAGCATGAGGGCTTCCCCGCGGTGCCGGCCATGAGGGGCGCGAGCGGCTCAGAGATCGAGGACGACCTGGAGCAAATGAAGGTTAGTGAACCGCATGATTCTCTCTTCGAAAAAACACGTTGCTAACCCTTACCAGCGCAACACGAAACCTCGTCAGCGTTCAATAATGCAGCCCATTGAGGATTATCAAGCAGTGGCTTTCGGATCTAACCTCGGCCCCGCCGGGGAACAATTCATCAAAGATACTCCTTGGGCCAACCCGAACCACATTGCGCACAAAATCAGCACAGGACCTGCAGCAGCCGGTGCTCGATTGAGCAGTCCAATGCAGGGAGGTAAAGCAGCAGCAGGCCCGTCGAACCAACAACCGATACCAGTCGTTACGAACGGCCATGTCGTGCCGCAGGCGTCGCCACCGATGAACCGATTTATTTCTGCGTCTCCCGAGATGGTCAGAACAGCCAATGTTTTGACACAGAGTGCTCAGATGAAGCGCGCAGGCAGCCGCACATCAAAAGCTGCAAAAAACACGGCTCCCAAACAAGAGCCAGTGTCGGCGATGGCTAGTTAGGACGGCATCAATGGACGGCCAACGGCGTTTTCGAGGCTTACTGCTCTGTTATGATACCCCACGACGGCTTGGGCAGCTCGCCCCTTTTTCTTTCCTTTAACTAGTTATGCTTGCACTGGCGCGTTGTTGCAACGGGCATGTTCATTTTGGCTGTCCCCATATAGAGAGAGGGTGTCAAAACTTATGGGTGCCTACGAGATGGGAGGAAAGGACAGGTTTTACGGAGCTGCATTTGCATTGAACGGACGGGTCTAATCCTGTAATGAGAGATGCACAGAGTCATTGATTGGGGATTTGTTTTATTTATCTTTGATATTGATGCAACAGGCGCAAAGAGCGAGATGAGTGAGACTCGCAGAAATATACTATACAATACATATGCTCCCACGCATACTGATATACTCCCCGTATTTTGATTTCCAAGGGATTTTGAATCCCATCCCGCGCTTAAACTCGTACACCACATATCTCCATCTGCCGTCCTCTCCTCTCTCCAACGGCCTTAGTTGGACTTTGCTGGCTGCCTCGGGGCATCGGGAACCTTGACATCTTCGAACTCATCTTGACCGACCGCCTTGATGGTGTACCAATCTATTGTTCCAAAAGAAGAATTAGCTACTTTGCTTGGTAGTTCCGCAACGGTGCCTGTCCACGCAAGGGGGGTAAAGATGTTTCGCCACATACACACTGCGCCGACGAAGCACCACAGTCCGGCACCGACGGCGAGGTTCTTTGCGAGGTAGGGCTTGCGCGCTCTAATCAGGGCGGGCCCTTGACGGAGGTTGCGATCGTAATAGGAGGACTTTTGGGGGCTGTCGTTTCCTGCTTGTCAGACCACATGCTCATTCCGGCGGCGGTGGGGGCAGACGGAGAGGGAGTTGACGCACATCGCCATTGTGACCGACAAGTGAGATTGAATTATCGTGAGATCCGGTAATCGAGGGTTCGTGAGGTTGGTTCAGAGCCTTGAGGAAGGGGGAGGGGTTGTCGATCGTGGGTTTGCGCCGCGGATTCGGGAAATTCAATGTTCGGTTCGGGGCCCTTGTCGCAAACGCCGTGGTTCGAACTTCTGGAGGAAATTCCAATAGGCGCGTCCAGCCCGGCATTGATTGCCTCTATGCTGATTGGCATCGATAAGGCGGAGAAAGTGCGGCAGAACTGATAGTGACGTAGAGACTCGCGCGATAAGCTTGGGTGGGCAGGGGTTCTCTGCCAGGTTGTTTTGGGGGGAACAGACACTCCGCCGCCGCCTTTGCAGGAGAGTCGATATACATCTTCACACTTGAGGTACCTGACCCAGTTGAAGAAGAGGTACATTTCATAGCCTGGAAATCTTTGCGTTCATTGCGAAACTATCGTGTTCAACAGCAACACGTATGCTGCAATAGTGTGCTATTTTGATATGCAATGGTATAAGAAAGGAAGAAAAGACAAAACTGCCCCCCCATTGGAAGCACAGAGGCTTGGACTCACGGTACCTGAGTACGGGAAGCTGATTTTGAAGCTGCATCTTTCCACAGTAGCTTTTTGGCCCTGCGACCTCAAGCTCAAAGCTCCAACTGGAATCTAGGTTATCCAGGTGCATTGAAAACATCCTTGATCATTACATCACGGCAGGTGTTTCCGATCTTTCATCACGAATGCCGGTTCTCCATCGTTCAGTTGAAAACGCACCACTACGGTAGAAGGTCTCCTGAATCTGAGCAAGCGATACGGAGTACTGAGTCCAGTATCCGTAGATAAAAGTGACTGAAAGGTAAGGTACCGTGCGTGCCTTCCATGCCCGATGAGGCTCCACAGCTCCCTGAAGGCTCTAGGGCAGCCGATGCGCTAACCCAAAACAGCCAGGAGCCGTCGACACGCCCCGTCATAACCCGCGTCGCTTGTCACGCAGGTCCCTCAACGTCGGCAGGTGCTTGCTGCCTCTTCTTGCACCCGCAGGAAATACATCAGACTTTTGGAAGCAAGGCAAACAGAGGAATCGCATCCACGGGTAGCCGATACGAATCGCCGGGAAATTTTCTCATCGCACATCTCGCTTTCGCCATCCATCTCAACGAATTACACGACTCTTGACGATTGCGACTGTGTGTCTATCGGCGCGTTGGAGAATGGTGATCTGGAAAAGCTTGAGCTCTCCATATCTCGACAAGTCGCGACAGCTGCTGCCCGCGTGATACCCAAGTTGTCTTCCAACCTGCCCGACTTTCGATATCCGACAATACATTTACTCTTCATCGACATTCAAATTATTTCCCTATCTGCCTAAAATCGTTCAGACTTCAAGCGTCTTCGCCATCGCTTGCTGCAATCATGGCGGCTCCCTCCCCGCAGGTGTCTGTGAGCGACCAGATTCGCCAACTAAACGACGCCAGGAAGCTCGTCCTCGGCGACGTTAAGTACTACCCGACGGTCGTCAAAAGCATCCTACCAATCGTCGGTCCCACAGCGGGCGTCGAATTGCGCAGATGGGGCGCCGACTTCCTCGCCGAGGCCTTCGCGACGCCAGCCCTCCCCGGAAGCGAGAAGGAGACGATGCAGCTGTTTGTACTGGACACTCTACAGACGATGGTCGAGACCCCCAACGAGGACGCCCACGTCCTTCGAAGCGCTATTCAGACGGCAGCCAGCATCTATCCCTTTGCGCTGCGATGGATGTACGTGCGCATTTACTTCTTCGGCATACTCGAGCTGCGTTGCGTGCATCGGAGGCTAATTGGATCGGTAGCATCAACAACTCGTACGACACATTTACATGGGAACGAATGGTCGCGATAAAGCAGAGGATTCTTCGCATTTGGGACGATGCCGAATCCACGGTGCGGATATGCTGTATCAAGTTTGCCCAGCGAGTTGTCCTAGCACAATCGGCGGCTAACCCCGCCGAACCGAGAGTACGATGAACCCAAGAGTATCATTTGGTGTTGTTACTGACATGAGGATTAGCGTGGCGATTCCCTCGACATATCACTCGACAAGATCCCGCCAAACCACCAGACGTTGGATGCTAGGACGCTCGACGCCGAAGGCGCTGGTTTGTTGGACAGGATACTGAGCGTACTGCAGGAGAATAGCAGGTAAGGATTGCAAGCGAGAGCAGGAAGGTCCGATAATAGCTAACCGCAGCACCATGATGATAGTGATGTGTTGCTCGTTGATGCTACTTTGAACTGCCTGTCCATTTTGATCCGCAGTCGCCCGGGCACTGCCAACAGGATCCTCAATGCCGTTCTCAACTTCAACCCGTTGAAGCTTGCAAACTCGCCAATGACCCCTAGAACTCGTGTAATGGTCAAATCCATGGAAAAGACTACTCGAATGCTCTTGATACATCTAGCCAAACGGTATATTCTTAGTCCTAGGTGTACCATTCTGTTGCTTTTATCGCTAACCATTGTAACGAAGCGATCCTCACAATCCCATGGCGCAACGAATCCAACAGCACGTGGAGAGAATGATGCGTATGAGACACGAGATCTTTGATGAATCCGGCCGGAAACGTGCCTTCGAGGCACAGCAGCAGCAAGAGGGAATAGAAGCCAAGCGCCAGCGAATGGCGCCTCAAATTGCGACGACACCGCAGGTACAAATCACGCCACTGTCGCCGGGACCTCACAGCCTAGGCGACGTCTTTACTCTTACAGGAAGCGAGGGACTGAAAGCGTTTGACGTGGGCACATTGCCCACAGCTTTGGCTGCGAAGATCAGCATCACCACTCTCCTTCGGACAGACGCCCAGCTGCTCGCAAAAGCTGTCGAGGTATGTATCAGTCGAAACATGCAGGAGGCGGCCTTTGCTAACTCTTCGTAGGGTATCCGAGGACGACTCAATGTGCTAGCCGCCCAACCTCCACCACAAATCGATCCCGAAACCGCCCCTCTTGGCGTAGAAGAGGACGACGATGAATACGAGCCAGATTTCTACGCCGCCGAGGATAACGAGCAGATTCTCAACAAGCTCGATAGTGATCCTGTGACCAAACCAGACGACGGTGATCTCGGTCTGAGGACGTTCAGACTACCACCTCCACCAGCACTTACACCTGAGATGGCACTCAGTGCGGGCCAAGGCTCTGTAATGTCACTTTTCCAGTTCGTCAAGACGTTAGAGGATCCCGCGAAAAAGTCAAAGTCTGGCATCAACCGATTAGCTGCCAGCACCAACGATCGAGAATCTTGGATCGCCATTATCACGCGTTTGGCGAGCCGTTCTTCAGCTGGTTTGGAGGATGGTGTCAAAGACGAGATCACTGGCCGTCTAGCTCTCGGCGACAGTATTCGGGAGTCGTTGTATACCTACGTTCTCGAGGACTTCCGCCGACGTATCGATGTTGCCATCACGTGGCTACATGAGGAATGGTACAATGACCAGCTGCAGAAGAAGCAGGATGAAGGTCAACCTCTGCACTACGAGAAATGGGCTCTGAAGCTGATTGACGGCTTCTCTCAGTACCTCAATGCCCAAGATAAGGTCATTACTCGGTTCTTGGGCGAGATCCCTGAGCTCAGCCCTGCCATCTTATCACGCGTCAAGTTGATGTGCCGGGATCCGTTGGTGGTGCCTCTAGCGTTGACGAGTTTGTTGTACTTGGTCATGATGCGGCCGCCGGCCAAAGACTTGGCTCTGGATACGGTGCAAGATATCTGGACAGAGTGTATGTGCTGCCCTTTTCTGCGCGCGTTATTGATGATACTGACTTTGTACACAGACGAGGACGCGCGACCTTTGGCGGCGAAATACTTGGTTAAGTTCCGGCCGACCTGGCTTGAATCGGCCAAGGCAGCTGCAGAGGCTGGATCAGCACCAGCGACGAACAACACGACGGCCATCACAACATAGGATGACTGTGATCAAGGCCGGTTTCATGCGACCTCATAGACCGTCCCACGACGGCATTGAAGGCGGATAGTTTTGCAAGGATGGATGATATGTTAGTCGCGGAAACCAGAATACCCAAGGAAAACCGGAGCGAAGCGGGCAGCAATTGGTCTTCGGGGCTCTCTGACTTTGAAGAGATGGAGAAAAAGCAGAGAATGCATAAACAGACAAAGGAGAAGCCACGGAAGCAAATCGACGTGGGCTGGGCATGGCATAGGTCTGGCGTTCGATCGGGGGTTCGAAACCACGGAACGTGTACGGATAAACTGTATACATGTAAAATCAAGGGCGTTAAGGCCCCGGAAAAGCAAAGCCTGTTAAACCAGTTGATGTGTTCCTGAGTTGGTGACAGCTGGATGATTTCCTCTTGATCTGCCATTTATACACGAGAAAGTAAGTGCAAGCTGGCTGGCCTAGTCTTCCCGTCCCCCTCCTGGCAAATAATCACAAGTATACCTGTCACGGAACAAGAAAATGTAGAAAAAAAAACATACAACACCAGGTATTCGCTGATCGTCACCGACTCAACTACTAATCTGGCCCTCATCAGCTTGTCTATGGGAGAGCGGACGGGATCCCGAATTCTCTGATGGGTGTGGTCGTATGTGCCTGTATCAGAAAGGCAATTTCATTATATACTGTGGGTTGAGGCGTGTTCTGAGGCCCATACGCATACGACACTCTTGCAGGCCCCGCATGTAGGACGGGCGGGAATGCGGCAGGCAACGAATGAGCTAGAGCTGGCGAAGCTCTCGGACACAGAGTGACGGATTCTCCGGGCGAAGGATGGAAGGCAGGAAGAGGGGCGTGAACGGCCTCGGTCCTCCACGCTGTTCCAGAGGTCTGACGTTAGTGTCGGTCGGTCGGTCGGTCTCGGGTTTCCTGGGGAAGCTTTGGTATGGGGGCCATGGGATTGAAGATCTTTTCTCCGGTGTCTGTCCGGTTTTGCTTGAGATCGGCGCAGTGTGTCATTTTCGTGATGTTGAGGAAGTATATAGATCAAGGAACAGAGGGAAGAGGAGGGGACGGGAGGTGAGACTTTGTAGTATCACGAGCTTCGAGGTACGGTTAGCGGCTTCATGAGTCCAACCTAGGTAGGATTTTTGGTATTTCCTCGAGTGTGTCTACTGTTTCGGAGAGCGATGTCGAAGTGAAGTTGGCTTGAGTACTAAGTATGCGTTTGTGTTTGTGTGTATGTGTGTGTGTGTGGTCGTTCTCGCATGTAAGCTGCCGCGAGAAAGCCAATTGGCCCGAGGTGTGTACTAATTATAAAGCGACGGCCATGGACGAGGCCGAACACGCGACGAAGTCCTCTTGCTGAGTTGAGATGGTGTCTGTCGTCTTCCTTGTGTTCTTTCCGCTGCATGCTCAAGCAGTCTTTCAGACCAAGTGTGGCGGGGGGGGGTAGTTTCAAGATGGGATGGGAGGTATGGGAGAAGGATAAGGTTGATAAGCCTTGCATGTAAGTAATGGGTTCCTTGAATGGTGCCGGGGAAAAGGGGGCATAGTAACGATCGATTCAGGAGATAGGGGAGGGGAGGAAATGGTATATATGCACTTTGAAGCTCTCGGGACTCAATCGCTGTTGACTAGGATAGGGGTGTCTTTTTCTTCTTTGACGAGGTGGAAGTGACAGTGAGATGCGGCTCAGATCTGCGCTGGGATTAAAGAGCTCTCAAGCTGGGGACGGGATGAGACGGATGCTGGTAACGAAGGGGGTTGGAGGATGGGGTTGTTAGCAGCTGGGTGTGCATCTTTACGGTATCTTCTTTGAGATTATTCTTGGTATCATTAGGGAACAGAAGGAAAGGAGAGACTCTGCTAGGTAGAGTTTATTCAAGGAGGCTGGCGCATTACATATACAAAGTGATTATACAGGTTCATATGCTAAGTGTGTGGTGTTTCGTGTGGCCATGTAAGGCTGTCCGAAAGGAAAGGGGGGCTATTCCCGGAATCAGAGTTGAAGGGAAATTCAATGTTATGCGCATTTGTATCATGGACATGTCGCTTTTCGCTCTAAGGCGCGCCGTTACCCCTTACCTGGTGACTTAAGGGGGCTATTGGTTTACGTACATGGGTAAGTAGACATATCCGAAGGCACATAAAAGAGAGCAGCACAGTAGGGGGGCCGTGCTTGAGCCCTTCCCATGCAACCTTTTCCTGCAGAGGCTGAGTGACGCAGCAGGCGGGTTGCTGGGGAACAGGGTGCTCTCCTGCTTTTTAGTGGGGGTTTCGGCTGGTTAGTCAGGGCGGATGAGTGGTCACGTCAAGGTTGTCATGTCGGTCTGCCGGTGGCCCCCGTTTGCTGTGATTTGTTCGCTGCCCGGTGTGTTGTGCGTAATGCCTCGATGCGGTGTGTTCTGCTGTGGTGGTGTGCTTTGCCTTATGGTTGCATGTCCCGTTGTCAGTGTTGATGTTTTGTTCATGTGCCTGGCCAAGGTAAGGAAGTTATTTGACATTGTGTTGAATAAAAGGCAGGAAAAGCAAAGCAGAACAACCGAATCCCAGCAGTGCACAAGACATAGCGGATACCCTTGGACGAATTGATCAAATATTGCGTACAACTTAAGGCCGACCCAGGAATTACCAAATGCCCGCTCTGATCTGCCTTATGCTTGTCTCGGCGGCCGTTCTTGCTTAGTTTTCATCTGGGCCTTTCCCTTCTCGCTCGACCCTCCTTTCCCACCTCCTGTCAGAGGAAGATTGCCCGCTATTTGACTGACGTAGGACCAGGTAATACAATACCTTACCTGACCTTACGGATAGCTCTGGATCCTCCAGCCTTTTGTCACTCAAGGCCGAGATTCCCGTCCCATCTTTTTCCCGTATTTTCTGCCTCTCTCTCTCTTCCTTGCATAGCCCTCGCCGCATGGGCTTCGCGTGCTTCTTCCCACTTGTAATTGACCACCACATCCACCACGCTTGACCCGGACATCCGCCCATTCCAGGCAGTGCGTGTGTCTGTCTGTCTCTCGTTTACGGATATCGAGCTCAGTCTCTTCTTCCCCCAGGAAAACCACCGAACCCGCGCATCCAATCCCACGTCAGCCGCCTGTCCGACATCAGACGGGCCGCCGTTTTCGACCGCAACCAAAATCAACCAACGCCCAATCCCAAAAAGACGAACGCGCGCGCCCCCAACTTTCTGCTGCAACCACCCACCACGCCTGCACTAAACACTAAACAGTCTGCAAACTACCAGACTGTCGACCAGCCTACCTGGGCCACCACCGTCAACAACTCCCAAGACGACGACAACGACTGAAATAATATGAGCCAGAGACATGCCTAGTCGACTGCAAAAGCCCAATAAACACGACAAGCAACGACTCCCATCCAACCCTCCCCAGGTACCGGTACCCGACTTTGAGATTCCTCCACAAGACTTTGCTCTCGGTAAGGGTCCCCGTCCTTGTGCACTCTTTGCTTGAAACCTTGCCCCGATCCACAACTCGCCCACTCCACGCCCTCTTCTGCCTCTAGCCTCTCCCGACAACCTATACCTTTCAGGAGTTTGGCACTGGCGCTATACCGCTCCGCTGCCGTTCCTGGAACTCACGGAAAGGCGACCGTCGTGCTGACCTTGAACCTCCTCAAGACCTCCACACGTCTACCTCAACAACCTTCGCCAAAACGTCTTCCTCCCCGACGACAACCACGACGACGCCCTCGCTAAATGGTCCCTCGAGCAGTCGACGCACACTCGCTCCCCCTACCACCACCACCTACTTCTCTCGTAACGTACGAACAGTAGCTTGAACACGCGCATCGACGGAACCCATCAGTCGACGCCGAGCCCTTCCCCTTCTCCCCGAGGCGCCCCTAAGATGGTCCAGACCATCCGAACAGTACCCAGCTTCGAAGCCGCGAGCGACACCAGCTCCGACGCACACTCACACACTTCCGCATTCTCCAGTTCCGTAAACAGCAACGCCAGCGCAGTCAGCATGGCATCGAATCACCAAGAAAGGACGCCAGGCGTCAAATTAAAACACGACTGGCCTCACGCCAGCAATGACAACACCATCAAAGTAGACTCGGCAAGGAGGGAAGAGACGCCGCCCGTGGACGATGAAAATGCTGCCCCCGTGCCCGAAGGGCAAGGCCCAGGCTGGGACTCAACCATTGGCAAGGCGGGTCTGGGAAAGACGGGACGAGTCATCAACAAGCTCGTCAGCGATAATGAAGCCCTCAAGCGTGACATCCAGATCGAACGATTACGAGCCGAGGAGGCCAAACAGGCCGCCAAGCTGGTAGAGGACAAGATGGAGCGCATCATCAGCGACTACGAGAGCCGCCTCCTCGAAGCGAGCGTCACCAAGACGCTCCTCAGCCGTAAAGAGCGCCAAGTCGAGACCCTCCACGCCAATGTGGAACTAGAAAAGAAGCGCACGGCGGACGCCAAAGAAAAAGAGCTCTTGTGGCGCGACGAGATGGAAAAGATGCGCGCCAGCACGACGAAGCAGGTCGAGGACGCAAACACCCACGCCGCGCTGATGGAGGGCCGGTACAACGCCATCAGCTCCCACTGGAAGGACCAGGGCGACGAGGTGCAGCGCGCGCACCTGAAGCTGCGGTCCGAGATCGCGGGCGTCGCCGAGGAGCGGCGGCGCGACGACGAAAAGATTGCGGCGCTGCGGGACCTGTGCGACCAGCAGGACGGCAACATCAAGGAGCTGAGGCGGCAAAAGGAGGAGATCCAGAACAAGTTTGACGAGTACAAGGCGCAGCAGGAGTTTTTGCTCAAGGATATTAAGGCCAGCGTCGCCGGGCGGGATGCCGAGCAGGAGAGGTTGCTCGAGGAGACGAGGTCGACGTTGGCAAAGCTGAAGTGGGCACTCAATGTGAAAGAAAACGTCAAGGACCTGCTGCAATGATTTACTACCGTTGCGTTCAGCTCGTATGAAAGAGGGGGTCTCCTGAAGCCACTCCCTCTTGCCAACGGCTTCTCACCACCACAATCCGACCTCGCCGACCCAATCATGCAGGAAAAGCCTACTACACCCGGCAAGCCACCACTAAAACCATAACCTTTACTATCAAATCCGCGACAGGCCTTGTCGCCGGCCCGTTTTGCTGCACTCGGACATTTCACCCATACACCGCACGTCAACGCGAAACGACACAAAATAAACACATGCCGCGACAAACCACACGGTCAAGAAGAAACCCGTGCAGGGTAAAACATACAAGGACTTATCAAAAAAGGGTGACGCCCTGAGCCTCGAGCCTCGAATTTGGATTTTTCTCTGACCTTCTCCTCTCTTCTGATTATTCACTTCTCCACGACCGACCACAGTCGAAATCTTACGTACCCAAATCGGGATTCAATGATAGAGCCATGGTCTAAAAGTACCTGGCAGAATCAAGAAAGGGGGTTTTCTGGATACAGAAGTTGGGTTTCTCACTACGTTTTTTCTCAAGCATAACCTATGGAAAAGGGGACAGGATCCAACACTCAGGTGAGGGGCATCTGGAAGGGAAAACCTAGCAATCAGTCCTCATGCCTCGACTTTTTTTCTTTTTTTTTTTTCCGTTCGAGAGAGCAATGGCAAATCAAAAGACCAAGATGCGAAACTAGGGAATCTGGGAGTTTTGGCGTTGAAGCTACGGCATGGGGTATTCGGGTCGCATTCGTGGGGGTATTCGGGAAGATGCTGAAGAAGATGCTTCACTCTCCCCACCTCCCTCCGGTTGATGTCTATAAACAGCTCCTTCGCCTTGTGAGGTGGGCTAGCCATGAGTCTTGATCACATCTCGGGCCAGAAAGAGGAAAAGACAATAGACTTTTTTTTTGTTTTGATTTTCAGTATTCCCAGTGATGCCCAGGTGCTTGCTTCACGTCGGAAAGGCCCCCTGCCTCTCATCACGAACCACGACTGAAAGCCATATTACTTGTGCCTACTAACAACCCTCCCCCTCCCTTTCATCATGTTTTGCTGGGAGAACATGTCGACGATGACGGGTCGTGATGATTCTAATGTCTGCACCTCCCTTCATCAGCACGCCGACACGCTTCATAGAGTCTTCCAAACGTTATGTAGGGCTAAGGTAGCTGTTGCTAGTCTTCCTCTCTGTACGTGGGAACAACATTGCTTGAGAGGTTGACTTGCAAAGTTCCTGGTCATGTCTTCAAACGGATGTGACTGAATCGGCTTCAAAAGTCAGTTGATTGTACACTGGTGCGACATGGAAGTATTACGTACGGCTGTTTTGACTGTACGGTTTGGCTATTTTCATTGTATACCACAACCATCAGCCGGCAGGCGCTCACGTAAATAAGCACTTTCAAGGCCATATTATACCTAATTAAGTTTGCCTAACTAGTTGTTTAGAACTATGAAGATCTTGATATGCGGTCGACAACCACAAGAATCATCAATTATACACATTATGGCGGCGCAAGTCAATCACAGCATAGTATGATTATGTAAGCACCTGCCGGCCGTTGGCAGTACCACATAGCTAAGATAGACGGTTCAAAGTCTCTCCTGGAGATGGTTGAAATTTGTTGGCTGGAGAATAGCCCGTTCTACGGTGCTCAACATGATCGATCAAGGAAAGTTCATAGCCTCGGAAGTCAGACCCGATGCTGAAGCTCGGCCATAACCTCTTGCATATGATGTTAGACTGCTCGCTGATGGTCTGAAGCGAACGAGTCAAATCATTAGAAGTCCAAGTTCCTCGACCTCGGAGGCATTGTCAAGTTCACCGAGCGCGTTTCGGCGCTGTTGTAAGTCTTGCCGAGAGTCCCACTTCCAACCAAGACGTAAACGCCGCGAGAACGACGTTGACGCCGGGTTCCTTGCCCGAAGCAGCTTGATGACTTTGAATCGAATCGTAGTATAACAGTTGTTGACATTTTGCCATCATGTAGTTCCGAAAGCCACGGCGACTTTGAAGAGGATGTCACTCAAATAGCACCGCTGCTCAACTCCGCGCATCTTGATACCGTTCCAAGTCAGACTCAAGCCCACACAAGAGCTGGATCAAATACCTATCTCATCCCATCATAAAGGAGATAATTCCATCTCAGACCGCTGTCATAGTCATGGCCAGCCTCTCAACCTGTCCTCCCCTGACCAGAGACTCGGTCATCCAGGCGTGCCAACTCATCAGGCCATACGTTCATCTGACTCCCGTATTGACGAACAAGACACTGAGCCGAATGGCGTCAACACCAAGAGACTCTGCCGCGATCGGCGACCGCACACCAGCGAGACCCATCCTCAGGCTTTGGTTCAAATGCGAAAACATGCAACGCACCGGCGCCTTCAAAGCTCGCGGGGCCTTCCACGCCATAAAGAGACTCCAACAGGAGCCCGGATGGCTCGAGAGCGGCGGCAAGGAGAAGGGGGTTGTAGGGTACAGCGCAGGTAAGAAGTCGCCACGCTTGGTCTCACTCTCTCTCTCTGCTCTCCCTGCCTCTACTGATCCCACTGACGACGACAACCTGGTCCATATCTCCAGGTAACCACGCCCAGGCCCTCGCCCTAGCGGCTGCAGAAGACGGCATCACGTCTCGCACCGTCATGCCCACCACGACGCGACCGAACAAAATCGCAGCGACGAAAGGCTACGGCGCCATCGTCGTCTTGTCGGGGCCGGGATTCTCTGGCCGCGAGGCCGTCGCGGCCGAGATTGTCGCCGAGACGGGCGCCAGGCTGGTGCCGCCTCACGATCACCCGGACGTCATCCTCGGTCAGGCGACGGCGGGACTCGAGTTCCAGGAGCAAGTCTCGGAGCAGCAGAAGCAGGAGAAGAACTCCATCGGAGAAGGAGGAAGGGGAAGAAGGAGAGGAATAGGTCTCGACGCCATCATCGCGCCCTGCAGCGGCGGCGGTCTCCTCTCCGGTACAGCCCTCAGCTGCGAAGGCACCGGCATCAAAGTCTTTGGCGCCGAGCCCGAGTTCGAGGGCGCCGACGACGGGCGGAGGGGGTTCTACTCGGGCGCGAGGATCACCGCCCACCCCCAAACTCCCAACGGGGTGGCAGACGGCCTCGCGGGGACCGTCAGCGCCACGCCGTGGGGCCTGATCTACGATCGGGGCCTGGTGAGCGGCATGTACGCCGTCACCGAGGAGGAGATCCTCGCGGCGACGCGGCTCCTCCTGGAGAGGCTGAAGATGTGGGTCGAGCCGAGCGCGGCGGTGCCGTTGGCCGTCGCGCTGTTCAACGAGGAGTTTCGGGCCATGGTGGAACGGGAGGGTGGTAAGGAGGGGTGGGATCTGGGGCTTGTTGTTAGTGGTGGGAATGTTGATGTTGATGGGATGGTGAAGCTCTTCTCGTAAGGCGGGAGACACTTGGGAGAGGGGGAGGTGAAAAGACGATGAAGGTGGTTGGCAGCGTGTGGAAAAAGTCACGTGTGACGTTCATTGAAATACAAGGATGGACAGTACATGAAGTGTCATTCCCCTTTTGCCTGTCTTCTTCTTCCCCGGCGCGAGAGCATCAGCGGACTTGTCAGGGCCACTGACTGGAGCTTTGCCACATCCAAACTATGGAGAGATGGGACGCCGCAAGTACACTGAGGAGAAGACGGGACCTGTGAGTAAAGATGAGCACCATGACGCCGACTTGTTGGCAGTAAGTCACCGAGATCAGCTTGATCTTGCCCAAGTATTATGAGTATAGATCATGTCAAGAACTCTTTTCATCATATGTAGTTGCCTGTGTCCAAAGACGAGTTAATCTAAACGACGGGACTTTCGTAGGGATCATCTCTCTTCTTTGAGAAGCTTGATATGCTTTTTCATAATCTAGATTTCGGGCTACAAGATACTGTTTTATTCTTCTCTTGTTTCCATGGTCCGGAGCAAAGATTGCGCCGCGAAATCCCCCATCGGTGGATGGCGATGTTCGGGAATTTAAGATTTCGAAATCACAAGAGATACTAAATCTTCGATTTCAATAATTATTGTGATCAGGTTGTCAAGTATACAAATGCAACCCCGACATTTCTCCCCAGAAAGGCATTGCGTTGGTGAAGTCAAGCTCCATCCAACATCACGATCTCAAGGATTTTGGCCTCATCCTTGATAAGTCAGCTTCCGGCCGCAGACTCCCGAGCAAGCAAGCTCGGATCCTCTACAGGACATCGGCCGGTTGGCCCAATGGCAAGGCGTCTGACTACGATTCAAATCAGTTATCAGGAGATTCTGGGTTCGACCCCCAGGCTGGTCAATTCTTTTGTCCTGAATTGCAGAATTTTCCTTGATTGGGATTTTTTTTTTTTTGGCGCCGGTGCGTTGGTGGGAAAACGCATATCGGAGTGGGCTCGCCGGGCCTCTGGCCAACCAGAATCATCTGTCGCGACGAATTTGGAAGAAATTCTAAACGGTGTGTTGAATTTTTTTTGGAGAAAGGTATCCATTTCGTACGGATAGTTTGGACCGGGGGTAATCGGGACCGGCGGGTTCTTCACCGTTTTCCCACCGGCGTCAGAAGGGTATCAATCCCTTCGTCTACATGGATGGCGCCAGGGCGCAAAAAGACTTCCACGCGTTGATAGCTTGTCGCGGTCAAAGTTTCTCTCGAATACGTGTATTCTCGACGGGTACATAGTATAAACTACAGACGAGGTATTCGCTACTTTTTCAACGGCGATGCCGTGATGTTGTCTGATCACGCCCCCCTTTTCCTATTTGAGAACCTTTCTAGAAGGGGGCGGACGGACCTTCTATGCTATCAAGGAGAAACATTGCGGGGAGAGAGAAGGGTGGTAAGGTCCTAGGGCCCAGTGGAAGGGGGGTGGGAAAGGGGAGTGAATGTGCGAAAGGGCTGAAAGTCAGGAACGGGTACGGATATCAATCAGTAGGATCGTGACAAGGAAGGGTGGGCGCGGGTATTCCGTTCATTCATTCATTCTTCTCTTAAATTCTCGCGAGAAAAGAAAACTGACTCGGTCGGGGGTGGAGAACAACAGGAACCGGGGCCGGGGACCGGGGGCGTGTGTTTGCTTTCCCTTGCGGGCCTTGCGGGTCTTTGCGGCCGGAGGAAGCAGAAAGATCGTCCTTCTCAGACCTGACCCTTCAGGAGCGGGAGACCGGGGCAAGGGGAGGGGGAGAACAGTTCAGTTCGCAGGGCGGGCCATGTGTTGCGAGAATGGCTAAATAGATTGCTATTTTCGCCTTGACCGATGGCCATCCAGGAACACAGAGTCAAGAAGAATCTCAGGAGACAAGAAGCTTTGACCAGCGCTACAACAGTCCGTCATCTGCCATGCCCATCAGAGAGAGTTTTCTCCTTGGGGGCCCCCCGTGTAAACTCATGCCGAAGGAAGAACAGGGCCGCCCATGGGGTGATGGACTTGATGGATCATCGTGGACAGAGGCCATCCACGAGAAGCATGTCGGGAAACGAGCAAGGTCATGGAGAGAAAAAGATACAGCCTCTCCGTAAGAACGGGGAGGGAAAAAAAAGGGCGGTGACTTTTTTTCCTCTCTTGGCCGGGTGCCGGGATCCAACATACATCTCAGGAGTCACAGCTGCCCGTCTGATCCGTAACCAGCCGGTCCTCAAGGACACGAGAATGCTCCGGGCCCCGAATGGAAGGCCGGTGCTTTTTTCCTCGCTTCCTGTTCTGTTCTGCCCGGGGCTCCCATGCCGAACGTTTCCGTCGGCCCTTCGTCCCGATATCCCGTGCTGCCCGTACGGAGTGTAAGGTAGGCAGACTGCCTTCCATTACCAAGGTGGAATGGACATGGGCGATTAGATGGCGAGTTCAAACACGCATCAACCAGTCTCGAGATAACGCAAATTAGTAGACGTGAGTCGAAGACAACTCGAGCAAGGTGGTTTGGAGCAAGTAATCATTGAAGTAGAGATATTACATTTTTTATACATGAAAATATGCCATGTATGCCCAAAGATAAGCCCATGCTAACCGCAGGCCTTCTTTTTCTAGAGTTCGTATGATACAAATGCCCTTGTTCGGCTTTCAAGTAATTGATCGTTGCGTAAGGAGATGTGTCTCATCTCTTCTCCAAACACTTTTCCCTCCTCCTTTCCACCCAAGATCTTTTTTCCCCTCGAAACAGGCATAGGAGGCTTCCTCTTCATCCATCCCTGACGCTTTTTCCCGCTAGGAAAAGACATACAAAAAAGCAGAAAATTACGACACATCAGAAGATCTCGTACAAAAGGCCGTCGAAAAGCCTTTAGCCACCAGAATAAAAAGGTATCGACGCCTTCTTGTACTCACCAGAAGGATCCTCGTCGATATCTTTTGTTCATCTTGCCAGCTGACACACCTAATACCCTCAAAAAGGTAATTTAGGCATTCCAGTTGTTCTGCTGCTCACCAGCCTCGGGCTTCGTCTCCTTCTGCGCCTCCTCGGCCTGGGCGTGCTCGCTCTCGACACGCTCCTCAACCTCCTTCGACGAGTCCCTGTCGCTGCGGCGACGAGGGGTGGAACCGGGGGCGTACCCGGTAGCCAGCTTGCGGCCGTGAATCTCAGTCTGGCTGAGGACCTCCATGGCCGCCGTCGCCGCCTCGACGGAGTGGAAGTCGGCGTGGGCGAAACCGCGCGGCCAGCCCGTCGCGCGGTCCACGGCGACGCGGACGTCCTTGACGCCCTCGAGGTTGGCAAAGAGGTCGTTCATGTCCTTGTCCGAGGCCTCGAAGGAGATGTTGCCGACGTAGACGGTCGCTGTGGGAGGGCCGTCGTAGACGCTCTTTCTTGTAGTTCTGTTGTCGTTGTTTCTTCCGCCCCTTTCCCTGGCGGGTCTGCTTGCGTTTGCGTCGCGAGACTTGGCGACGATGCGGCGACCGTGCCAGAAGGTTCCGTCGACGTTCTCGGCAGCCTCCTTCACGGACTCGGGGGTCTTGAAGTAGACAAAGCAGTAGCTAAAAGAGAGAAGATCCATAGGTTAGCTCCTGATCGACTGAGAGGGAGGGTGTTCAGATTTGTCTCCTCCCATTCTGCCAGAATGGAAGCCAGAACCATCAGAAAGGAATGAGGAAGACATGGAGCCGGAAGCTACATTGAGGGATCCAGGGTATTGAGACATGCCTCTTCTTAGGAGGCATCGAAACGCCAACAACCTCGCCATACTTGGAGAAAGCTTCGCTCAGCTCCTCGGGCTTAACATCGAAAGAGTAGTTTTGCACAAAGAGGACGTTGTCGCTGGGCTCCTGTCTCCGGCCCCTCTGCTCGGTACGGCGGGTAGCTCCTTCAGCATCGCCATCTTCACGGAACGCAATGGAGCGAGAGAATGCTCTCGGCGCCGCGGCGGAGAAGGATCTGGAGGCGGCAGCGGCGTTCAGGGCACGCAGAGCAAAGGAGACGGTCTGGAACTTGGGCGCAGCGGCGGCGGTGACCGAGCTGGTGAAGGCGGCGCGAGTGGCCGTGCGACGGATGGACTGCCTGACGTAGGAGGAAAGTTTTCAATTAGCTTTGTTCAATCATATCATGGGATCGCTGCCAAGTACAACATTGCCGAAACAATCTGCAGCAGAGTACCTACATATTGAAGTAATGTAATGGGAGAGTAGTAGACGGATTGATGGCGTAAGAGGTAGAGACGGAAAAGGTGAAGGGCGAGATGATGTGGTGTGCAGATTGAGATTTCCATGGGCGAACGAGAAATTTTGGGATGACCGTGTCGAGGGTCGCGGCGACAAGATGCGCTAGCCTTGTTTGGACATAGCGTATTTCGGCCGAGTACCTTATCTTATCCACTTGGAGTCCAGCCAACCTTAGCCATGTGGCGCACCAAGCCTCAATGTTAACGCACGTCAACCTTAACTCTTCGTCTTTCTATCTTCATTCAGACAATAAGTCGGTCCAAGTTTTATAACATTGCAAAAGAATTGATATTCTCAGTTATCCCTCATCCCGCCTGGGAGGAGATTGTGATTGGTAGCTTCCATAGCCACTCGCTTCCAGGGAGAGGCCTAGGCTCGTCTCTGGGAGAGCAATTTAAAACGCTGGTTTCCCTTCGGTATCTCCCGCCTTACCAAATAGGAGGGGGATGATCCATAATCTCCATCAGTCATTGAACCTGCCACAGATTTTCCCTATATAATTTTTTTTCTTCCCGGAGTACAGCAATGGACCATACAGCATGCATACTAGATGCTCGCATCGTCGTCCCATTGACCAACGCGTATGTATATACACCTGGCTCTCCGTACCGTTCCCGCCTCGGCCTTCTTGAGCCTTGCCCACCCATCCCCAAAACAGATGAAACATAGGACGCCGTCTTGCTTTTTTTATCTACTGACCAAGGACGAGGGTATATTGTCGTCCCCCGGGATCAGTATTGAACTGGAGGAGCCGATCTCAGCGGAACCTGTGAGCCATTGACACACTCAGGTATCGATACATTCGACACGAAAAGAAATAAACAAACAGCCCGCCAAATGGCATCGTGGAGCATAACGCGTTCCAGCAAAGGCACAGAACTGTAATAGAACACGCAGACCTGCATGCGAGGCCACGAACATGTGGTTGGGTATAGGTAGGTTGATCCTGCGGACTCTTTGCCCATCAGGTTGTTGCAGGCGCGGCTTGTTGAACCACGACGAGCGTGTGCGGTGGCGAGTGCTTGGGGCACGCCGCTTGAACGCATAATATGGTCATGTACATGATGACGGTTGATTCTCCCTTGCCTCTTCAGACTTTGATACGGACTCAGTATCTCTCGGGACGATAGCCGTTAACTCTGGGAGCCTCGTATTGGACACCCGTCATTGAGTCGGGGTTGGGCATGTTGCCGTTGAGCCCTCGAATTGGCGGCAACTCACGGCGGGCCGCGTAAGGATCCGCCTGATACCCTACCGCTTGAGGGGGAGGGACTTGAGACTGAGGCGGCGCCTGGCCTGTGGGGGATTGTTGTAGCCTCGTGTTGTGCAGCTCATTCTGGAGACGCTGAATGTCTACACGCAGGTTGTGGTTGTCTTGTCGGAGTCCGTCGTTTTCCTGAGCCAACGTTGTGTTTTGCGACTGCACCATGCGCATGACGTCTGCCATTCGTTGATGCTCAGAAATAGCTATTCCAGATCAGTGTCTGCTCAAGAAACGATACGGTTGCATGTGACTAACCTTTGGTGAGAATTTCCCACTTTGATGCTTTTGAACCTCTCTCCTGTGGCATCAAGTCGCGCAGTTGGTCAAACAATTCCTTCATCTCTGTCCTCCTCTTGCGTTCCGCCAACTTGTGACTTTTCCGCAGCTCAGGCGTGCGGCTGTATGGCTGTGAGCCGGTCCGCGAGGCTGCGTCGTCGTCGCGCAAATCCCCAATTTGCTTGTGCTGCAGCGAGTGGTGATGAACCGGAGGGAAATCGGAAGAGGTGCTTGATAGACGGTTGTTGAAGTCGGCGGGCTCGTCCAAACGTCGTTGGCCAGGCGGTAGTCTCGATTCCGTAGTGAACTGGCTGCTAGCTATGGACTCGGCGATACTACTACGCCTTGAGTCCAAGTATTGCTCATGGTGGCTGATTCGTTGTATCTCTTCCTCTGGGAAAGCCCATGCCTGACCCTTGGTAGGCTCCGCAGCTCGGGCGATGTTGCTTGTTGCGGGGCCTGTGATGGCCGGTGCGGTCCGGATGATCTTTGGGTGCTCGGGGTTTCTGTCGCTGCTGGGTTGGTAACCATTGGAGATGCGGTGCACGGAAAGATTGTCCAAACCAGGGCGGGGGTTGCGCTGCTGGTTGAGAGTGTTCTGAATCGAGGTAGTCGACTGGTTGTGACTAGCGTATGGCGAGTTCCCGCCCAATCTCATGTCGTGAAAACCCTGATTTATCCGGCTATCTACACTCTCTCTTCGGGATCCAGGCCCCATGATGTCGTGAACCACTCCAGAATCCAGGGATGTCGGGCGTTCGAATCGACGCGGGTCAGCACTGCCGGGGGTCGTTGGCGACACCATGGCGGCGACGCTCATGTTGCTCTGCCCAGGCGACACCAGCTGAGGGATCATGTTAGCCGTGACAGGCGAAGGTGTCTTGTCTGCCAGCGAAGATTGGTAACCCGATCCCGTGGGGCTGAGGGCATGGTGCACCACGCCTGATGCCGCAGAGTTATCTATTGGGAGAAAAAGGGTTAGTTGCGCCCCCTCCAACGCGAGCGTTTCTAGCTTTTGTGTCCAACGTACGCTTGCTTGAGGCATCTGTACTAGAATAATAAGCCGAGTCGCGGTTTTCGTCGGGGTTTAGTACTCCTGCTAATCCCGCAGGAAGCTTCTGTGAAGCTGGTCGCTGTCCGTCCATGTTGTATTTCGACGGATATCTGAGACAATCAGGTATGGTGGCAAGTGAAGCGGAACCGATAGTCGTCGTGATTTACTTGGATCGAATTCGGTGGTCGAAATGGAGGTCAAGTAAAGGAGTGGCAGGAGCGAGGCGAAGCGAAGCGAGGCACAGGCAAGCAGGTGATGGAGGAGACAGAGCCCAGTGTGTAGCGAAAACGTGGCGAACAATTAGATTGTCCGGGGTTGAATTGCGCTGGACATGCGAAAGCAGCAGCCTCTCTGTAGGCGTCTGAAAGCGCAGGCTGCTCGAATGGTGGGATTGTTTGGATAACGAACGAAAGGTGTTGGTGAGAAGGGGAAAAAAGGCGCGATGAGGGTGGGATGGAGAAGGTTGAATAAGGACGAGGCCGAGGAGCAAGGAGGGGAGGTCTAGTAAACTCGAAGGTCGGCCGGCGTACGGTAAGGTAGAGAGAGGTAGAGGCGAGTGGAGGAGAGAGATGGCTCAAAGCAGGCAGTTTCAAGATTGGGAGAACGGGAGCTGGGGGTGGAGGGGATAAGATGGAATTGAGCAGGCGGGAGCGCTAGGTAGGTAGGGTGGTGGGTGGGTGACTTGTTGGCCTGAGCAGACGAGCAGAAGGAGACTCAACCCGGAAGAAAGAAAGCTGGGATCCAGACTGCAAGAGAGAGAAAAATAAAAGAGAGGCAGCGACAGGCGGCGGCCTTGGAACCGGGGTGGGAAGAGAGGAGGAGAAGAGAGGATGCACAGGACAGGACAGGACAGGATAGGACAAGCCCGGGACAGGGCAAGACAAGACAGGGTTACTGGGTACAGGGGAGGGGGGAGTGAAGCTAAATCAAAGTCTCTCTCGCTCCTCTTTCTGTCTCTCTGTCTCTGTTTCGGTGTGTACACTGTCTCCCGTTTCCTTCTCTCTCTTCTCCCCTCAAGCTCTCTCCTTCGCTCTCTCTCTCTCTCTCTTTTTCTTCACCCCAGTCCCTTTCCCAGTCAGTCTTTCACATTCATAGACTTGAGCAAAATGCTGCTGCTGCTGCTGCTACTACTAGACAGAGAGAGAACGGCACTACTTAAACTTCGCTACAACCATCTATCCGGTGTTCAGTACCTACGCACGAAGCGAGGTACATTATACAGTACGGAGCACCAGTTAGATGGCTAGGTACCTTTTTGTCCCTGTGTCCGTGTCTGTATTTCTGCCCAGCCGCGGTAAAAACCAACACATGAGCACCCCTCCTCTATCCGCCCAGGAGGAAAAAATAGACATCGAAATAAAAGACAGAGAAGAAAGGTGGGTAGGTACTGAATCATTTGCGGCTTGCCCTGGCGCCCATATGGCTCTGACATTGTTAACATGAAAGCCGCCGTCGTCTCCAACTTCGCGTTGCTGCTTCATCTACTGTGTCGAGAGTTCCTCATGGTAGGTACGGATAGGTACTTACTCCTGCATCTTTGCCTTTCTCTTTCTGCATCTACGGCCTGCCCGCCCTGAAAATAAGGTATGCCAACGTATTATAGCGCTACTCTGAGCGGGCAGAGCCACCTGGAATAAGGTGCAAGTAACCCGATCGAGTGCATGTACCCATGCCTTGTGCGGCGTGCCAGTCGATTTCGCTGGCTGCTACCCAGATAGCTCACGCCTCCGAGGTCGACCCAGAGCATCGCATGGAGGGGGGTCTGGCGTCCGTGTTGAGGCAGACGAGAAAAGTACTTTGCACGCAGGTATAAAAGACTCTATTGTCTCTGAGCGTGCCTGGGGGGTGTCACCCCATCTCTCCCACAGCCATGCCGGACGGCGCCATCGTCGACGACGTGGCGGCACAGCCGAACCCTGCTCGGGGGTTTTTGGGCACGCATTGGCGCTGTTCACGTTTCTTATTTCCCGGACTCGGCGGTAGCGAGTACTTGGGATGTCTGTCCAGCCCCAAGGCAGCCATCCCTGTCCCTGCACCGACATGACAAGCCATATGGCCTTGCCATCATGTCTCCATACACACGCCGTACACCGCACGCCCTCGTGGATATGCCATACCACGCTGGGAAGCTCGAGGGGGGGACGTCTCCGATGGAAGTGGGGTCGCGGCCCTCACATGCATCGAGCATCTGTTTGTCGTGTGGCATCCTGGAGAAGGTTTTTGCTAACAGCTCTATGTGGTGTGCGTGTGCGTATGCATCCGCGTACCTTTGTCGTCCAAGTGTAAGTAGCTGGACAGAAGCCTCCCGTCTGTTCAACTGCTCGATGGTTTAGTGGACTCTCTGGGGCAGCATACAGGGCTCTGTGTCTCCGTACCTTACTCTGCCCCTTTCAATTCGTGCCCAGCAATTTTAGAGTCTTGTTGCGTTGCTGCTCGCCGTTATGAAAATCTTTGGCGGTGGCATTCTTCTCCCTTCTAGCACGCTCAAAGCGGACAATAGAGCTGCTCATTGTAAGGATGAATGCTGCATTGAGTACAGCAGAATGACAGCGCCAGCCGCAATGGTCATATTTTCCAATGTGCGCATCCGTACTTGACCGTGTGACCTTATCGGTAAATGGTTGAAATGACGATGGTGCTCCGAAGAAACAACAGTGCCAGGGCCGCACCATGCCATGCCGTCGATGCCATGCCTAGCCAGATCAGGCCGGTGTGTTGGTCAGGTCAGGTCGTCCGTCCCAAAGACGGGTCTCGGGCAGCACAAAATAGTCATTCGCAGGAAAGGAGAGCCCAACAGCAAAAGGAATGGAGAATGATGGCGGATCTGATGACGGGCCCGCTATTTCCATGTTTCGTCTCACAATGATCGAGACCAAATGCCACCCAGTCAGTTCGGGGCTTGCGAACTGGCGGGGGCCAGAAGAAACTTGAGAGGCTCGGCGGGCCTTGTCTGCGAGACTGCAAAAAAGACCCATCAAGAAGGGGGAAAGAAAGTGCACGAGGCCGGACCGATCGTACTGGCATTCCAACACAGCGCATCAACGCCATCACCGTCATCTAGGCCTCGTTCTTGCGCTTCGGACTCGGAATCCGGTCCGGTCCCTGTACCAGGCTTCAATATTGGGGTTGTTCGCAGCCATACCATGATCGCCAGTGCCAGGACAGGTATCTGTAGGCCATGCCGTGTCGTACCGTCGTCGAAGAACCTTGGCAGCCCGGTTGAGGAACTTGGGGTGCCATTCTAGGCACAGCGGTCAAGGGGTCGGCCGAGAATTCCAGCGGTATCAACAATGACCGAGGCCTGATGCTGCTCTATATGTGACGACTTTAACTCAACATGGTGTTAATTTTCTGTCGAGTGGTTCTTTGCAGCAATGTGTAATAATTGATGAGCAGTTGCGGTCCCCACGTTTGCTTGTCCTTGGTGCCTGAGCCGTTGTGAAATGCAGGTATGTATACATGGGCACAATGGCCTGCTACTGACAGTAGTGTATTGCGCTCCGTCATGGTATTGGTGCAATGGCCATTCCGTGCAGGCATGCGTGTCTAGCAGTTGAGATGCTGAATGCCTACTTCATCGTGAAATACGGATACAGGCAGCACCGACGCCGATGAGGTTTGAAAATCTTTTGGCCAGGGTCCCCTCATCACCAAACCCCTATCCTGAATGAAGGGATTTAGGCTGGATAGTCGTAGGAGAACTGGGCCACCAGCCAACAGGACTTGCCCCCGGTCCCGGGGACGAGACGGAAGAGGATGGCGTTTCTTGTCCTCCCGGTTGGACGGCGGCCAGAGTGGCAGAGCCAGCGTCAAATTTAAAGACGGTCCAGTGGCCAGGCCAAGGTGTAATTCCTCAAAACTCAAGCCTCAAGTCGGTGGCCGTACTCCGTATTCCGTTGTACATCTGTAAAAGAAGAGATAACAGCAACGGACTGCCCTTTGCTGGCAGGCACGGTAAGGCAGGTGGTGGTGAAGGTGGGCACCATCAGCAGGGCTCGACATGGCATGGCTACCGCGTGCGGAGCTGGTAGCGGCCATAGCATATCCAGACGGGCCTTGTTGCTCGTGGTTGCTTGCCTCGTGCGTACCGGGCTGGAAACAAGCTGGAAGCGGCACCGTTTGCGACGGGCGATGGGCGAAGGGCAATGCGGGATGTGCACGTCCATTCGTGGATGGCGGATCCATCCCGCCATGTCAATATTCCAGGCGACTGGGTTTGAGCCGATCGGTTCCATGTGCATTCCATGCGGTACAGCGCCTGGAAGGATGCCGTACCACCACCGACAAAGGTTCCCGACCTAGGACTAGTCAGCCAAGTGCGGTGGATAGACGTAAGCAGAGCACACCTCCGTCGGCCAGTCCAAGTATGAAAACGATGGGCCGGGGGAGAAATCGTTCTTGGTCAGATCCAGCCGAAATCAGGCCCGTGAAGAAGCGGCACGAGAGGGAGGCAAGGAGGGACCCGGATCTTTGGAGCAAGAACCCTGAAATCCGTGTCTCGGTGCCATGTTATTCGTCTTTTTTGGTTTTGCCGAACCATGGTACAGCAACATGTGGTGATGCAAGGTAGACGGTGATGGTGTCGGATACTGGGCACCAACGTGGCAATCACCATCCGTAGGCAGCTTGGCAGGTCAGATAGGATTGCATCGTTTGTCCTTGCTCGGGGACTGTAGTGTAGGAAAAAAGGCTGCTCCACCAAAGCCCGTCGCGAGCAATGTTGGTACGGCCTGTACGGTACATAATTTGTGACTGGATGATAGGTATGTGGGATTGTAACACAACGGTTTAGCGATTTTGGTGTTTTTTACCCATCTCCTTTTTGGGCGATATGTGTGTGTGTGTGTGTGTGTGTGTGTGTGCATGTGAGAAAATAGGGTACTGGCTCTAAGGTAGGGGGATGCAGCACCGTTTGTTCAAGATCAAGCAAGAATGCTCCCGTCGTTAGCCCATGGAGCCTTCCCGGGCAACTATGCGTACTTTCCCCTTCCTTCAAGGTCTCTTCGCACTTTCCGTCAGGACTCAGACATCTGCATCTGAGCCTGTAAGGGCACAATACCTGCAGATCAACAGCAAGGTACACACTATCTTAGGAAAGGGGTTGGTAGTAGTCAAGGTAGGAGTGAAGTTGAACGAGAGATCCATAGCCGGTGGAGGTACTCCGTATCACGGTATGTTGGAATCCACCAAAAGTCCTTTAGTGTTGGCATCTTCGCCCGTCATGCTATGCAAGATAACAAGATACCCTACGTTTGATTCAGTATTTCCGAATCACTCGACACGTCTTGCGAGGAACTCGTACATTGGCCGAGTGTCTTTTCGCCAGCTCACATGTACAGTGTTTGAGTGTATACGTTTTCGCAAAAGCACAGATAGGTCTGGGAACCGGACTCTTAGTCCTGTTCCCTTCCCGCAGCCAGTGACAGATGAGGGCTAGACTGTCGAGTACTCTTGAAAGTTGAGACACTGGGCCACTACCGTCGCTGAGTTTTCTTTCTCTGAGCTGTACATATCAACAGGCCGTGTCCCGGAACTGGTCATGTCCGCGCCTCGGTGGCTGGGTCTAGTGTAGAGGCGGCTGCGATGGGATAGTGGAAGAGGCGTGGTCCGGTGTATGTTGGAAGATGGCGCTTGGCTCCAGGTACCGTACCGACTAGGGAGCCTCGTGCCGAGTGGGGGAAACTGGTTTATTTTTTCCTTCCGTCTCTTTTTTTATTCCTCGCTTTCTTTTCTCTCCCTCGCCAAGGCACAATGTGGTCCGCTTGGTAGAACTGGTCGACTATGTTAGCCCAACTGGAGAAACGGCGGTCGTCTTCACGTCAATGTAGTCTCAAGTCTGGTGACTTAATTCACAGCGCCAAGAGCGACACAGTCCGTCTTGTTTACGCCTGATGGAAAAAGATGTCTGAGGTCCCTCAAGTAAGGGGATCTCGAGGCTCGGAGGGCCGAATGCAGTATTTTAAGCTGTGTGTGTGTGTGTGTGAAATTCTGGCTGATTAGAGCGGTTCGTTGATGAGAGCGCCCATCACAAGGCCAAAAGTACGTACCGGTGATACGAAGCGCAAGGCGAACGACGTGGACAATAGTGGGTTCGGCAGGCACGGAGGGAGAGTGTGTGTGTGTGGGTGTGGGGATGGCTGGAGGCTTCAGCTTGCTGCTTCAAGCTTGTGAGCGTGAGCTTCCCCAACACTGAGCAGTGTCTGGTCAAGGCCCATCACACTGCTCCCTTAGTCAGCCTCGCAAATCGAGAGCACGCACCTCCTCTAGCTCCAGGTCTTGCAAGGTATCCGTACGGAGAACCGTCACGCCTTGCCCCGTCAAGGGTGTCAAGGTAAAAGTGACATGTGGCTGACCTGCTGCACAGCCTTCCTCTCTCTCCCCAAATCTTATGTAATGAGATACGCTAGCCAACCGGCAGCAAACCTCCCTTTTCCGCTATCCATCGTGGGGCGTGCCATCGCTCCTCCTCTGGATCCCATGTGCGATATCCCGATGACCACGTGCATTTTGTGCTGAATAAGTACGGATACGTTTCTGGCAGGGTACCCGTACAGAATAGATACTCTGCACATGCAGCGCTAATCATGCCTTGGTCATATTCGTCCACGAGCCAAAGTGCCTAGTAATTGGGCAGTAGTTGTCTACTGAGATCTATCCGCACCTGTAAGTGTTCTGACCACTTCTGAGGTATCCGCACTTGACGTTGAATTTCCTGCCGTCATCTCCCCACACCTAAGGTAGGTTGTTGACAGCACAAGGAAGTACCCGTTCCTACCTTACCTCACAGGCTCGCTCCTTCTCGCAAACGTCAAGGTTCACCCATCCTCACCAAAGCCGCCCAACCTTACCGTGCGGACACATCCTACCTCATGCTCCGCTGCAACACCATCTTTGCACTTTATCTGACGGTCAGGCACCCTTCTCGCCCTCCCCAGTCCCTGTCAGTTTCCATTGTGGCATCAGCGCCACTTTCCACAGCTCATTATCCTGGCGTCTACGAATACACACCGAGTATCTGTACTCCGTGTTCCGCATTGCAATTGTGTACACAGGCACCCAAGCTTGAAGCAACGCAGCCCGGATGAGAGTTCCCCCTCTTCATTGCCGCAATCCCTCCCGCCCGGAGGCTTGTCGTCGATCATTACTTCTTCGCCTTCTTTGCAGCCGCACCACACGCCCATGACACGGTAATCAACACATTTCCATTAGACACTATTTGACGTCTTGTTCTGGAATCGGACACGGCCCTGTCTCGTCCTCGCCCCAAGAGCCCAAAGCCGCCTATCCAACACCAATCGGCCAATACCTATCCATCATCACACGGCATTTGTTTGCCCGCCCGATTGGCCTACAAGGACTTGCGAATAGAGCCAGCCACATTGTTGAGTCTTCAGTTAGCCAAGTCGCCGGGCCCGCCAGTAACCCTTTCTTTTCTTCCCGCGCTGCCCTTCGAGGCTCCGATACCTTGACTCAGACAATCGCCGCGAGAGAAGAAATGAAATGATCGACACTATTTGCCAAAATAATGAAAGAGCTCGGGGCTTGCCTGTTCGTTGACGAACCCTATCTCGGTATTCCCGTTCGGATTACATGGTTCAAAGTCTTGGAGTTCCACCAAGACCAATTGCCTACACGAATCTAGTTGGCAGTACGTTTGTCGGCAAAAGACGCTCGGTCTGGAAGGGAACTACCTTGTGCTGGCTAGAGGGAACCTTGTCTCCAGCTCCTTGCTCAGCCAGCCTTGCCAGAATTTTGGGATCAATCACGAACCACGATCGAGTGCAACACTGCAGCGGCCAGCCAATGCTCTGGTGGCCCGAGTTTTACGATACTTTACGTCGGAACCCCCACATTGTAACCAGCAAGAGCCTTGTGGGATACTTTCGGCAAAAGAATCGTTCAATAACCACGGCACCACGGCTAATGGTCAGCGCTTGTCACAGCTACGCCGATCTCACATTGTCGTTCTTCCTTTTGAAACTCACGCCGGACCAACGTTCAAGGGATTGCGGACTGACGACTGCTTTTTTGCCCATGTGGCAAGTTACGAGCATAATTGATAGCATCTTATGCAGTCACGTAACCGATGCAACTAGTTCAATTCCGCTCGGCGACACGCCTTGGGGAGAACAACTCCACAGAGCAAGACATCTCCCAACTGAAAGGTCATAGTAATTACGGTGCGATGGAGTCTCCGTAATGGTCTTGCAACGGGACGTCTTTCCGGACACAGGGATAATTACCACTCAACCAACTACCCTTTCCCAGGCGGCGGCCGTCCCTTACGAAATACCATGTCTTGACTGACTCAAATGCATCACCCATTTGCGGCTCCAAATATGCTTGAGATTACATTTACATTGACTTGTAGGTAATACCGATCACTGGATTCACTTCAAGGGACAAGTAAATAACGTAAGGAACAGATGAGGAATCGCAACACTCCGCTCAAGCTGATTTTTCGATCATCTCCGCAGCCTTTCGACCTTTTACTACAGGGATCGCGTCTGCTCAGCACCGTCAAAGGCCCGGCCACACACCAAGACTCAAGGCCATATTTTTGGGCGCATCCAACCCAATTTTGTTCCCACACAGAACAGAACGCATCGACATTTGAGTCAAGTCCCCAGAGGAACATCCACTGTTCTAGGAGGAGCACTCCATAAGAGAGAGATTCAAAAGACCACCACACAACAGACCAGCAAGCAAGCGTCATGACTTCACATCGCACAGCTCATGTGCAGGGCGCCAGGCTCTCAGCGATGTTAGAAAATCCGCCAAGAACCTCGCAGCTTCGGTCTGTTGCTATACGGATGCTGGAACTGCTCGCTCTGTTTATTCCGAATACCTACGGAGTACTACATAAACGCCGCACAGTACCTAGCTCGCGCTTCAAAAGACCCCAATCTGCATTGCAGGATGACCCTTGTAACCCGCCCTCTCCAGGATGCGGCAGCTTGCACATCATCATTAAACGCAAAAGAGTGGGTTTCTGTTAGTCGTCCCACGTGGAGGTTCGATGAAGGGAATCCGGCGGCGCCATGTCTAGGCGTGCATATCTTTCAACCTAGATGGGAAAAGAATGAGGCAAGCAAGACAAGTTAGCCGCTAGAGACAAGACAGTTGAAGCTGGTCCAATGGAGTTCGTCTGCCAATGCAGTCTTGGGTGTGTACGAGGCACTTCGCGTTCGCTCATCTATCGACACACCATCAGTTCGCACAACACAGCGGCCTTGCGAGCTCTGGTATCTGTACTCCGTACTCAGACGCAGTGTGAACCACACGTTCTCTCGAGGACGAGGGGTGCGGGGCAGGGCCTCAGGGTTGGTGGGAAAAGGCTCCCTGCGTTGCCTTTCCGCCCGTGTGACGGCCCATCGGTTCCTCAGATACGTGTGCCACGTTTCTTCCACCTGCCAGTGTAGGATCTCCGCTGGCGTTCGCTCTGAGCGAGCCCATTGGGTGGTTCATCAACTCCCGGGGTACAACCCACCGGCGAGACCATCATACGTCCACACAAATGCAACACACTGCACCAAGCTTGCAAGCATCCAGTCTCGGTACAATGTCGATTGTTAGCATGCTTGCCTCTTCAATAGCAGCAAAGCAAGAATGTACTCTCAGGTCGCAAACGAGGCCACATCTATAATCCCAGAGTCGGAAAGAGGGCTGCCGTTACAGAGGGCTCCAAGAAATCTGCATGGGGGCAGTTGCCAAACATTTCTGATGCTGCAGACTTTGACCGAGTCTTGTCAGGTAGTTATCTAAAATCCCCTTACTCCGTACAACCTGAGGCTCGTCTAGGCACTCCGCGGTTTCTCATTGACTCGCAAACAACAGAGACGAACCACCATATTCGCATCGGTCTGCCAGTGTCGTGTTTGCTGCATTAGCGAGACGCACCATACTGTTATAACAAAGGGTCACTGGCGCGATTTCATCTCTTGCTATTACCACTGATTTTCGTCGCTTCCCCAGAGAAACGAGGACGACAATCCCCCGCACTCCGAAAGCCATCCATTCGCCGCCTCCACACACCGTTTGAGTCCGGATATATTTGTGTACAGTTACACAGTAGCTTCTCACACTCCATTCCAGGACGGTAGGGGGCTCTCCGCCTTCTGCTAAACCGCAAAGCAGACTGGGCCCAGTGCAGCGACTCAGTGAGTCGTAGGTGCCGCCTCGCGTCAGGGTCGCCCCTGGAAGGGATCGGACGGGTAATGCGAAGCCTTGTTCAAGCAATCTATCTGCACTGTATTTCGCCGACACAGAGCCGTCCCTGGACCCCTGTGCCTCGCAAGACAGGATCACTGTGTCGGTCAAGGTCCGTTTTCGTCCAGATGGGATCGTTGCAGCGGAGACAACTACCGATTGAGAAGATCGTCATACCTTACTAAAAGCACCATGCTTCGACTTTCGCTACAATCCAGAGAAGTTTTGCTTCGGAATAGGAAACTTTGCTCTTGAGGTTTCATGAGTCCAGCCAGACAGTCTGAGGGTCCTCGAGTCCTCTTACATGTCAACCAGTATTCGTACTGCTGATTTAACGTTGGGGAACAAAAAGGCAACATGTTCTGTGCCCTACGCAGGATTGAGACAGCCATTCTTGGGCATGCGGCTTGTCTCGCACTGACATTTGCAGACCAGAAAATCCGAGCAGGGGAGAGACCACAACAACAATAATAAACAACAATGACGCAGCTGGCATTCAGGCAAATTCGGTCGAATAATCATACCATCTCCGTCAGAAGCAGCATACCAGTGAGCCCAACAACGCTCAAAGACTATCTACGGGAGTCTCTGTGAGCAAGCAAGACGGGTTACTTCGCTTCCCGGCCGGGGCCTGATACGATTATTCAGATCAAGTGCATCTTAGTCACGTTTTGACGGCGTATTTGTAAACCAGTATGGCGTCAATTGCTTGACGAGATCGACATCTGTGCCACTGCAAATGAAAGACGTTCACACGCCTACGATCTGACGCCGCGGCGCACTGGCGCTGCTTGTGTCATCCTCGTCACAATTCGTTCGGCTGTGAATGCTCGTTCCTACGAATGTCGAGGTTCAGCTGCCCTGGTGGCTTCCTGTATTCAGTCGAGTCGTCCTTCCCTTGAAGGTATGATTCGAGCTCGCCGATCAACGGCGAGTCATTGTATGGACACTCCCAGCTATGCCATCAGCTCGTAGCCTCGCACGAGACCCACGATGAGGGGCTGCAGGTTCGATAGTAATCTTCAGTTGTCTCGAATAGGCCAGCCGCAATGCATTTTTCGAGGAGCACCTCGCTAGTGCCAGCGACCCTCGTCCAGTACGTAGTATACAGAAGAGCAATGAAAGCGCAACGTATGCCATGCACCTCGCCACTTCGAGGGCATCGATAGCTCTGCGATGCACTGCAGTCTCATAACGCTACCACCTCCTCGAGCTCCTCTTGGGTGTTGATCGAGTTCCGGCTATTGGACGTCATCATATTACCAGTATCCCTTGCTTGTTCCCCCTCGCATTACCGTCAATTCTTCCTACAATAGTCTTTGATCGCGCGGCAGCTTGAGAAATACCTCTTGTTGGCTCACATACTTCGACTCCTTTCAGCAGGCTACTGCAACATCACTGACTTTCTCAGCTCACGTTCACTGGCTTGGGTTCCGCACTGACTTGACTAAACGGGGTCGCCATTGAATACATCTGGCAAACCTAGTACCAATCTACACCGTCTTGGCGGAACAACTTTCCTAGCCAACAACAGTTGACACTTGGTGAATCAGACGCAGTGCTCACCTGTTCGTCCGCGGAGCCATCAGGTTGACGGGACAAAAATCCAAAGGCCAAACCTGGCGCTTCTAGTCGAACAAAGTCTGAGCGACCCTCAACGGCTTCTCATTCACGCCCGATGTAGAATCACCTCAGCTAGACTTTGCCCCGGAACAGGGGCCCGAGTGCAAAGACGCAGGAGGTCACGTTGTGAGTGAGGGCCGGCCAGTGATCTGGTATGGTCGAAGCCGACACACGAATACCATTCTTGCGAGTTACCTGTGAATTGTACTCGACCTCTGTGTCAGATCGGTATATCTAGGCATATGTCGCATCCGAATTTGACGATTGATCACCGGGCGCATAGCTCCAACAGGAGAACTAATTCACATATGGTTCGATTTCTGATCTCTTACATTCCTCGAAGTCACTTCATATGACCCACGGCCACAGCTACACATGATCCCACATCGCCAAGTAGGACGTTTCCTAGCCGAAAGCTGCCAGTCTATGCCAACAAACGTGTGTGAAACAGAGAAACTCGGGCTTTTTTCCGCCACATGTACGGAACAGCTGTTGTGACTAGGCACGGTCGTACTGCGAAAGTTCAGATGACGACTTCATGTACCGATACATGATGCATTTCTCTCCATCTAAGCTTCAAGCTTTCACCCCATACAACGTACTATCCCTGAGCGATTCTCAGACGGCACCTGCACGGTGGCTCGGTCTGCTCAAAGTTGGTTTGAGTGATGGCCGGGGCTCTATTCTTCCCTCAAGTATCCTCGAATGTCCCATCCTACAGGCAAATTGAGCCCCGGTCCCACAGCAAAGAAACTATCGATCGAGAGGGTAAGAAAAGCACAAATTGATTGCTCGTGAAGGCGCCGTACACGCCGTCAACGGCTTTTAGCTCTTGCGGCTATCGGACGATGTCTCACACACAGTCAAAAACAGCAACGATGGACAAACGGTCAGAACATGGCGTGATGCTTAACTCTTACTTCCACGCGAACCAGGCATGCGGACCTCGTTTGTATTTCATTTGAGAACGTAATCCTATCCTATTCCTGGGTTCGATCCGATGAAGTATTCGCTGGAGATAGCAACCACCAGAGGGGGCCTGTTGAATTGCTCAGCTTGGAGGGAAGTGGTCGCAACTTTGTGGTTGTCTGGGCCTGATGATCTACACCAGGAAAGTTTGTACCCTTGCTGGCACAGAGCAGCAAATGATCCTGGCGCCCATTTGATGGTGGGGCTCTCTGGTGGTAGCCGCCATTACGGATACGCAAGTAGGTGCTGCGTCGGCGGCTGGCCATGACGAAACAGGGATAACCAGGACAGCGAAACAAGTCTATTCCGGCCTTCGACTCGTGTTATCTGAAGGAGCTTCCTCTTGCTGATTCGCCGTGGATTCGGCGACCGGGAATACAGCTGTCTCAAGGAGCTGCATGGTGCAATATTCTGGGCAGAAAGAAGCAGGTGATGGGGGGCCAAGAGCTTCATCCCCGCAAAGCATCTTCCGAAGCAAGCAGTCCACGAGATCTAGATCCCTACGAGCTAGGAAGAAGTACGGGCAGATACGAGTTCGACTTTCGTTCATCGAGCGTCGATGCAGGTATCTGTATCTTTCACACTGATGAATCCGCCAAGGCCCTTTCCCCAGGCACCCAGGCTGTCGTTGTTGAGCGTTGTCTCTTACAATCAGGTCCGGCACGGTGCGGGTACGAGATCTACTAGTCGTAGGTCGCAGCTATCACTTAGACTCGAGGGCCACACCCAAGCGAGGTCCTTTCTTTTCGCCTTGCAGCTTCCTTGACACGAGACTGTCTCTACGCTTTGACCGAGAGATCTTGTTTTTTTCCCGATCTGTCAACGACACCGTCTGGGTCGGCTTGGCCCTAATAGGCAAGGATGGGACAAGGCAGAATGATGTATCATTCAACTCTACGCGTCTGCTCAAGGAAAACGATGGACGACGCAACAGGGTGTCTCTCGACTGTTTGGTTTTTTGGGGGGAAAGGCGTGTGTGTACATCTCAATATGCACTGGACCGCCACAACTCACATATTGGCAGAGGTGTCTGAGACATTGCAAGCTGTGCAACGAAAACCTGTTTGCGGCGGTTGCTCTCTACCTCGTGGCGTGGTGTGCGTCCGCCGGCTGCCCGCATCAAACAGTCTAAATTTCGCGTCCCAGTTGGCGCCCTCCCCCGGCCCTCCTTTCACCGGTAGGTAACGAGGGAGGTTTTCTCGTGGAGGGTCTTTCCCACCCACACCATCGGTACCCAGACAAATGTTTCCCGAGAGGTTCACTCGATGGGTTGGTCATGGGTACCGGCATGGATTTCGGGGCGTGGATCGGGTACTGGGGCCAATCTCGAAGGGCCGGCCACGGCCCAGAGAGAGGTTCGGCTGCCGCGGTGCCACGACAATGGGGGTTCAAACGAGTCCAGATGGCACAAGGACCCCCCGACGGGATCCTTTCATTTGCTCTGTAGCGGCATTTGTGCGACCATGCACGATCCAGAGGCACGCGAGGGCGGGAGATTGGCGATCAGTAAACCAGCAAATCCTCAAGATCCAGGAAGCAGGAAGAAAGAAGAAAGAAGAAAGCGGTATGCCATGCTCCCCCCCTTTGAAGCAATCGGCCTGTGCAACAGCGCGATGGGGAGGGGAGCCAGCCACCGGGGACCAGAAAGTGGCCACCCCATCCTTCTCCGTCCGAGGGTCCGTTCTCGACTTTCCCCGCCTTACCGCCCGCGTCCGGGCACTCGGTCCGGGCCCGCGAGGGCAAGCCTCAGCCGATAATCGTCATTTTAAACTACCTGGCCTTGCTGTCACGGACGATTCACACGATAGCATGGCGTGTTGATGGGAAAATATTTGAAGATTTCTCTCCCTCAGAATACACAATCGGAATTGTTTTCGGGCGACACGGGAATACAGAGAGGCTGAGAAGGATGGCGCCCCGAACAATGGGTGATTGCAATAAATCCGCTTTGTTCTTGTTGCAATAAATCATGCGAGATTCAAGTTGGAGGTAGTGGCTTACCGTTGGCTTACCCGACTCAGAGGCAAGGGGGCCCTGCAGACGATTTGTTCACTCTTCCCCTTTCCCACCCATCGTCATTCTCACTCTTACGTCCCGGCTTGTGTCTGTTGCACAACGCTACGCAGCTCCCCTTTGGTCGTTTTGTGTCCCAACCACCCGGGGAGAGAAGAAAGACGTAGAGAGTAGGTATGTCGAGCTCTCTGTCTGTCTCTCTCCCTCTCTCTCTCTCGCGCGCGCTTTTGCACACCGTTTTGTTGGCTTGCCCACCCCATCCAACACGGCGCCACGGGTGTCCGCCCCCCCTTTCTCAATCTTCAATGTACGGCTACCTACCTGCTTAAGTCAAGGTAGGAGTACTCAGGTATGGGCGGGGTTGCACCTTTGGGCGGCAGCTAAGGTAGTGTAGCGTCTATGCATCTTTTTTCTTACCATCTTCATCCATCCTTCGAGCCTGGACCCCCTCCCTATCCTCCGTCGTTTGATGGAGTACTCCGAGGAGACGAAATCTCAAAAAGTACGGCAGGTCCCGTTGCGCCGCATGCGGGAACCGAACTCCTCCTCCTCCATCCTCGTTCGCGCTGTCTGTTTGGGGAAACACATCTACGGATAGTTGGATCCGAGAGTAGTTGGTGGTTGGAAGGGCGGGTCGGCCAAGCCCAAGCGCGAAGGAAAGGTTAGGAAAGGTACGGATAAGCGTGGGTTTTAAAGCGAGATGGTGGCTTGAGGCTTATTTTCTTTCTTAGATCTGACAGGATCTGGTTGCGCTCGCGCGGAGCAGCTCTCCTGCGAGCGCGCGGACTAACTCGATTTTAGGGTTTTGGTCTTCCCCTTGAAATGTAAGATCATCAGAGGGGAAAAGGGGGTTGTGTATAGGGTGATGTGGTAGTGTAGGGCGCGGGTGACGGAGAATAGAGAAGGACGGCGCGCAACGCCTCAAACGACGGGGGGAAGCAAACAGGTTCCTTGGTGAGGATTGCCCTGCTGTTACAACAAAGTCGAAAAAAGAGCGGTGCTAATAATGGGTTGTTTTTTCGAACGGGTTGGAGAGATTTACGCCTCCGAAGTTTTGTTCTCGCGATTGGAATCGGCGCTGGTGAGGCGTGTAACCATCCAGACTGACGCTGAGGTTATCCGGTGATGGAGGGGAGGTCGGGACCCGGCGGTTTGGCTCACGGGTGAGGAAGGACTCAACTTTCACGGTGAGCCCGTGGTGAGGGAGGGGGGGGGGGCTTGTTCTCTTTCCCCTCAACGGTGCGGTCAATTGAGTGAGTGAGTGAGAGCTAAACGTGGTCTAGAGGTCTCGATGCAGTGAGCTGCTCCGGGTTCTGGAGTGTTGATCATGGTGATCTTTTGGGAAAAGGTGTCGGCGGCTGTCGGTCTGGAAGTCCATTGTATAGCGGTGGCCGGGGAGGAGGGGGCTGGATCTCACGTACGACCTGAAAACAGTACTTGGTGGTTCGGATCGTGAGAGGAGGCAAGAACTCCCGGGCCGCGAGACGTCATCTTGGCTTCCATTGTTTGGACCATGCTCTGCATACCCATTCTGCTTTTTGTTGTATATGTGTGTGTGTGTGTGTGTGCGTGTTTCCCGCGCGGGGAAGGATCTCGTGGCTAAAGAAGGAAAGGGGATGATGGCGGCCAGGCGTGGCACGTGGAGGATAATGTCTCTGTTGCAAGCAGACAGGATGACGAGGATCCTTTTGGACGATAACGGAAATCCATCGCAGCTTGACCTGCGGCTGAGAAGGCTCTAGTATTGCCTGGAACGGGTACCCCCCCCCCTCTTTCAACGAAAACGGGCAGCGGGGATGTGCTCCGTACGGCCCGTGGTGAGTTGTGCGAATCGCTTGATGCTGGTGACTCACTGAGAGGCGAAGGTCCGGCCCTATTCTTTTTTTTTTTCTGAACCCGCATTCGATGAACGTGATGGCTTTTACTCTCCCTCATATGACTTTATCACACCACGAACTTTCGAGCGGACGCCATGAGGTTATCCAGAAAGGTACCGACTTCCGCAAACGGATGACTTTGAGGGGAGAGTTGGGGTCAGAGGAGTCGAGACCGAGCTGCTGGGACGGAGGTGGCGCGCTGGATCATTAACGGCATGACGGGCGAGAAAAGTGATGCATTCCATTCGCCTATGATTGTTGGACCATGTGGCATCATGGAGATGAAGCGAGGGCACGAACTGTGAGATAGGTGTAATAGAGTGGTAATGGGACGCCGTAGACACGGAGCCGGTAATGGACAGCGGAGTTTCGGGAAAGCTTCACTGCGGAGTTTCGGATTGGTTGGGCGCGAATTGACCGTCTGACGGCCGTGGTGTGGGGCCGCAGCTGGCGGACTTTTGTGCTTACGCGGAGCGGAGTTTGACGCCTGCTCCGCAACTTCATCCCACATTCCCACCGGCTCGAACGGGGGTTCGAACAACCATCCGCTTCCTTCCGAGAAACCTGGGAGTCTTGCAGAGAGTACTCCAGACTGTAACTGCATCAGCGGACGCAACCCAACCCCCACGAGGATCAAACCGCGTAAGCTGACTGCCTTGAATCCTTTTCTGAAAGGCACGGGAAACACAGAGAGAGGGAGATACGATAGAGGATTTCGAATCGTGATATCGCACATTTCCACTCTTACCACTTTTTTCCTTCTTCCCTCCGTCTCTTTTCCCCATGGTCAATCGGATCCAGCTGGCCGTGCCGACCCATCTATTATCCGCTGCCGTCACTGCTCCTGTCTCTTCCCCTTCTCTCCACAGTCTAGGACCCGACGCTGCCGCAGAAGCAGCAGCAACAGCAGAAGCAGTAGCTGGTCATCAGACCCAGCCATCACAACCGCAACAGCAGCAACAGAACAGAAAAAGGAAAGAAATGTCCGCCGAAGGCCTGAAAGCGATGAGTGATCTGGCGGACGCGGCGGACAAGTCCCGCCAGAAGAGCTGCAACGCCTGCGTACGGAGCAAGCGCCGCTGCGACAAGCGGACCCCGCGCTGCACCCGCTGTAACGAAAAGAACTTTTCGTGCGTGTACCAGAATCTGCCGCCCGCCTCTGCCAGTGGAAGAGGTAATAGCGGTGGTGGTAGTGGTAGTGTTGGTGTTGGAAGCCTCGGCGGCCGGGGCGACTCCTCTTCCTCCGCCGGGGGTATGATCAGTAACCCAGACGACACCCTCCAGGCCATGGACATTGAGGAGGACTGCGGCAACATCGACGATGACCTTCCTCCCTTTGACTTTAACACACTCACTGATCATCATCTCCAACATCAACAACATCATCACCAACCTCAACCCCAGCAGCAGCCCACGCCCGTGTCGTCGTCATCCTACCTCGACGGCGGTCTCCCGACAATAGTGATGACGGAGGACATCCACAACGGCATCGGCAGCGGCAACAACAGCGGGAGCAACATCGACAACGCCACGTCGGTGCCGCCCACGTCGTCGCTGAACCTCGACTTGAATGCCGCCAACGCGCCCTTTGACTTCAACTCGGTCATGGATTTCCTGAACGCGGACCCGACAGCCGGCGGTGAGCTTCAGCTTTGGGAGACGCCCTTGACGCCCATCGTGCAGAAGACCATACTGCCTGAGATTAACCAGCTGAGTCCGTGTGACTGGGATAATGAGATGGGGGAAGCATGCGTAAGTTTATGAATCTCTCCTCATGTGTTGTGGTTCTTATATCTCCTATAACCTCACTGCTCTTCATATATCTATCTCCCTTGGCTCGTTCTTTCGTGCTAGTTTTCTGTCAGAGCCACATTTCTCTTTTCTTTTCTCTCCTCGTCACCAACCCCACCCTGCGGGATGAAATACTCACGCCAGCCTCACAGGGCGGCTTTCAACCATGGCAAATCCACGAACCAAACTCCCGCATCGGCCACCTCGTCAGCATCGTCAAGAACATGCACGTCGTCTTCGCCCAGACCAAGCAGACCCCCTTCCTTCACCGGCACCTCTACCGCGGCGTCCGCGAGACGCCCAGGCCCCTGATGGCGGCCTACACCGCCATCTCGGCGTACGCGGGCATGACGGAGTCCAATAAGGACTGGGCAATCCGCGCCGTCTGCGAGGGCGCCAACGAGATCCTCAAGGGCGGTGCTGGCGCTGGTGCTGGCAACGCCAAGGACTCAACAACAACATCGACATCAACAACGACAGCAGCAGCAGGGAGCAACATCACGGGACACGAGAAGCTCGCAAGGGCACAGGCCCTATTCCTGATCCAAACGGTGCGGTGCTTCGACGGCGACATAGCGCTGCGCGCGCAGGCGGAGCGGGACATGGGCGTCCTCGAGAAGTGGTTAAAGGACCTCGAGGGGTTGAGGGACAACTTTGACGAGGTGCATCTTCTAGACGACGGCGCGTTGCGCGGGAGACCGCCGCGGTCCTGGGAGGTGTGGATCTTTAACGAGTGCGTGAGGCGGACTGTGTTGATGGGGTATGTCTTTACAAGCATGTATCAGATGCTCAAGAGTGCTGGTGATTTTGGTAAGGCTTCTATTCTTTTTCTTTATGACCGCCCACCCCATTGCCTCTTTTTTCCCTCTCTTTTCTCTTGCGCTGCAGTTAATGCTGACTCTTCTTTAGATCCCGACCTGGCACCTTGGCTCATCCCGCACCGCTGGACCTTCTCGAAGCACCTCTGGGACGCTCAGTCTTCGCCGACCTTCTTCACTGCGTGGCGCGAGAAGCCCATGTTCCTAGTCAACAGCTTCTTCGTGCAAGGCGTCGCCAAGATAATGCGGCCGGCGGATGTGGACGATTTTGCGAGGATGTTCCTCACCATGTGAGTATTGTCCCTATTCCATTCCGGTGTCTTTCTTGTGGAGAAGGTTATGAGATTGTGATGGGAGGCTAATCCGCTCGGCGACGACAGGACTGTTGGTGTTGAGGAGATGAAGCATTTCATGCTCGAGGTGTAAGACGTGCTAGGTTACTTGAAGGGTGTTTGGTTAGGTTTGGAAGCGTACGGTACTGTCTCTAGGCTCTGCGTCCTTATTTGTATGACGGAGGAGATGCTGGGTGGGCTTTGCTGCGCAGGTTATCTGGGTGATATAGGAGTTTATGGGGACTTGGTATAGCGATTTCTTTGCCGATGTTTAGCACATTCTCAGGGGTCATTCTCATTATCAGTCTTGGAAGACCCAAACGCTCACTGTTTTCACGTTCAACGGACCAAGTCAGAACCCCACACGTTGAAAGGTTATTCGACGAACTAATGATCACTACTCCAACTGATTGAAACGTATTTACCCATGTCCAGCATCATCATTGCAATAGGTCAGTAGCCACGGGACTGGGCGGGTAAAATAAGTATATAGAGCTGAATCGTCAGCAGCTCTCAGCGGCTACATCAGAGTCAAGCCCTAAGTATTGGTCTCATGATCAAAACGGAAGAGAGGCAGAGGCACTTGTTCAGTCAGACATATTGCGGGACCCCTCAAAGATTTAGCCGGAATCTAATCCTAGTCAGGGCAACTTGAACATACTAGGTTCACTATCATGGTCTTCAGATATGGTCCCTCTCTTTCGATAGTGAACATACATCAGGAATTCAAAGGCACAGTCCAAGGCATATATAGTGAGCTCCATGGTACGCTAAGTAAACTTGGCTAGAAAGCGGAAAGACAGACAAAAAGGTTCATGGCTATGAACAAGGCTGATCGTAGCAAGGCAAAATAAGGATGAATACTGCTCTGGAAGCTTTTGTTGCTACCCTTGCAGAACAGCGTATGATGCTACATGATGGTGTTTATCAAGTCAGGGAGGAGACCCAACAGCCATGTTGGGTTTTCAAAGACTATCAAGACGTAAGTTTGCCCATAATCAGGGGGGAACGTGTAGGACAAGCGAAGTAGAGAGACTGATGGGAATCACGAGGACTCTTCTTTTTTATTGGGGGAAAAAAGCAGAAAGCAACATCGCGTGTGTGAATAACGTTCATTGTGTAGTGCAGGCAAGTGCCGATGTCAGGTAGCATCTCTCATCTGGTATCTCGCAAATATATTCACCGTCCACGTTCAACCCAGTTACCAAAATCAACATGAACAGAGCCAAGAATATATTAAGACGAGCCAAACTTGCGAGATAGTTTGTTTGAAGAATATCATCATCAACACAATCATCACTCAGCATCCAACTCCAATACAACCAATCCCAATCCAACACATCACCCAGCATAACCACATCTCAGAAGTCTCCTTCAGCAGCTTTCTCGCAACTACAAAATCTACACCAGAACATCCCTCTCTCGAGTCCAAAACCCAAACATGTCAGGCAAGAAGACAACCCCCATCTACTACCACGATCCCACGAACCCCCCCTGGCAGGATCCAGCCAAGTGCAAAGGCACCCTGAGCCATGGAGGCACCAAGGCCAATAATTGGGGAGGCGCTTCTGGGGATATTAGCGGCGGAGGCGGCAGCAGCAGTAATAGTGGCGGCGGTGGTGGTGGCAGCAGCAACAACAGCGGCGGCGGGACCAAGAAGTGACGCATAGGAGCCCAGTTCTTTAGGATGACCAGCCTGTCGAGGTCGAGGTCAAGGCCACGGTGATCAAGAAAAGGGAGGACTGGAAGGCTGGAGTAGTAGTCGCATTGGCAGTAGTCCCAGGATACCCCCTTAGTTAGAATCGATCTTTTTACGAGTACTTTGCGTTGAAACATCGCTGGCGATGTGATTTGGTCAAATTCACAGTGTGATGAGAAACCCCACAATCCATGCAAAGACATAATGTTACAGCCAGATGGATGTTCTCGTGAAAGGCGTCGTCTCATTCATTCTTTCCACCCGCTATAATGCTACATCCCAGTCCTCGAGGCAGCCTCTTTTTCTTGGTCCGTTTGATCAGATCACCATGTAGCCAAATCCAGAAACGCTCTAGAAGTCGAACTCGCCCCTGAAGATCTCGGGATCTACGCCCGCAACGGTCTTCTCGGCCAGATCCCGGCGACCCATCTGGGTAAACACTCTCCTCAGGGTATCGTACAGGGTCGTGCTCCTGTTCTGCGCCGTCATGCGGTCAATCTGCTCGTCGAGCTGCGCCGTATTGGCGCCGCCCCTGGAGCCCTCGCCGCCGCCCAGAATCTCATACGCCATGTTGCGGCCGCTCTTCTCAATGGCCTTATGCATGTTAAGCGCGGCGAGGAAGTGCGAAGCCGCCTCGGCGTGGCACCCGATGTTGATGCAGCTCACACCCAGGTTGTAACGCGCGCGGACAAAGTTGGGGTGGATGCTCAGCGCCTTCTCGTACGCCGCGATGGCCTCCTCGGAGCGGCCCGAGTTGGCGAGGGTGGCGCCCAGGCGGTTCCAGAGCAGGTGCAGCTGTTCCTGCTGGTTCGAAGCCCCGAGTTCCGAGGAGTGGAGGGCGGCAGTGAAGCAGTCGACGGCCTTATCGTACTCCTCGGCGCCGTAGAAGAGAACGCCCAGGCCGACCTGGACGTCGGGGTCCATGTGTTCGCCGTCCGGGCTGAGCTGTGCTGCCTTGATGAACAGCCCGGTAACCTTGTCATGCAGTTGCTGCCGGTCAGTGAAGCCCATCTCCGCCATGGGATGCAAGTCAGTCGGTGCGATAATTTGCGGATATTTGACGGAAAGCCACCGCTCCAGTGTGCGGTAAGCGGTGCTGTCGTAGCCCTCGTTGGTGTACGATACAGCCAGGCCCATGAGGGCAGCGAGGTTGTTGGGATCTTGCTTGAGAGCTTGCTCAAGCGCACGAATAGCCGCCGTCTCCTTCTCGTTTTGCGCCTGCGCCGAGCCAAGGTACACCCACGCCTCGGTATGCTGCGGGTTTTGCTGGACTGCAGCTTCGAACGCGAGAGCCGCTAGTGAAAGGTTTCCTCCCTCGCGCATAATGCGGACACCCTCTTCGAATGCGTTCTTCTCCTCGCTAAAGAAGTTGTCCTCTTCAAAGAGATAGTTCTCGATGACGGGATCGCCGAGCCTGCCCCAGTCGCCGTTCATGCCGGTGAAATCTGGGCCCCAGTCCTCGCTGTCGAATTTGTCGAAAGTCGAATCGTCGACCATGCCTCTTGCTGCAGCAGTTTCAGCCTGGATTCCTTTCCATATTGATTCGAAGTCGCCAAAACCTGTCTCACTCTGCATTGCCCTGTCCATTTCGTCCAGTTCAGGCTCCGCAGCCTTGGCCTCCTGCTCCTCCTTCTCCTGCAACTCCATCTGGGCGAACTGTTCCTCCCACTGGTTGTCATCAAGCTCTACTAGCTTTCCCTTGCCCTTGGCGTCCTCGTGTTGTTGTTGCATCGGTTGCTGGTACATGGGCTGAAACGTGGGTTGGCCCATCATGCTGTTGTATCCCATTCCCATGCCCATACCCATTCCCATACCCATCCCCATGCCCATTCTCGGCTGTTGAGCCATTTGGCCAGGCATGGGACTTGCTCTCGCCGATGAGGGCTGCTGGTTCATCTGTCTGAAGCGCGCGAAATCTTCGGGGCTGAATTGGGTTCCGGGGGGTTGTTGGAATGCCGACTCCATGGCAGCTTGGTTCTGGAAGTCACCCGCCCACGTCGGTGATGTTGAGTTTGCGCGGAGGTGAACTCCCTGATTCGCATCGATTCGGACAGCGCCATTTTGCATGGGAAGCTCCTGCTGGAGACCTGGGGCTTTGTTAAGGAAACCGTTCATCATCTGTAAGGACCGGTTAGCTCAAAGGTGTCCGCGACTTTGGAAGTCCGCTGTATGCTGTATGCGTACCTCATCCTGCGGGGTGCTTGCGCCGGCGCTTCGGAAGCCACCGGCGAGCGCATTAGGGCCTCGTTGCACCAATCTATCTCTCTGAAGAGTCTTGTCATCTTGGACATGCTTCTGAAATTGGCTGAGGGGGTTGCCGGAGGTCGAGCATTCTGCGCCACCCATAAATGACATTGTGAAGGGTAGGAAGCCGGACTTCTCGATTCGATATTGTGGCAACCGTAATAGAAATGTATGTAGAGAAGGTAACCCTAGAACTGTGGGAAAGGTCAGTTTCTGGAGAGCTCGGGTAAATGTTGGCTGGGCTTGAGTTGGAAGACAGGTGGGATGTGACTGGTTTGTAATTCAGCCAACCTCGAGCGGCTGCGTCTCCGAGAAGATACCGAGGCAGGCCGGCGGGGAGGCTTAGGCGCGGCACACGGTTGATATCTTTCTCCGCAGCCGGAGGCGGGGTAGCCAATCAGGTTATCAAAGGCGAGAGAAAACGACAGTGGGGTGAGCGCTGACCCCAGTTCGTTTGGAGCTCTGGACTCCGAACCGCGCATGTGAGTGGCGCATGGGCGTACAAGCAACATGTCACTGCTGGGCTTCAACATCTGTATGTTCCTCTTTAGGCAATTTAATCCGACAACCGCGATGTAGATAGCCGGCCTTCAACAACAATATCATCAGCTGTATCAGCTGGACCGCGATGGCTTCTCTTTTCTTTGAGTTCACTGTCTCCTTACCTTCGCATTCTTCACCAAATATCGAGGCAACATTTTCTCCCAGCTGCCCGTAGTTTTCTATGTCATAACCTAGGCTATGGGTATCATGTACGAATGTGCATCCGTGAGTCCTCCGTCTGTGGACTGTTTCCCATCCTCCAGATAGATCTACAAAATGCCGTATAAAAGTTCTCCTTTCGCAAGAGACGCAGTAGCTCTATGATCATAAGCCCTCCTGGTGACTATTTCACCCCAATGAAACCGATACTCTGACGAGCCTTGATGACGGCGCGCCGGAGAGCCTGCTCCTCCTCATCCGTCCATTTGACTGAAAGTTGATCCCATTTCTTTCCGGGGGTGTTATACTCTCTTTTCCACTGCGTGTGTATGGCCTGGAGCCTGCTCATCTCGCGAGGATCCCCAGAGCCAGTATATACGATGAAAGCCGTGCAGGGCGGAAGGCTGTCGTGAATAGCTTGAAGAGAGACTGTCAGACGGGCCAAGCACTGCTCAAGAGGTGATCCGCCGAGCTTTCCGTCGAATTGAGTCTTGTCCAGAGGAGGAGGACCTCCGTCACTGCTGGCACTCTCGACCCGATTCTTGTTCCACCACCCTTGCAGCGCCTCAAGCTCTCGCATCCGACCCCAAACGAAGTCGACACCACCGCCGGGAATTTCCAGTCCATCAGGATCTCCCTTCACAGCACGGATGACACCGTTGACAACGTCCGCATCGGACTTGCAGCCTATTTGATAGGTTGCTCCAGCACCGGGGCCCTTGGACGGTTCGCCCCAATCTACAGCAGCGCTTGTCTTTCCGGTAACCAATCCGCCTGCATCTCCGCCCTGTGCCTTGTACGCAGTTCCGGCTCTTGCTAGCCGCCGGAACAAGTTCTCACCTTGAGAATCGGATGCACCCCACAACTTGCCCTTTTCGCACTTTTGTCTGACGAGATCGAGACAGGCGCGGGAGTCTTCGATTGGATTGTGTCCATTGGCACCACCCTTTTGAATTTCGCGATTGACATACTTCTGAGTAAGCCACTTCAGTGACGCCTTTAGAGGCGGACCTCTAGGGTGGGGGTAGATTAATGAGGTATCGACAATGAAAGGGTGTGAGAATCGCAGGGCCTTCAAGTCAGACTCAAGCGAGTGTCCAATCAGGATGGTCCGTGGAGTGACGAGCTCAACCAACTTCTGTTGGATATCCTTCAATGTGGTCGTGACTGGCTTCAGCATCTCCTCCGTGATGCCGGAAAATCGGGTGACGTAGTCGATAATGGGCTTTTCTGGCTTCACCAGTTCGTCCATGATGAGCTCTCCTGACCAAGAGATGACGCTGATGCGGGTAAGAGAGTATTCGCTCTCTCCTGTCATGCACATCTCGCAATCCAAAGCGAGACATTCTCGACCAGCGGTCACGCTGCCGCTTTCTACCTCCGCCTCAGGCACCTCGCCGTCTTCAAGCTTGTCAACTTTGGAGATTGCCCATCCTTCGGGAACCTTGAAGGTCGCCTTCCTCTCCTCGTTCTCGATGAGTGCTGGGTGGATGAGATGGCCAGCGGTCTCGAGCTCTTCGAGTGATGCCAGGAACTCGGTAATACGAGTTCGCTCATTCTTCCATCCTGAGGGCTCTCTCGCCGGTTTCGGGCCCTTCCTGTCGTCCTTGTTCTTAGGCATCGGTGCCGTCAAAAACGTTCCCATGGGCGAGTGGAGCTTCATGTACTTGTCGTCACCAGGCGCCTTGACAGGCCACAAGTGGGGAAACATTTTGGCAAATCCCTGGAGCGCAACCGGCAGCTGGTCTGCAGCAAGAGCTCGTGGGTAGTAATCGTCAGGCGTCGTTTCCGTCCGGTCCTGGTTCCTAGCTGGGCCAGATGTGTAGTTGTCGAAATTCACACCTTCCTTGAACATGGCTTCCTCCAACCCAGGCACCATCAACACAACAATCTTTCTGAAGTTCGGTCGGTGAGAAACAGAAACCCAGTTCGGGCCCGTTCCATCGGCGAATATGTACAGGACAAGGTCGCGAAGCATAGCGAGGTTGATTTTTGAAAACAGCTTTGCACTCGTGGAGAAGGTAATTGCGGGATAGTTGTTGGAGCCCTCGCGGGGGACCTTCTTGCGTTTTTTGCTGGATCGCTCGACTTTGGTCCATCCTTCGTCATCATCGTCAGGAGCACTTCTCTTCAAGCTGCCACTACTTTGAGTATTTGAGGAACTCTCCCGAGAACTATTCTCGCCGTTCCCTGTCTCGGCTTCGGCAGTCGTTTCGTGGGTCTGAGAGGTCGTTCCGGGGACAACATCGGAGGCGACAATGGTACCCTCTCCGCCTTCGTCGCGATTTCTACGGCGCTTCCCCATCATGTCTCTCGTGCAATTGCTGCCGGAGGTAATTGGGAGAGGTTCAAAGGGTCCAGTGGCGGTAGATCGAATTGCGCCGCGGTGGGTAGTTGAGGCGTATTTGTAGGTGTATTGAGGTTAATTTTCAAATGGAAGCTCAGAAAAAAAGTTCCCAGACATAAAGCACAAATGCGACCGTTGATTCCCATTGTTAGGTGGTTTTGCGGGGCGAGCCAATCGGCTGGGTGCAAGATAAGATAAGCGTCAACGGTCAGGGACCCCGGCCTTGAGCTCCTTCCCAGTCGACAGGGACTGAAACGAGACAGGCAAGAGCAGGCAAGTTAATACCTAGCAACCTGGAAGGTTGTCTGTCGCATTCAGTATCACCTACCTACCTTACCTTGCCATGAGGTACCCTGCGTCCTTCACCGTGTGCCAATGGGAAGAAGCCTTCCCTACCTTATTCGTCACCCATCATACAATTTCTGAGCCAACGGCTACCAATCACATACCCTCGGCGTCACAGAGCCTCAAGTTCACAGATCCGTGCCATCGCAGATTAGTTGAGCATTCTCCGAAATGGAAATCATCCAGTGCAAGTGCGCAAGCTGTCAAGCAAGATTGGCAACTTTCTTCAATCTGTGGACTCAGGTTGGGAAATCTTATTTCAGTCCGACGATTGAGGCGCAAGGCATTACTCAGATGATCGCCAAGGAACCCACGAGGATTGGTGAAGCAGGTTACCTCGTTGCCGGGTGGTAAGGAACTCTTCACCTTTCCTTCTTGTGAACTAGTAGACTGATCTCTTGCAGCGAGCTTCAAGATGTCGCCTGCGCCACTTGTGGTAATATAATCGGTCTCAAGTGTCTAAGCAGCCCAGTTAACCATGTGCTTCACGAGTGAGTCACCTTGTGACTCGACTGTGCCCCTACTTACCCAAAATAGCTCGCAAATACTTCTCAGACAGGCCTCTATTGTTTCTCTGAAGAAGAATGGCACTCCGGTGGAGCTCTATGTGCGCCGCAAATTGAAGCTTCGGGATGACTCTCGCCCCGGGTCATATTCGGCGAACAATCATTTGAATTCTGATTCTCGTCAAGGCTTCGGAAGCGGGCATGGGTCGCCCAACTCCGAACACATCGACTTCTCTCGTTTGCGAGTAGATGTTGATGCGCAGCGGGAGAGCATTGAGAGAATAGATGCTGCCGGTTTCCAAGTGGTGTCCCAACTCAACAGCGCTGTTTCGCGCATCGAAAAGGAGATGGCAAAGCTCAACTCGACCATGGACCAGCTTCAGAGTGACCTCGACCTCCACAAAGCTGACTTGAAGTCTGTCAAGACTGAAGTATTTAGTAGAGAATACTCGACACAAAACAGTCCCGAGCTGTCTCGATTGGAGAGCCAGGTTCGGACCGCAAACACGGCCATCTCTGAGATAAAAAAGCTCTTCGAGGAAGTCAAAAGGGAGAATTATGAGCTCCGAAACGATCTACAAACATCGCGAAAAGATCACAAATGGCTCAAAAGCTTCACCCTAGGTCTACAATCGCATGTGGCAAGCACATATCACACCATACAAAACACCCTCGACATGAGCACTGACAACGCCAAGGAAACAGCCAGTCTACAAATCGAATTGAGCCAGCTGAGACAGATCATGGACCAGGGCCGCAAAAAGAAACTCGACCTGTCAAAGCAGCAGATACCCTCGCGGGAACTGGATATTTTGGTCAGCAACATCACCAAGATTGGAGCTCGGGCAAATCAAGTGGAACCATTACAGATGGAATTTGATCTCTTCAAAAGCAGGTTACAGCGCCTGGAGGCGAGTGCAGGGCGTCCTTCTCAACCTTGCGAGGAATTGCAAATCGCCCCAAGTCAGCAATCCGAGAGCGCGGGCACATCTGGCATTTCGGACGACATCGATCCAGTGTCAAACAGCTTATATGAGGAAGCACCCGTCAAGTTTTTTAGCGAAGCCAGGCCTGCCTCGCCCAAAGTTCTACAGCCTACGAGCCGCAAACGAAAGGCACCAGCAGAGAAAACGGCCGGAGCTGGAGCAGAGAACAAAAGCCCAAGACTCACCAGATCGGGTGCCATCGATGAAAGGAGCATCAAGAAACCGAGGGCTTCTTTGCCCGCAGACAGCAGATTTTGACACTCCTATAGGCAGCTCATCAATAAACAAAGGATGTTTGTGTTCAATTTTGATCTCGTTCAAGGGTATCAATAAGCGGATAAATCGCGGTCCTCGCCCAAGTCCACCTCCAACACAGCTTTTCCAAGCTCAGACAACGCCTTGAGCGGCTCTACCAGAGCATATCGGAAGAATTGATCCATTCCCTTTGGATCCATGATCCAGGCGTTGATCAGGCTGTTCTCCCTGTCTCTGCCCGGAAGGCTCTCAATTTCAGCAACCATCCATCTGAACATGATACCGTCCCAGTCGACCGTTGGCGTCCGATCCTTGTACGAATTAATCAAGGACAAAACCATCTGGCACATTGACACCTGGTCGAGATCCGCCAATACTCTGACGCCGGCGGCAGAGAACTTTTTCTTCGCAGCCATGTCCCTCGCCAGCTTCACCAGCTTTTCCGGCTCAGGCGCTGTTTGAGATAGCTCGGTGGCAATGGCAGAGAGACCTCTTATTCTCTCTACGTGGAAGGGGATGGGATGCTTGTACGGTTCGACCTCATAGGCCGTCAGGCAGGCGATGGCCAAGGCGCACTCGTGATTGCCTAGAGTTTTCCCAAAATAGACTGCCGCCTCGTCCACGAGCTGAGCAAAGGGCTCAATGGCCCATCGGCCATTCGTGGGAAACCACGAGGCCGACTTGTACGCCTTCCTCAGCCACTTGTGCTTCGCTGCGGGTTCCATATTGCGGAGTTGCACAGGAAACATTTCTAGAAGCTTTTGGACTTCAATGGCTTGCCGCAATCCATCTTTGTCGGCCACCTGGGGGTGTTTGAATCTCTCGATATCAGGTGTTACACTCAGCTCATTCAGCCTAGCAACTCTCGGATCTTTCTGGGCGATTTGATACTCGTCCAGGTCTTCGATACACTTGAAGCACTTGCAATCAAAGTAATATGATCTCAGGTTTTCATGTCTTTTGCTCTTTGGCTGTGTTTCGTCTGTAATCGCTTAGCTGATGTCCTTTTATGAGATAGTCCTGAAGGCGACTTTCACGACAACTTACCGATGTAAGATATCTCGACCTCATCCCCGGGCTCGATGAAAGCCATTGCGCGGAGTGAGGCTAACCTGCCATCAAACTGGACCATGGCATTGGGGCTGCATGAGTGATTCATCATGGCAAGTGTTGTGTCCAAGTAAACGCCATCAGTCTCATCCTCTGACACACTAAAAGCATTCGTTTGAAGCTGTATAGCACCATTAGCATACACAGGATATACTCGGCTTGGAGGAGTAAATCGTAGGACACCACGCACCTTGCACAGAACCTGAAAGGCACTCTCCAGCAGGTCAGTCGAATTTTCATCGCCACCCAGACACATCACAACACCACGCGCCTGAAGCTGCAACTTCACCATCTCTATGCCCTGCCACGATTCGACATTGCCCTCTAGCTCCTCAAACTTCTCCATCACCTTGGGCCGGAGCATGACCTGCGCCGCTGCCCGGACCGGCGTCGGCACCCAGTTCGGCTGGTCCGCTGGCTTAGTCTTGTGAAGCCTCTGAATCGCCTTGCACTCGACCTTGTGGACCACGGACCAGTTGGCTCGCTGACACGCCGGTCCGCAGTAGGCCACCGTCTTACATCCCGTGCAGGCGCGGAGCTTCTCCGTGGCTGGGACGTCTTCCTGCTGCTGGTTGAGGCACTGGTTGCAATATTCTAGCGCGCGTGGGCCCGGCGGGAGCACGACGGCCGGGTTGTTGAACCGGGCCATGATGTCTCCCGGCTCAAAGCGGCGTGTTGCATGGATGGAACGACCCTTGGCGCCACCTTTTTCGCCGCGTACCTCTATACCACTGCTTAATTCCGTCATGGTTAAAGCTGTTATCTCTTGGTCGTTCTGGAAGATGTCAGAACTATCATAAAAAAATCTACTGAGAAACCTCTTCAATATGTTGCCCAATCCCTTGGCTAGGGACACAAGGTAAGAGTGATAGATATCTGTATGCGCCACACTTGCATGTGGCTAATGCAAGGTACAACAGGGGGATAATCAAGGATCGACAGCCGTGGAAAAAAGCTGGAGAAGCTCACCGACTTTCTCTGCTTTGGGGGTCGGGTGTGTGTGGGAGCGCGGCAGTCGTGGCAGTGCAGCTTTGTGTGCTTGTTCAACTGGGCTACCGCGACTGTTCAGATGGAACTTCACCGAAAGCTCCCAGGGCCCCACCATCACCGCCCAAGCACGGACCTCCCTTCCTCCCACCTTTCAACCCCGCCTCGTCCCTACTCCATCCCACCAACTCCCGCCTTTCTGTTCACGGCCTTTTTCCTCAGCCTCACACGAGCATACACACATCTCGACCTCACAACACCCAACTCATCCTCCTACCCCAGGTTCCTTCTTAAGTCCCATACGAAACGCGTCAAATCGCCTTAACAACCCTTCCCTAACGCATTGACGTTTCGCGCGCGCGCAAAGCTCTTTCTCATGACTACCATCGAAAACCTCAAGACCATCGACCCCTTCGCGGACGCGGACGAGGGCGACGCGGACAAGCAGAAGAAGGGCCAGGACTATATCCACATCCGTATCCAGCAGCGCAATGGCCGCAAGACCCTCACCACCATCCAGGGCCTGCCCAAGCGCTTCGACCAGAAGAAGATTCTCAAGGTCATAAAGAAGAAGTTTGCCTGCAACGGCACCATTGTGGAGGACCAGGATCTCGGCGAGGTTCTGCAGCTTCAGGGTACGTTACACTTCAGCGATGGGCTTCGTTCGCGTTGTCTTGCTTCCCTTGGGCAGAAGTCCCCCGGTTCGACCGAGGGCCGCTAAAGCGAGCTCCGAGCATGCAAATACACGGCCACCTATGCACGCAACAAGCGAAGCTGACACTCGTGACGCACAGGTGACCAGCGCAAGGCTATTCACGACTTCCTCATCGACAAGCAGGAGGGTCTCGAGATGGACTCCAAGGTACGTCAGATCACTACCCCCCAATGTCTATGTTGAGACGCCCACGTTCCAACTCCCCCGCGTAAACCCAAGCAAGACATGGCTAACCCCGATTCCCCCATAGCTCGTCAAAGTCCACGGCTTCTAAGGGAGCCGTTACTGCCAGGAGGCGCAATCTCCCCCTCGCAACCGAGCGGATCCCGGTGACATAATCTCCGGAAGAGAAGGGGGATTCGAGTACCGTTTGGTCCCCCCCCAAAACTCTTAGATCCATCTTATGAATGCTTTTAGGAGGGGAAAACAAAAGCTTCGTGGAGATGCTCTAGCCTCCGATGAGCTTCAGAAGCTTTGGATGGGGTGGGGCTATTCCGAAAAGGTCGATTCCAACTCAGACGGGGAGAAAGGATAGCCACCGAGAGGATCTTAAAGGTGCCTGCGGGAGATGAACTACGACACGGTTCAGCTGCGCATATTTACAGCGAGAACATGTCGTGCCGCGCTGTGAAACTGGCAAAGGGATTTTTTTGGGCACAACGGTTTTGGTGGGTCTGAGAGCTTTTTTACAGCATCCGCTTTCTTGTTGTGGCTCATTCGCCGTCCTGTGATGATGGCACTGATGAGAAACACGGCTTGCGAAAGGTTATGAGCATCATGCCCAGTAATGAACACGTTAACTGAACTATTGTTATTCTCGGGTGACCAACTGCATGTACTTCAAGGGTCGCGTCAGTGCACGTTGCGTGATTGGTTTTCGTTATCTATGGACGTAATAGACCTTTTCGTACCATCATCCTGGCTCTGGTGTATTCATCACTGTTCAAACAAATAACGTATCCTTGAATCACGCAAAAAGTGGAATTCCAGTACCTCGTAAACATGTTTATCGAGACTACACTCGCCGACCTCCATGTTCTAAGTTTCGTCTGCCATAAGTGCCCACACGTCATTCCCATCCCGGACTGGGATTAGGAATCTAATCTGCCAACTCCTGATGTTCGCTGGTTGCCGGCTCGCTGTCACCTGCATGTTTGACACCGGGTTGGTTGTCCTCAATTTGTTCGCCTTCAGCTTGTTTATCCTTGTTGTGGCCGGCGTCACGCTTGTCTTTGATTCCAAATTTCTTCCTCAAGACCAGTTTGAATCTAGCTTTGCGGCCTAGCTTCTTGTTTTGGGCCATATCGTTCGCTCCGTCGTTGCTGGCAACATTCTCAACATGTTCTGCATCACCACCGCTGTCAGACTTGGCGACCTTTTCTTGCTGCTGATTACCAGTAGACGGGGTGGCCGGATTCATCCTGAGAGGATCATGAGGTCTTGGTCCTGCAGACCCCGGAGCCGGTAGCGCCAAGGCTGCTCGAAAGGAAAGGGGACTATCTCCGGATCCAGAGTAGAGATTTGGGGCTCCTTCCTGGCCCTGTGCCCTGACCTGCCACTCTTCTCTAGGCCTGCTGGGGCCTTCACCGTTGTCGAGTTCCATGTCAATGGCTTTGCCCTTGCCCTTGTTTCGCTTTGGGATCTCGAGGTTTTCTTGTCCTTCCTCATCTTTCTCACTGTCCTTGCTTTTCTCGTCATCGCCGTCCTCGCCATCCTCGCAACCGTCGGCTTGCACGTGTCTTTCTTCATCAACGGCTCCGCAATTAGCGGCACTACCAATGGTGGAAAAGAACGGGAAGGCTGCGGGGTTAAGCCGCAAGGCTGCGGCTGGTGGTGGAACAGAGCACAGCGTGCAGAGACACATGAACGACGGACGACACATCCGAATTTCCTCGCCCATGGCGATGTCCCTTGTGGCTCTGAAAACGGAGATGGTGTCATTGTAGTATCCGGTGAACCGGGCGTTTCCGTTCGGGTCTCCAAAAGGGAGGAGCTCGTTAGGGTCGAGAGGTATGAGATGGTTTCCGAATACCATGAATCCAATGGTGTTCATGAACTCGCAAAGTATAGAATGGTGCATAGCGTTCATTATGTGTCGCGACATAGGAACTTCCTCCAGCCGTGGGCAGAAGTCCCTGTAGAGTCCCTTGATTGCGTTGGCAGCGGGTATCGTCAATCCCTCCTAGAAATTGGAGAGCCGGTCATCTTCTGGTTGGAAATTGGTCACCCTGAACATGGCCGGGCCCTGGAAGATGGCTGCCCCGATTGGGTAATTTCTCATTGCTATCCTCGGGCCTTCTATGAAGGTGAGCATGTGAGGCATGGGTAGCAGCGACATTGTGATGGCGATGACGTAAAGTTTGTGTTGCGTGCAGTGGGTTGTGGATGAAGTAGTTAAGTAGTAGACGAGTAGTATGATTGGTTGATCAAGCAGAAGAATGGGCGAATAACGAAGAAAGCCTTGGGAATAATGCGAGTTGTGATGAAAGACGAAGTCTGTCGAACGAGAAGATACGAGAGAAAGGCAGCAAAAGAGGAAGAGCTCAAGAAGGGAAGCAGAGTAAATTGTGGTGGAAGGAGGACAGCAGTGCCAGGAAGCTCCGGAAGAGAAGGGAAGTGCACGAAAGCCTACCTTACTTTTTAAGCGACCTAGATGCCAGGTACGGGATGCGGTCACTTCTCTTTGGTACACCTTATCAGATACCTAAGAACGACTCGCGGCAGGAAGCTGCTAGCTAGAGTTGGGTGCGATGATTGGGCACTTGAGATAGTTGCTAAGATAGTTGCTATATCGGAAGGAACTTCACTACCTCCCCTTTTCAACGGAACGAAATTGGGGTTTGGAATAAGATGGCACCATATGGTAGCCTTGAGTAGCACGGCATCGCTGGTCTTATCTGCACTCCTATGTAGGGAAGTCAGAACCTGGGATTGCCATATCTCGTCAATGTACTTTAGATAGCTTACCTGCTCGTTGTGACGATGGTCATTGTCTGAATTCATCCAGTATGGAAAGAAAGTCGGCGAAGGACGCGTTATCTGTGATAGCAGAGTGACGAAGACTCGGATAGAATAGATATTCAGAGCTCGCTATGCAGACCAGGCAGGTCCGTGGCCCAGATGCTGTGCGGGCTCCCAATGGCAGGCAGTAGACGGGATAGCTAAGCTTATCTTTGAAAAGGGCATGGGCATCCAAGATATTCGGAAATCCAATAGCCGTGACCAGAGCGTCATGCAAGATCAAGCAAGTGAAGCTGAGGCATTCATCCTGATCTTTGTCGGTTGCTTTCCACAGCGTACTGGAGGATGGTCAACTGGTAACAAAAGAACTGGAAATTTTGATTCAACTTCTAGTTGATCTATGTAACGGTATCATACACCACACCCCACTCTCATTCCTGCTTCTGCGCGGCAAGCTTCTTGGCTTTCCGCTCCTCCTCATCGAGGTGCTGCTTCTTGTAGTGGGCAATCACGTGGTCCAGGTTGGTCTGGGAGCCGGCAATAACGTTGCGGGCGGCGAAATTGGACACGGCCCTGCGTATCAATTGTCAGCTTCTATTCTTCTCTCTTTCCGTAACGTGGAGTCAAGACGCCTTCCGTATGGCAAGGGATACTCGGGTTGGGGGGGAGGGTGGAGGCGTACTCGGGGAATCTGAGGTCGACATCGCGGTTGGCAGGGGTGGAGAAGAAGAGCAGTCTGTCGAAACCGGCCTGCTCAACGGCCTTTGTGTGCAGCGCGTTTCTCTCCTTCCATGTCTCCTGCCAGTGCCACGCCTCGTGGATCTTCTGGGTGAGGTAAGGAGGCTCGCCTTCCTTGCCGGGTGCGGTGATCTTGTAGACAGCGTATGCGGACGGGATAATGGCGACGACGGCCCAGAAGAAGTTCTATCGAGTCTCAAGTAAGCCAATTGAGTTCATAGAAGTGCTAACAGCATAGCGACGGCCAATTGACCGCAAAGGAGGGGTTATTCGCAGACGTACGCCAATGGGCTCCTCGACGGTGTGGGCGTGGTGGTGGCCGTGGTCACCTCCGGAGGCGTAGGTTCTCGATTGGCGCAGGCCAGTCAGCCGTGACTGACGCGCGATGCAGACAGCCCGCGTTCGAATGGCCTGCATCGTGTATGACGTTTCGGAAACGGGGTGTCAATTGACGATGGGAGTTCGGTTGCTGGGAGTGCGTCTCTCGAAGAGGGAGCTTCGGCGTGGTGGAGGTTGATCCAAGGAGCCGGAGGAGCGTCACTTTTCGTAGATTAGCGCTAGCGCGTACAAGCGCGGCCAGCCGCGGCTGTCAAGCCAATCATCGGTTGCCGAATTCAAATAAGTGAAATCGCCTCTTAATGGGGCTTTTGCAGACAACTTGGCCAGACGGACGACTTCGACGCATTTCTATTTCGTGATGGTTACCTGTCCTTTTTCATTGTTGACTCATTTTTAATCTCGCGGTTGTGTATAAAGGCGTGCATCTCTTCAACCAATTCTCATTGCATCAAATTGCATCCTCAGACCGAGTCAAGATTTAAGTTACTTGAGGTCCACCTTGCACACAATCTCTTACAGCAACACAGCGCTTTTAGCTGGTCTTACACATGAGATAAGATCGTACCTGTTCACCCGGCCAGGTTCATCAATATCATCAACATCAACACCTCTGCAACGACCAACATACAAAGGTCAAATTCCTTATTTAAACTGGCCAAAATGGCGTCAAGGAGAGCAACCCGCACGTCTCTTCTCCCGTTCACGATTTTCATGGTCGTTCTCGGCCTCCTCTTTTTCGCATCATCAGCCGCCGCCTCATCACCGTCAGCACCCTCACCATCAGCCGAAGTAGAGCTCATCTGCCACACCGACAACCCATCAGAATGTTATCCTAAAATCTTTCAACCCACAGAAGAGTTCCAGTTAGTTCACGATGATCAAGAATTGCCACACGGACTCCACGTACGCTTAAACATCAACACGGGCAAAAAGGAGGCCAAAATCAATGACCCAACCGAGAAGCACCCGGAACTCGAGGGCCTGCCCGTCGACCGCTCCATTGTGGTCGTGGACTCGGACGAGTCGGCACCCGCGGAGGCGCAGATTCCCAAGGACGCGCCGAAGTACGAACCCGTCGGCGTGGTGAAGCAACCCAAGCAGGAGTCGGGCGAGTTCTACACGAGCCTCGAGTACGTCAAAAAGGGGCCCCACGGAAGCGACCTCCCCATGGACGAGGCTCTCGAATTCCTCGAGGACATTTCTCACGACATTTACTACGGCCTCAAAATCACAGAGACCTTTGACACCGTCAAGTCTCTCTTCTGCCTCATGATCGACCCCAAGACACCCGCGCCGTCCGAGGGCGCGGTGCCCCGCGACCAGCAGGCCGCCGCCATCATCTCCGGCGCTCTCCAGAATAACCCCACCGCTCTCGAGGAGGTGACCAAAGTCTGGCCCCAGCTGATGGACTCATCCTGCCGCTCCCTTCACAAGGCGCCGCAGCTCAAGATCCGGGACGGCTTCTACGCCTCGTTCGTGCGCTCTTCACCCGAGAACGGCGGCGGCGACGCCGCGGACCACGACGTCCTCCGCGCAGCGAACAAGGCCAAGGCGCAAGTCGCCGCCATCAAAGGCCTCATCAAGAGCCCCACCATCCGGGACGACTTCATCGCCAACAAGGGCATGGACCGGCTCCTCGAGGTCCTGGCGCCCAAGGACGCGCAATGGGAGACTGCGCAGCGTAAGGCCGGCCAGCTCGTGCTGGACAGCTTCCTCGATGAGAACATGGGCGCCGACGTGGGCGTCTGGCCCCTGTTCAAAGCGTCCGAGGCGGACAGGTCCAAGAGGATTGCCGACCGCGTGAGCGACGAGAACTGGAAGGTTGCGGTGAAGGCGGTTATGGAGAAGAACAAGGGTGATTCGAGCCACTGGAGCCGGGATCTGTATGAGAGGCTTGACGCGCATGAGAAGGCGCAGTTGAAGTTGATTGGAAAGGATGAGTTGTGATGAGAGTGATGAGAAAGGATGCATAGATCATGACATAGATATACCCAGGTGCTTTTCAGTGTCGTTGTGACAGATGCTCGCTGTCCATGTTGGTGTCCTTTGCAGCGTCGTACAAGTGATGGGCCTCGAAGTACTCCATAAGGTACCTCGACTTGGCCAGTGAGATTTTGGTGGGTCTAACCGATGACATTCTGAAGTGAGAAACCAGGGCTCTCAATCAGTTCGAAACTGGCCACTTTATCCAAGATTGCCGTTGCATCGAAAAACAAAACTGATAGTCGCCAAACGTCACAGCAAGGTAGAGGTGGAAGAGTGAAATGTACTTTTGGTATCTCTTCGTTGAATTCATTCCCATTTTGAGGCTCAAACTTTTTAGCGGACAACGATGTTGTATTGAACTATCATCGCCCAAACAACATGATAGCGGCCTTGCCTTGCTACCAAAACCATTTCCCGTTTCGCCTTGATGCCCGTTTGAATGCAAGAACCTCCCATAGACAGCCCACAACCATACTCTCCCTTACTTCAGGGGGATGAAACGAGAAGAGTGCGTGGCACCGATACCGGGTCTTCCGTGCTTGACGGGGCGGCTGGTAGACTGTTAGCGTTTGTTTCGAGGCACATTGCTGCGTCGAGGCAGCATAATCGGCAAGGGGCGGGGGGCACATACTAAGAGATGGAGAATTCAGCAAGGTAGTGACCAACCATCTCGGGCTTGATCTCGACGGTGTTGAACTCCTTGCCGGAGTAGATGCCAATGACGGAGCCGATCATCTCGGGGACGACAATCATGTCACGGAGGTGGGTCTTGACGAGGTCGGGCTTCTCATTGGGCTTGGCCTCCTGCTTGGCCTTGCGGAGCTTCTTGATCAAGCCCATGGGGCGGCGCTTGAGACCGCGGTTGATGCGCCGGCGGGCACGGGCGTGGACGACATCGCGGAGCTGCTCAGAGTCGAGGTCAAGGAGACTATGGGGCGAGAAGACATGTTAGCTTGGACTGTTCCCCTCATGTGGTGCGATTGATTCTCGGTTTCTTCGGATCGTAGAGGTAGGTGGAGAGAGGGAGAATGGTGATGAAATCATCGTGGTCTTCGTCGATCGTGGGGTGCGACGTGTGATTGATGGTGGTGGGATGTGGGATATGGGCAAACGTACGCCTCGAGGTCGATTCCGCGGTACTGGAACTTGCGGAACGCTCTTCTCTTCTTGAGCTCGGCAGCCTCCTCGGCGTTCTGTATGCGTCCATCCAGTCAGCCAAAAACTGTTCTGTTCCAAGATGTGTAGCCTACGCCACCACGCAACAAGTTCCTCCCCCATTTTTTCCTTGTCGCGGGCGCGTCCATTCCAAATTGCTTTCTTCTTTTTTCCATCGCTCAGGGACACAGGAGGAGATTCGCACGTACGTATTCGGGGTCGTCAGCCATCTTTGCGGGTTGTGAGTTGCCAGGGAATTCGCTTTCGATGCGGTCTATCGAAGGCGAATAAGCTGAATTGCCGGTGGTGTCGAAGTTTTGGAAAGGGTGCTGGGGCTGCAGTCGCTTGGAGGTTTCGCTTCTCTGCGAATCAATCGCCCCACTCGCACTTTTTGGTAGGGTTCGGTTGCCCTCCTACCGCGTCATGTGATCTTTTTGGTTGAAATTCGCTTGGTGAAGGCGGGTGGGCGCACGGGCCTAAGGTCTCCCGTTCTTCTTCCGGCCGCCGACCGGACTTTTTGCTCCACATAGACACCGATTTCGTCCTTGCCAGCTCCTCTTTTGCCGTTGAGACTGTTCCGTGCTCTACCAATGCACGATGGCATCCGGCCCTGTATGCATGAGATAACTGCGATATCATCTTTGATGACTAATGACCCGACACAGCACCCATTTCTTTGGCGTTGGCGGTCAAGCTTACATTGTCACAATGGGATTAGATCTAGCAGTACCTTACTTACCTTACGCGTCCGTAAGAATATGGTCAGTATGGGCAGTCTGCGGGTCCCTTCTGAATCGATGCATCGGGCGAGCTACAAATCACCTAACACAGATCACCGACAACTTACAGTAGCACGCCACAAGAAAGCACGAGCGCCTCATCAGTTTTGACGGTCATCATGATGAAGTTGTCTAATTATTCATAGACCTAGCCTCGGGAACCATGGTTCTACGGCATTCACGTCTTGTAAGACGACCCTGTTTATGCATATCTCGTAGTGAATGTTGGGAAATACTAAACCCAATCTGGACCGAGCCATGGCATCCTCAAGTGGCTGTTAGGCCAGGTCGGCAATATGGCGAGATTCTCTGCTATCAAGCCATGACGTGAATGCTAGGCAACATTACGCAGGAACCAAGATGTAAGTCAAACAAATCATCACCGGACCCTTGAAGTGTTTAAAACAGACTGGTACCCTCGGGCATTGTTCTCCGTCACATGCAGCATGCATAAAAGTAGACAAAAAGAAAGTTGTGTTCATGTATATCTATATCGACCCTCATAGATCTTTTATCATGCCAAATCCAAAAACTCCAATGCTATGCATGTAAATGCCCATATCCCCTATACCATTCCCAGACCCCGTCCGTTCAGCACCTTTGAGTAACAAAAAACTTAGGCGGAGCCGTTGACACCGTTGACCTTCTTGTACTCCTCGCTGAACTCGTACGTGTTGTAGCCATCGTTGCTCTTCTTCTTGTAGAAAGTAGTGCGGTCGTAGGGGGTGAAGGCGACGTTGTTCTTGACACGGAAGACGAGGTCCGGGTTGGAGATGAAGTAGCGGCCGAAAGCAACGGCGACGTCCCACTTGGCGTAGCGCTCGTCGACGGCCCAGCGGGCGCTGTCGCCGAGGTAGCCGCCCGCGACGACGACGGGGGAGATGTTGTCCCACTCCTCGAGGATGAAGTCGAGCGTCTGGGGCTTGGCCTCGTCAAAGGGCTGGACGTCGTCCGTGACCTGGCGGGGCACGATGCCCAAGTTGACGGGGTTGCCGACGGCCTCGACGAGGGAGAGGTAGGCGAGCTTGTGGCCGGCCTTCTTGATCTCGCGGACAATGTAGGCCGTCTGCTCCCAGGTGTCCGGACTGGTGGAGTATGACTCCTGGAAGGTGGCAAAGGGGCTCAGGCGCAGGGCGACGCGCTCGGCGCCGACCTCCTCGACGACGGCCTTGACGATCTCGAGGAGGAAGCGGGCGCGGTTCTCGACGGAGCCGCCCCACTTGTCGGTGCGCTTGTTGGCCGAGTCGCGGGTGAACTGGTCGACGAGGTAGCCGTGGGCGCCGTGGATCTCGACGCCGTCACCGCCGGCGGCGATGACGTTGCGGGCGGCGACGCGCCAGTTGTTGATCTTTTCCCAAATCTCCTCCTCGGTCAGGGCGTCGGGCTTGCAGGGGCGGCCGGTCATCTGAACGTCGGAGGAGGAGCAGTACTTGAAGCCGCGGCCCCGGACGAACTCGGGGTCGGCGGCGCGACCGAGGGACCAGAGCTGCTGGAAGACATAGCTGCCCTTGGCGTGGATGGCGTCAAAGACGTTCTTCCAGGCGGCGATCTGGGCCGGGGTGGAGAAGTCGGGGAGGTCGAGGTCACCGACGTCGGCAGGGGAGACGGCGGTGGCCTCGGTGATGATAAGGGTGCCCGGGGTCGAGGCGCGGTCGGCGTAGTACTGAGAGACGAGGTCGAGGGGGACGGAGTCGTCGTCGGCGCGGTAGCGGGTGAGGGGGGCCATGACGACGCGGTGGCCGAGTTCCATCTTACCGGCCTTGAGAGGCTGGAAGAGCTTGGTGTTCTCGGCGGCCATTGTGAATGTTTGGAGGGGTAAGTCTCGAAAGTCGAAAGGGGGTATCTAGAAATGCAGTTGAAATGGAAGTAGAGAGATGAGATTTACTGTAGATTAGAGAGATGTAAGAAGATGTTTGCGTGTGTTGATGTTGTTCTTCACTTGAAAAGAGGGAGATCTTGAGAGTATTTGTATGTCCCAAAGACTTGGTGTAAGTCCACAACGGACGGCATCGTCGTGGAATCATCTGGAGAGTCCCACCAGGAACATGAGCAGTCCTCGGCACTCGCCCCCACAGCTAGATCTTCCCGCAATGAGTTTGTTGATCCATTGGGCGAAAAGACTTTTCCCGTGGCCCTGGAAGGCTTAGAAATGACCTCCCCTCCGTCGTACACGGCGACAACTCGGCGAGCGGGTCCGACGCCTTGCCGTCCATTTCTCAGCGAGCCACCAGATCCGCTCACTCTCCGAGCGGTGAAACCGAAGCCGGGTTATGGTGCTCGTGCCTTGCGCTGCCCCATGATGTGAAGGGATAGGGGTGATATGGGTTGGGTAAATGACCACTCCAAAGGTAGTCTGAATAATCCCAGGTACTCTGTAGGGCGCTACACGCGGTGTTCCTGGGCAAAAAGGAAAAGTTCTCGAATGTATCGAAACCCCTTGGACGAGGTCTCCCAACTAGTGTAGAAAGAACTGCGGCTCCGCAACGGAATGGGTCCGTGTGGGCAAAAAGACGATGACAGACGATAACCTAGAAGGCAACGAATCATGAAGGCGAATTGGGCCCGATATTGCCAAAAGCGGGTTGAGCGTCCGAGCTCTCTTCGAGGCTTGGGTGGGCAGCCACGTCGGCAGACGAAGTTTTTCAAGGCTCTGCTTAGAAATCGTATAGTACGATGAACGGCAGAGGGGGCCAGAGACTGCGAGGCAACGAAGACGGGGCGCGTGGGTGCCGGTGGGGTCGCGTTTGACAGCTTGTGACTTTTTCAACTTGTTGCCGCGCAGCGAGGGGGTTTAAAATGGTAGGAGGCGCAGAGAGCTTGGTGACGTCCCGGTGGTGATCAGTACCTTAGCTAACACTCAATCTTGCTCAGTGTCCAATTGTGAAGCCTGAATGTAGCCTTGCCGGCCTCCATTCCAAGTCTCTGAGGCGTTGACACAAGTCCAAGAACCAGGAACAGAGCTATACAACCTTAAACTCGTCGGGAAGTTCTGACGTGCTGAGAAATGCCACGAGGTTGCGGCGAACGGCCCGGCGATTCAGATACCTGCCCCACACACCATCATCCTGCCGCACTACCGGACCTCGGGATTTTGCCGGGAACAAATAACAGTAAGGCCAAGCTTCATCAAGAGCCCGCGGCGACTTGGCTGAGAGTGGGATGAAGCCTGTTCGAGTTGTACTTTGCTAGGCGAAGCTCGAGGGTCTAGATCAGGTAATCTCAAAGCCGTGGCTGGATCGGAATGCCATGGCAATTGCTGCCTTAGTACGTAAAATGGAGACGTCTACCGTGGGCAGATGATTGATAATCCCGTCGTGAGAGAACTTTTTCTTGCAACTGCAGTCTGCCAGTCCGAGGTCTGGGATGATGGACGGGATCTTGGTTGTCGGCGATTAGCTTCAGTGGCGTTTATTAACTCCTAAGATTTCCCTCAGCCACACGCCACACCGTTTGCGATGGAGCCCACTTGGAACTTCATCCCTGCACTTGACATTCTGCAGCAGACAGGGGTACAATAAGGGAATCTCACGATGGCTTCAATTCCGAGCTCAACGTCCACCGGTCCCTATAGCGACATCACGCTACTCCAGCTAACTACGAGCCACAATCAAACCTGAGTAAACGACGCACGAATATCCGGTACCTATGCATAGACGAACATCACCTCCAGCCCACTGATATCAATCTTGAGATCACATGCCATGATCCTCACTCCCATTCCGCCCTCTGAGGTGTCCCTTCGCACCAAAATCCCCTGTCTCTTCACTCTCCTCGCCATCAACGCCTATCTATGCAACAGCCCACGACAGCCCTACACCAAACAACCCACCCGTCTGTCCCCAGGCGCCGAAACCTTCCTTCACGGCAAGCATCAAACGCAACAGCGGGGCTCTCCTTCTCTCCTCCTGTCCCGACGCCATAACAAAGGTAAGGTAAGGGGCAGTCTATGCGGGTCCCAAGGTCGAATCCACTTCTCCGCCGTCCGACTTCTGGCCCACGGGAGTCTGTCCAAATGAGGTAGAGAAACACACCCAAATTCTCGCCATTCTACTGCAGTAAGGTCGATAATTCCACATCGCACTTCCGTGCTATTGAAGATGACCTTTTTCAGCGCGGTGATCCATGTCGAGGGCAAAATAAGAATACCATGTCATCCCACGCAGAGACTAAGATCCTATCAAAATCTGTCTGAGTCCGGCATCGAAAAGCTTTCCCGAAAATCTAAGAAAAAAAAGAGTTCACCACCGGTATTGCTACATCTCTTGGTGCTCATGCTGGGATTCGAACTCGGGAACTCTCGTATGCGCTAAGCCTGTCGTCGAGTAAGGCTGGTTGGCGATTTTTTGATTGTTGACCATGGACCACTCCACCACCCAGCCCAGTTTGTCTAGACCCCCCGACCTAGAGGGGCGCCTGCTTTTGCTGGTGGCGGAAATGGAATTGAGGGGAGTTATATACCTTTAGCCTCATGTCCTTGATGATGTGCGGAGAGGTATGGATCAGTTGGGTTCGGTCTGGCCGTTTTCCATTGATGAATACACGTAGTCTCGAGGTGCATAGCTGGACTTCCAAATCCGCGTTGGGTGTGATATACCCATGTTCGAGCAAGTGGCAGCAAACATGACCAGATCAGCCCTAGATGATAGATGATAAAAGCTGAATCGTACTTGTATATGAGCGATAGATCGGTCTATAATGCCATGTCACGAAGCTGTCAAGATCCCACCAGAGTTCTCCGTAAGATGTATCTCATCATCCGTTCACCATATCCAATGTCAACAAAAGCCAGACCCGAAAACAGCTCGCCACCAACGCCAAATCGTCTGATAGTACACGCCGTCCAACCCACCAGAAACTCCCAATGAGAAAGCACCGGTCCATCTATTTGTTATGCCAGATAAAGTTCCTCAGCGAGTCCCACTCGCTGCTCTGCTGGTAAATATACGTCATGCTGCTGCGCAAACTAGGCTGCAGCTCCTGCGGCTGCCAGCGGAACAGGTACATGACCATGGCCCAACTCGTGCTCGCGAAGACGGGCCACGCGTAGTAGCTAATCTTGGCCGAGACGTCGTCGCGGCTGACGACGGGCAGGCCCTTGCCGGGGGCCACGGCGAGGCGGGCGAGCGCCAGGACGACGCGCGCAAAGACGTAGATGACAATCTGCTGGTTCACGCTCGATATCTTGCCGCTGCGCGGGGAGCGCCCGCCAAAGACGATGTAGCCGCCCAGCAGGCCGGCGAAGAAGGAGTCGTAGGGCCCTTCCTTGCCCGGGCTGGGGCCGTAGTTTTTGAGGAGGTACATTGTGAGCTTGTAGATTGTCGCAAACTTTGCGAGGTTGCGGGCGTGTGTTCGGGTCGCGCGGAAGACGAGGCCTGCTTTTTGGCGGAGTCTATTTGAAGGGTTTGCTATGTTAGCCGGGAGGTACTTTCGCGGGGGCAGAGGAGGGTGGTCACGTACGTTCCCGAACGGAAGAGGAATATCATGCTGTAGAGGGCCTGAAGTTAGCATTTTGACTCGACCATGAGAGCGGATTGAAGGTTGCACTACATACACAAGGGCATGAGGAAAGCGGACTTTTGCGCCGTAGACGGCTCCATTGCGGGCGCCTTTGACGACGGCGAGGATGTCGTGGTACTTGGGGTCGAGGACGATGCGCTCGATTGCGGCCTGTACATGCGCGTCAGTTCACGCACCTTTGTTCTCGTTCACATAGCTAGCTCTACCTTGAGGCCGTCGAGGGCGGCGAGCGACATGTTGGCAAAGGTCGTTATCTGGGTGTTGCCTCTATGTGTGGGCGGTCGCAGTGCCTAGCCTCGGCAATTCGTACTCTCCGTAAGTAGACGACGGAATGCGACGACGAGGGTCGCTCTCGATTGAACAAAGCTTCCACTCAGCGCATAGAGGTCGCGATCGTTTTGAAAAGGCAGTAAATGAGCGACAAGTACAGAGTACGTCTACGGGGGAGAATACTAGGAGGGTTCGGACCGGAGGTAATGGGGAACGGAGGTGTGTGAAGTTGAGACGGACAAGTTGTGGTCGGGAGTCGTTTGGTGGTGGTGGTTGTCGATGGGCGGTGGATGACCTTTGCGGCAAGGAGTGGTGGACGGTACCCGTACCTCGGCCCCAGGACCTGTCTGGTCCCACGGTTAGAGGTGAAATCTGGCTGGGTTCGGCTCTGGGCGAGTCACGCTGGAGACGGCCTGTTCCCAACCCCCGGTTCCCCCACATGCCCCAATGACGCAGGGCCGGCGCGCCGCTAAGCCTTCCAGGGATTCGCCCGTCTGGGGAAAACGTCGTGGTGTTTGGGGGGTTTTGGCATGTGATGGCGGATGCCAATTGTGACAGGACAACTTTGCCATTCAACTCTTGGTAATTACAAGCATTTGAACAATTGATCGAATCCTTTAATTCATGATAATTCATGCAGAGAATAAACAAGCCCTAACTGAAGATCATATTCGAGTGAAACGGGTGTAGAATTGATGATAAGTAGGGACAATTGTAAGAGTCAGTTAATGTCTTGGGCCTCCCACGTGTGAATGAATTCCATGTGAATCCCACTTGGCGCCAGTACCGCTGTAGCGGCATGAGCATTCCTTGGACCCCCATTTCTTCACATGTGCTTAAGACTTGCAGCACCAATAGTACTCGTCTCTTCTCATCTCAATCCCAACTCACAGCGCAACGGTAAAGAGTTTAGAGACATGAGATTTTGAAGGAGGTAAAGCTGCGGCATCTCACTATGACAGACTACTAGTTTGTATAGACATGAACTCCACAGTCAACATTCATGCCAGAGACGGCATCGAATCTCAATTCACCCTCAGATCTTGGGCTCGCAGACTGCAATAAACGGCGATGTTACACCTAAGTCAGTTAGCCACACAATTCACACATCCAAACGCAGAGGCAGAACGGCACTCACCACCAAAGAACAATCTCCCCGTCTTGGCGTCGTGCACAACCGTAGTAGACCCAGGCAACACCTCCCCAAGCCCGTCCTCAATGATCTTCTCCCACACGTAGACACCCTCCCCCTCCTTGCGGATGCGCACCGCAGCGCTCTTGGGCCTTGCGTTCAGCGGGTCCTTGGCCGCCTGCAGTATCTCGATGCCCCGCGGGAAGATGGCGGCGTAGACGTCGCCTTTGCCATCCACCGACAGGTTGTCGATGGCGTAGGGCACGGGAATGTCGGCTACTTTCTTCAGTCCGTTACCGTTGTTGCCTGAGAGCGCTTCAAACACCTGCACGCCGCCCGCCATGGAGCTCGGGACGTAGATGAGGCCGTCGAGGCCGCGGACGAGGCCGTTGGGCATGCGGTGACGTTCGGAGACGCGCTTGCATCCCTTCGAGGCAGAGCAGAATGATACGTCGCCGTCGCCCATCAAGGGGCCGATGAAGAATTGCTACAAGTTACGGTGCATCAGCTGAACCTATTTCTATCTTGATCAATACATATGCTTTGTCGCTTACCAGCCCGACCTTGTGAGGTCCGTTGGCATTCGTAAAGTAAAACTCCTCGCTAGACAATGCAGCGACATTATTCGGCGTCGAGATGTTGGCGCTGGCAAACGTGCGGACGTGCTTCATCCCCATCGCCTTAGGGCCTGTTTCGAAGACCTCAATCGTCGAGTTGGCGCCCACGCTCTTCTGGTCCAGGAGAGTGCCAGTGACAGGGTCGACAGAAGGGCCGTTGTTGACCACGAGGATCTCGACCCTGTCGCCCTTTGGTGCGTCAATGCCCGTTATCCCTACGAGCTGGAGCAGCCCGTCGCCGACGGTGCCTGTGAACCCAGGCGTCTCGAGAACGCGGTACTCAAATGCATCGCTCTTGGGGCTGTCAATGTCCAGCGCGATAACGGCGTCCCGCGTGGAGCGGCCCGAGGCGTTCATGTGCTGTGCGCTAGACGCCGGAGCGGGGTGAGGTTAGTTTGCCTTCCCGGATCACACACTCCGGCCCGGGAACGGGAGCGGGGTGCGGGGCGATGATACGGGACGGGTGCGGACATGGGAGGGGGATGCTCAGAGAAAACAAAAACACGTACTTTGGTAGCCATTGCTGACGGGAGAGAGGATCGGAACAGGCGAGAAAGAGCTGGCGCGTGGCCTCAGACAACCACATGTCCTCGCATGCCTGCAGTCTTGGGTCCTCGATGCGGCGACATGAGTAGGGGAAGTCGGACAGAGGCTGGAATTCTTTGCCGATTCCCAGGCCCAGCCAGATGGGGTCCTTGAGCACGAGCTGCAAGGCCACGCCGAGGATCACGGTGAAGATGATGCTCGTTTGGAGAATAAAGCCCATTGTGAACCGATGAAATATGAGCTCCGAACAATGTTTTCGGAATTGAAAAACGACAGACGATATCTTGGCGAAGGTTTGTTCCAGCTTAATAGTTACGGGAAATGTTGGGAATAAAACATGGCAGGTAGGGATCCCTCATTAAGCGAATTCAACGCATGAGGTCAGATCCTTCGGGCACTACCGCTTCGTGATCCACCGTGAAGAAGTAAGCTCGCTAGGGCTTGTCAGAAATAAGGTAGTTCGGGATGCCGAGACCCGTTCGTTTGCTTGGAAAGGTCGAGTCGAGGCTCTGATTTCCCAATCGTAAACGATATACCTGGTTCGGCATGGGACTTTGGTTGTTGGCACAACTTGGAACTGTGCCTTAAGGTGAATGACGACAGTCGCCCCGACTAACAGTGGGCCGACCGTACGTCTCCTCCGTGTCCGTTGGGTCAGTGCATCGCCGAAGCGCACTATGTCTCCGAGGAGTCTCCGTGGACCTTGAACTCCGGCCTTACCTTCCAACCGGCCGAAGCCACATCGGAGGGTTGCTTTAGACCATTCCTGCTTATCTCACCTCGCCTTTGATTCGTCGCCATACTTCTGTCTTCGACGAGTAATAGAGGAAAGAGGCGTGGAGTGCCGCCGTGCTTCTCTCCTCCACCTCATCTTAGGCTGCATGCCCCCTGCCAGCTCATGCTAAGCCTCCCGCCTTGTAGTCTCATTTGGAGGAAGAGAAATCACATCTCTTCTTTCTGGCTGAAAATCTTGACCGCAATTCTCTCCTTGTTTTCTTACTCTATCTCTATCACTCTCGGGTCTCCTTCCTCTCTTGTCATTGCAGTTCCCATCATTGGTCGTCTAATCTGTTCTACCTGCAGCCTCTTCTAGAAGCATCGTGGTAATGGTGCAGCCTGCTTATGGCAGGCTGAACATCCAATGGGGTGGTCAGCGCCGCGTCACACGACAAAATCATATTGGCTCGAGGGCTCAAGTGAGGCTGAAATATTGATTCTGGGAGCGCTGCCTGGCACCTCGAAGATGTTCATTCTTCTGTTCAGGGCGACAAGCCATGCTTATTATATCAGATTTCCCTCGTGTCGTCTCGATGTCGGTTGCTCTCCAACATTCACCACGGATATTCAGTGGACTGGTACGATCTGCTTCGATCTGCTTCAAGCGATGCATCGCTTTTTCAGCTTGTTTTTACTGTTTGCGACTGTAGTCCGAGCAGAAAAAGATATCGAGGGGGTCACCAAGCCGTCGGATGTCTTTTGGCAGCTCGCCAACTTGAATGAGAGTGCTCCCGAGAAACTGGGTAATGTCTACCTCGGCGGTCAGAATTATACATGGTGCTGCCTCAGGGCCGTTGAAGAAGGGTTGAGAATCGACAATGGCACACTGATCATCTACAACGGTACGGTTACCAATATTAGCGCGTTGACAACCGGTGATCTTCGGAGCGCAGCCAATCGAAGTCAGTTCCCATGTGATGCCAAGTATAACGATGTAAGATCTACCATGGCCCCAATTTCCGAGTCTGCTGAAGCTCATCTGGAATGTAGGCGCATCTTGGTGGTGCACCTGAAGTGCGAGTCCAATATGAATGGTTCATCGACCACTGTCCTGGCTGGTCTCTCAGCGACAAGTCTAACTTGAACGCCTGGCTTCACTCCCTCTCGGGTTTCTTGGTACCAGCAGTTGTTTTCTGCTTATCAGTGCCCAGGCGTCGCAAGCTTCATGTTCCTCGGTACGCTGGTCTAGCGAGCCCCTTTCTCATTCTACTTGTGTTGAATTGCTCTGATTTTGTATTAGCCACTTATTCACAGCGGACATCGGCGGCATCAAAAGCATCATCCCAGCAATTCTCGGTGCTATCATAGCAGGCTTGATCGTCACAGTCGACACAATTATATGGCTCTCCATCTGCTTCGCCTTCGCCGGGCCCATGATTCTCAGTGGTCTCTACGAGGCGTTTCTGGACAATCGAGTTCTAGAGTTTCTCAAAAATAGGATCTACGCCAGCCACTTGACCTTGGACATGCGATGTCGCTGTCTCATGCTGGTACTTATTGGAAACCTAGATCTCGCTCTAGGCCCCGAGGGTTTCTCTGCTTCCTCAACTGTTGTTAGGCGTGGATCACCGCAGAGATCAGATGAAGAGGCCGGGGGGCGCGGTGCAGATAGTGCTCCTGACGACAGGCCACCTCCGTCAGGCTCCAGTGATGCACCGTCCATGGGCACAGAGTTGAGGAGACGGGGCAGTGGACGGAGCAGTAGACCGAGCGCATCTGTTCCACAGATTAATGCGGATGATACCCAAGCAGCGCGAGGAGTTACACGTCAATCCACAAACGACTTGGTGGCATCTCCTTGGCGCCACATGGAGAACTTACTCTATGATCTACGACTTTATGACGATGACGATCTTTCCAGGCAGCGTTCTCCTCGGCAGCGGGCAAAGCGATTCATGACACCTGGGCAACGAGAATACACCATTCAAAAGCCACGGCCAAGTTCACAAGAGACCGACCATAACATTATCAAGACCAAAACGCGATTACGCACAATGTTGCATTGCCAGTATTCATTCGGGTCTATTGTTGGAGCACCGGTAATGTCGGTTACACTCAATGATTCAAAAGTGAGATTTCTTCGCTTTACTGACGATTTCAGATTTTTCCTCGGAGGCTTCATCTTCTCATTCCTAACTAGTCTTGACGAACTGGGCGATGAAAATATCGCGTAGGCCAACTCTTCAAGTCCGTTTGGGGGTTGAGGAAACTGACAGAATCCCATAGAGAATCCATTGCCTTCGGATCATGGTACATGGTCGGTGTCACCAATTTCTGTTTATAAAACCTTACTAACAAGAAAGTAGATTATTCCCCATATTGCCATTATCTCTGGTCTACTCCTCGCGGGCAACAACCCGAATATTCTCGAAGGAGTTCTTGCGACAGAGCGCGAAAAAGAGAAACCGGAAGATCCGTATCCAGTCTTCGGCTTCTTGCCCTTTGACCTTGTTTATCCAAGTTGCTACAAGGTCGCATGGCAGTGGCAACGTGGCCATACAAAAAAGTTGTGGATTGAGCAGCTCCTTTCAGTGTACAGCACAACTACCGACGTCGAATTCCCAGGTCACCGAGGAATCGATGGGGACATGAAGTATCTTAGGTCTAAAACCACTTTATCGCTCCTCGACTGGTTTGTTTTACTCTTTCTCACCTTGCTCCTCGTCGGCATCCCATACTTGTTCGCATTCATGCTGGCATACTTCACGCCGCAAATTGGGCTGTCCTGTCGCTCCCTGACGTTCCTGGTTTACTTCGGCCTTCAGCTTGCACAGGTCGGTTTATGGCTCTGGGCTTATGTCGGACCTCCTAGTAATGGCGAAGCCGCTACCCGCACCGGAAATACTGGAAACACCACCAGGCCAATGAACCTCTTCAGGAAAGGAGGGTGGCTCGATGAACGAGGCTTCTATGATCCGTCTAGAGCCCCATGGCATGGAAACACAAGTTCTCGAAACAGGTTCAAGCTTTTCTGGGCCTATATCAAAGACCCAGTGTCAGCTCGACACAAATACTGGTTTCTGTCATGGTACTTGTTGTACTACTCGTTGCAATTCACATTCGGACTGTGCGCAGTGTTCGTTAGCCTAGGGGGAACCTTGATGCAAATCATGGGTGTGTACCGCACCAACATGTGCTTCATCAACGCACATCGTTGGCTGGAGCCGAAAGAAAGACGGCCACCAGTAGTACTATCGGTAAACAGCCGGGAGATGATCAAGTCTGCTACTAGTAAGGATCTACCTGTTGGAAGTTTTGATATTATCGGGAGAGCATAGCTAACGCTTGTCAGCGTACTGGGAGCCGGTCGCCATCGCCGCGATAGCGTTCATGGCAGTTGTTAGCTTCGTCGGCTGGTGGTATCAGAGACGTATGCGCGACGTATTTGGAGAGCGTGCGTCAATTTTCATGTGACAACGTTTTCCGCGGATCTGAGGTTTGGCTAACAAAGTCACAGTGGTCAAGGTGATTGACGATAAAGAGTTCGAACGCGACAAACGGCGTGAACCTGATGGAACAGCTGCAACGAGTAATGGAAATGCTGGTAATGGACAGTAAGGCTGATTATACCAAAAGGGGTCAACATTGATCAGGACGTGAGGACGTGTGATTGCCATGCCCTCGTCAGGACGTAATTACCTTCACAGTATTCTGATGTTTGAAAAAGCCGAAAGCCAACTTGTGAGTTGTTATTCGCCGCAGGGACTTCATCGGTAATATCCGAGGCGATGGACGACGCTGGCTCTCGAGCATTGAGCGTGGAACTCGAAAGGAGTGCCATGCTGGTACTCTACATGGAAGTCCGGTTCCAATGGGGTTTCTTGCCAAGGAGGTTGTCGACGCGGAGGGCAGGCCCGTTGCTCACAGCAAGCCATGTCATAGTCGTTACCAGCCCTGTATTCGTGCAATCAACGTTACATGTCTCGATACCTAAGCACCACTCGGTCCGTAAACCTTCGTCGATGTTTCTATGCGACATCCTTCGGAATGATTCTGGTGAAACTTAGGCCTTGCAATACCTCGATTGCTCGTCATGGTCGACCGCGCACGGAGATGATACGTTGCTTCCTTAGGTCTCATCTCCTAGAGGCGGCCCGTCCTGTCACGGCCCGCGTGCAAGTGGTGACTTCAGAGACTAGATGTTACTTTGTTGGCACATACTCGAAAATCGGAGTACCACTTCCTGTAGATGCAAGCACACGGCGAGCACGGGAACAACCGCCGCTAGATACCCTCCGAGACGAAATACTCATAGAGGCACCGCGGAAGTCGGAGTGGTGAACGTTAGGCACCAGCGATTGAATTGTGGTACCCAGACAAGGATTCGAGCGCAACCAACCAGCCAGCATATCCAATGTCAGCTCGCATTTTCTGGGGCCCCTGGCATCTCACCTGTGCTGTGGAGTCTCAAGAGCCGCAAGAGGGAATCAATATTTCTGACAGGATGAACAGGATGGTTTATTGGACAAGCTCTACGAACACACCGCTTTCCGCAGGGGAAGCCGGGGTCATTGTATGGGCGAAGGATTCAAGCACAGGAACTCAGTCCAGTGCGAATCTCCACAGCGTGGATGCAATTGATCCTTCAATGGTATCTGTAGAGACATCTGGCAAGCTTCTGCTTCCTGGGTAGGCAGCAAAATTGAGATGACTGGGGAGAGAGAAAGAAATCATCCTTGATCAAGTCAGCTCGTGGAGTTGGCATGATGCCACAAAATGCTTGGTACCGTTTCCGACATGCCGCGCTTACAAGACGCGATGGAAATAGAAATACATAAAGAGCCCATCATGAGACGCGTCAACTCGTTTTGATGTATCGCCACCCATAGGTCGACAAAGAAACCCCCCCAAGATTACAATCAATAATGTTCAACCTCGCAAAGACCTTCACCGCAGGCCTAGCCCTCGTAGGTCTGGCCACCAGCACGCCGGTATCCCTCGACAAGCGCCTGCCAGGCCGCGTCGTCCGCGCCGGCGACCCCGTCGTCATCGACCCGACCGGCAACTACATCCGCGTAAGCTTTATGAACGACGGCAGCCTCATCGGCGGCTACGCGGCGAAAGAGGGCACGACCAGCATCCTCCGCGTCGTCCGCTCCACCGACGGCGCGCAGTCCTGGCAGCGCATCGGCGAGGTCTTCCGCGGCGAGAGAGCGACGCACGATATCGACAACGCCATGCCGATCCAGCTGCCGAGCGGCCGCATCCTGTACGCCTACCGGAACCACGACCGCACGGGCGCCGACTGGCACTACACGTACTTCCGCATCTCCGTGTCGTACTCGGACGACGGCGGCGCGACGTTCAAGTACCTGTCCACCGTTGAGGAGCATGTGCCCAACGGCGTCAACGGGCTGTGGGAGCCGTACCTGCGTCTGGCGAGGGATGGCACGCTGCAGTGTTACTACTCGGCTGAGAATTCGGCCGATGACCAGGATAACTTTATGAAATATTCCAAGGACGGCGGTCAGACTTGGTCGGCCTGGGTTCCCGTCTCTGGCGGTGATCGTCTGTCCCGTGACGGTATGGTCGGTGTTGCGCCTATCGGCAACGAAGGAGACTTGATGTAAGTTGAATCGTAATTAAGCTTCCATACCCACCCGGAGAAAGAAACTGACAACGAGCCCTTCACAGCGCCGTGTTCGAACACACCAGGGAAGGTAGGTTCAATGTCGACTACGTCCTCTCCCACGACGATGGATACACCTGGGGCGAGCGTGGCAGCCTCTACACGGCGCGCAACGGCCGCATGTCGGGCGCGCCGCAGGTGTACAACGTATGGGGCACGCTCGTCGCCAGCTTCATGACCAACGAGGACGTTGAGGGTGCCGACGGCTACAACTTTGGTGAGATGAAGGTCATCACCAGCGTCGACCATGGTAAGACATGGAGCGGCAGTGTCGTGACGGGGCCCGCGCAGGCCCATTGGCCTGGACTTTTCAACAGGGATCCGACACATTTCCTGGCGCTGTACTCAAGAGAGGGTGTCGGCGCTGTTAGTCAGTTGTATGAGTTGGTGAACTAGGCATAGGGGTCGTTGAAGAATCGGCCAAACTGTTGCCTATCAATGTTTGGGGTTGTGTATAAATAGTTCACCGTTGGAGTAATATGATAATGACTTGGATGAAATTGTTTGAATGTTGCTCGTGTCGAGCACACTCTGTGCATGATGTCAAATCATCTTTAGAAGGTAAAGCTGAAGTTCAGCGACGACCTTGGCCAGGTTGTTCTCCATAGAAAGGGTACGGATGTCCTCCGTCCACAGCAGAAAATACACGGGTGGTAAAAGAATTGACATAGCTGCCCGAGGGAACGGATTGAGCTTGAGCTGCGCCGGGTTGAGATGGGCCAGGCAGTTGGTCAACTGCATTTGGTGCTGCCTGTGATAATTTGTCTGCCGGGAGTTGGGAGCTCGTATGTGTCTCCGTGGCTCGCGTAGAATTAGGAGCCTTCACTGCTCCTGTTTTCTTTTGTGGATTCCTTTTCTTCTTTGCGAGTTTCCTCTTCCTCTTCTTCAGGGACTTGCCATTCTCGTCCACAGCGTCTTCGTCGACAACCTTCCGCTTGTGCCCGCGCGTCTCTGGAAGATCCGGGTTATTGTGGGCGCGTACGGTCGCACCCGTACGGGTCCTTCAGAAGCTCGCAACCTGTTCGCTCGCTGATATCAAAAAACTCGTTAAGATCCTTCCTCTTGAACTTATAGCCCTGAGCAGTGAGAAAGGTATAAGCTCCCCGAAATCGTGCCTTTTTGAGCGTATCGCGCTCTTTGTGGCCCATGATGATGGATTTATAAATGAGCTGGACTGTCGATGTACGATGGGCGCGTGTTGCAGGATATTATAAACCGGCAGTGTATTTTGATGACGTTGGGGTGATGAGGGACGCCAGAGCTCAGCTCAAGCATGGCAGGTGCAGACAGCTGGCAATCGTAGATCCAGGCCCCTTCAATGCCGCGGGGTGATAAGATAAGATTTTGCATCCTGGCGATAACGATAAGCAATTTTTTTGATGGCGGCTTCAACTTTACCGCAGAATTGAGATCAGTTCGCATCCCAGCCATTTGCATCAAACCCGACGGACGACAAATTCGACCACCGGCACAATGCTTCGTCAAATGTGAGTCGCGACAACGGCAAAAGGCAGCCATGTCGACAAGGAGCTAATGAATGCCCAACAGAAAACCCCGTAATGCTCGCTCCAAGCGTGCGCTCGAGAAGCGCGAGCCCAAGGCCCAGTACGTTCCCCCGATCTCGACAAATGAGTTTCACCATGATCGCAAGCTAATCCAGCAACCCTTCTCTCAAACAGAGAAAACCCCAAGACGGCGCTGTTCCTTCGCGGAAGCTCATGCTCGCAAGTGACACAAGATGCCATCAACGAGCTCTACCAGATGCGCCAGCCGCTCGCCAAGCGCTTCGTAAAGAAGAACGACATCCACCCCTTTGACAACGCCGACTCGCTCGAGTTCTTCTCGGAAAAGAACGACGCCTCCATCCTCGTCTTTGGCCACACCTCCAAGAAGCGGCCCCACGCCCTCACCCTCGTCCGCACCTTCAGCTACAAGGTCTTTGACATGCTCGAGCTCTACCTCGACCCGGACACCTTCCGCACCCTCGCCCAGTTCAAGGGCAAAAAGGTCCCCATCGGCCTCAAGCCCATGCTCACCTTCGCCGGCACCGCCTGGGACAGCCCCATCGCCAACGAGTACACCCACGCAAAATCCTTCTTCGCCGACTTCTTCCGCGGCGAGCCCACGGACAAGATCGACGTCGAGGGCCTGCAGTGGATCGTCTCCATCACGGCCGACGAGCCCACCGACGACGCCGCCAAGCCCGCCATCCGCCTCCGCGCCTACACCATCACCACCAAGCGCAGCGGCTCCAAGGTGCCCCGCGTCGAGGTCAACGAGATTGGGCCCCGGATGGACTTCCGCGTCGGCCGCATGCGCGAGCCCGAGGAGGGCATGCTCAAGGAGGCCATGAAGAAGCCCCGCGGCACCGAGGAGCGCACCAAGAAGAATATCACCACGGACGCCATGGGTGACAAGATGGGTCGCGTGCACGTCGGCCGCCAGGACTTGGGCGAGCTGCAGACGCGCAAGATGAAGGGTCTGAAGCGCAGCAGGGACGTGGCGAGCGAGGACGAGGGGGAGAAGGGTGATGCGGAGGAGAAGCCCAAGAAGGGTCGCAAGGAGTAAAGTGGTTGGTGTGACAAAAGAATGTGGCGACGATTATGAGAAAGAGAGAGTGTGTGTATTGCGGAGGAAACTTGATATACATATCCGGGTGAGAGAAGAGACGACGCAGCGGAGGATCGACCACTCATCGGCGTTTTGTTTTTGGTCAGGAGGCATCCCACGGTTGGAGTTTTGAGCTTCTTTCAGCAGATGGTCGGCAGATTACAAAAGCAGGAACAAAGTCACAAAAAGCATTTAAAGACCTCTATTCTTTCTACTATCGACATTCTTCTTCTCTCCCCGGCATTGGCCAACTAGGTGACGTTCGTACCTGTAGGATATCAACTAACGTAACCACCTCACAGCTTCAGATCCAGATCCGAAACCCTCCAGACCAGACGCTCACCGCTAGGATCCCTCTTCCTCAGCAACTCAATAGCTTCTTGCGCTCTTTCCAGCATGGTGGCGCCCTCGACAATCTTCTGCTTGTTGGGCTTGATGATACCCTGCTCCAAGAGCGTCGGCACAATCTCTCTCTGCATCTTTTCCTTGAAGAACTCATTCTGTACAACCAGGACGTCAGCTTTTTCTCTCATCGTGACAGCATACTCACTCGATTGAGAAACGAAAGAAATCCAAAAAAAACTCACCGCCAGGTAAAAATGCGTCCTCACTCCCCGAAGCTCAACACCATCAGCCCACTCCCCAACCAACACATCCCCCACCTCCATCTCATACACAGGCTCAACCTCCTCCGTCGCATCCCTCACAATAACAGGCAACATGACGGCGACTTTCGTCCCCTTACCCGCAATCTTCGTCAACGGCCTCAACGTGCCCTCGACGGACCCGATGCAATCCAACACAAACGGCACCACCCCCTCCCCAACAGCCCCCAGAATCTTCTCCACGACGTCGGCGTCCCGGTAACTAAACGTCGCCCGCGCGCCCATCTCCTTCAGCTGCGCGTGGTGCTTCTCGCTCGCCACGGCCAGGACGTTACGGTACCCCCAGTGCCGCAGCACCTGCACAGCATACACGCCGACGCTACTCGCCGCGCCCCAGACGAGCACGGCGTCGTCCCTCGCGCGCGGGGCCCATCCCTCCCCCTCAGCTGGCCGCGGCCACGGCAGCTCTACTCCCAGATCCGCCGTCACGGCGTGAAACACGGTAATCAGATTCGTCGGCACCGTCGCCGCCTCCTGCGGCGTGACGTTCGCGGGCAGCTTGGAGACCAAATACGCCGGCACCGTCGCGAAATCCTGATGCGCGCGCTCGCTGAAGTGGTGGAACGCAAACGTAAAGATCTTGTCCCCCGGTTTCAGTCTGTCGGCGTCCTCTGGGTCCTGGTCGGGGCCTACGGCTACCACTGTGCCCGCTGCACCGCCGCCCATGACTTCTGGGTGGTTGCAGAGGAGGCCGCCGTCGGCGCGGTGGAGGTCGAGGGGGCTGGAGGCCGTCCATTCGTTGAGGATGAGGATTTGGCCTGGTCCGGGGGGTTGTGTCTCGCGGTCGAGGAGGATGAGGGGCGCGCGTTTGGCGGGTGTGGCGACGGCCTTGTGGGTTTTTGGGATGGTTGCCATTTTCTAACTCTTTCTCTCTTGACGTTTGGATTATGAGATAGTTGTGTGTGTATCAGGGAAGATTCAATCTGCTTCGCGTACAAGCGAGTCTGATGATGGCTTAAGAAGATTGTCTTCACTATAAACGACACCAACACCCTTGAAGTTGAGAGATTCTCGTGCCATTTTTGTACTCGTCCTTATCCCCACTAACAACTCCCAACGAAAAGCAATTGTCAAACCAACAAAAGCTCAGCATTGCGTTTTCAAGCAACAATCACCACGGACACGGGATGCTGAATAAGCTTGGCGCAAGGGAGTTTCGGCCCCGGTTCGTAGTTGATGTCGTGATTTCTAAGCCAGATGACTGGAGAAGGGATGAGCTGTGTGCCCCCGCTTTCCTCCAATCCGCTGCTCTTCGTCTGATCCAGTCCCTACTTTTCTGACCCAAAAATGAGAAATTGCTTCTGGAATGGGAAGACCATTTCCCCCCCCCCCCCCAGAAACTTTGGGTTTCTTGCTGGTGATGCGTGTAACTGAACCATTACCACATGAGAGCATGTTACGTCACGGTGGCAGTTGTCGAATGCAATGTTCTACTTCGAGCAAGGCAAGGTTATTTCGTCGTGCCCAAATCGATTTTTTCTGAAACCTTGGATCTCCGGGAATGCATGGAAACACAATGGGAATTGCTTCTTCGAGATAGCTAGAGTGGGCTTGATTGATCATACCGGAGCCGTGTAGGGACAAATCCGGCCTAAATCCTTGACTGGGGGCAACGGAACTGCCGCCAAACGGGTCCGGAGCCCGGTCTTTGCCCCCGACCAGTCCCACTTAACCCGGTACTCGCTCAGTCTGCTCCGGTCGGCAAAAAACGGGGAACGGCCTACCTTTCCATTCATATCGTGTCGACTCGCCTGGCTGGGCAGCTGATACTTTGAGCGCGCGCTCGCGCGCCTAGTCAGTCTGATGTTGAGACGCCGAGTCGAGTCGCGCCTCTGACTACTAGGATATCCGGACTTGGCTTAGACAGGCGGTCGATAAGGTACCTTAGGCTGGTAACTGCCAAAATTGTCCAGTTTTCACGTGAAAGGATAGTAAGCTGAAGATGGAGGGAATTCGTGGTATTGTTCTATCAAGGTTCGTGCCCCATCTAGGACCCGTGACATCTCTTCAAGTCCATCCAAAAACTCCTCTGAATCGTTAGAAAAGATAAAACTGAGTGTAGGTGTCGACCCAATCCTTGGAGCGTGGCAGCCCGTAAGACGATGGCTTGCTCCCCGTGTTCCCGCCAACCCGCCGTCGTTATCCTATCCCCAGCCAGGCGCGAGAGCCATTGGCGCCCCCTCCATCTCCCATTTTGAGCGGGAACAAAGGCAACCTCCTCATGCTCCCCGCCTCTCCTCAGCTGGGCTCGCAAAAGCCATCTCTCCTCGCGGCACCTCCCATCGTCCCCCAAGGTCCGTCTCTGTCGACACCTTATCGCCCAGCGACAGCTTGCGAAAAGGGAGGGAAGAAACACAGAGAGACGTGACCTTTGTTTGTGTTTCTTATCCTTCTCGCGAGCCGTTGTAGAAATTGTAAAGGAAATGTTGATAAAATTCGTTCAGACCCAAGGAAAAAGCCCATCAGGGTCTCCCCACACGGGGGGAACCGTGTGGGGAGACCTATGAAGATTCTATCCAAACTCCGTTGCGCCATTTGGTATATCCGTTCATGGCATCCATAAAAAATAAAAAATAAAAAGTCGCTTTATCCGTAACAGTCAAATTCGTCTGTTATTTGTTCGAGATCAAATCGCACGTCCGCTTATCGCTTATCGCTCATCCTAGACCAATATAATGCGCTGAGCATGTTTCTTTTTTATTTTAGATGCGCGAGGGCTGGTTGAGGACGTTGAAGCCCATGGGACCGACGGGCACCGTCCTCTTGGTCTCGATGCCGTGCTCGAGGTCGTAGCGGTAGGTGGGCGGGTTTCCGACCTCGCGGAGGGCCTTCTTGACTCTTGATCGGAGGGAGCGGCGTTCCTTGACGGCGGGTGCTGCTGCTGTCGCGGCGGGGTCCTTTTCGAAGGATTCCTTTTCAAAGGAGCAGATGGTTGAGGTCTCGGAGAAGGTGGAGGGTGCGTATGTTGCTTTGGCCATTGTTGCGGTTTGGGGGGTTTTGAATGGTGGTTGTGTAGTAATTCGTGTAGTAATTCGTAATTTTGGCGGTGATGTTGTTATCGAGAGTTGAGTGAGGGGCTGTGGTTGCGAATGTGGTGATGGATAACTACTTGTAGTTTTGCTTTTGATGATAGCGTTTGATTGATGGAGGATTGGTAGAAAAGGCTGATTGATTGCTGACGCAGGCCAAGATCAACAAGTGGTAAGTTGGGCGTGGCATGCTCTATATAACTATGTTTTCCAAAACGAAGCGATGCACCGCCTCCAATGCCATGGCACGCAATGTCACTGTATCCTGCATCCATCCTGTACCTAGTGTACACTACTAACCCCAAGCACCTAAGGTAGGTAACAAAGTATCCTTTTTCGTAGGACTCATCTATTCCAAGCAAAAGCCGGCGGCGTGGTTTGGGGGCCCCCCAAAAACGGGCGCAAAAACCTGAACAAGCATCTTCCCCCCCCTTTCCTCGTCCCAACCCAAGCCATCCCATCCCATTGCACACACACACGCACGCACACATGCGCAACTTGCACACGCAGTACACGCATCCTCCAAAGATTCCGTCACTGGGAGAATAAACCCCCCCCTCCCCCTCCCCTGGTCCTAGCCCAAGGCATCCGACCAGGCCCCCGGAACAGATCAAGGTCGGGTATCCACACCATTGCGTAGCTTCCACACGTCCTTGGTCCATGGAGGATGCTGGTGCGGCGGTCCCAGTCCCGCCCATAACCAACAATTGGGCTTGCGTGGGCGTGTGACGGGAAGCTTATTGAGCTTAACCTCTTTCGCCCCGTCCCTCACGCCGTCCTATTCACATACATAGTTGCAGTAACAAGTCCTTGACACAACTAAACCCCAAGAGGTAAGTAAGACTACCCAAAGGGATTCCTGTACAGGCAAGACATTACGCCGGTTCGCGTCAGTTTTGTCAATGCGTCAAACTGCCCCCTCAACTCTCTATGCATACAATGACCAGCACTAGCGATAGCCTCGAAGCTTACTCTCTCCCTGCGTGAGCACGACGCTGTAAGTAATGGCTTGCCAGTTGCCTACCACTCTGGCAGTGTCACTCGAAATCTCCTTATTCCGACCGATAGACTTCGGCCATGAGTCACTTGGCGCAAGGCTCAACCCTGACGATGCGTCCGCCTACATCCGGACTTTGCTACTTCGCCATCCTTCTCTCACTCTCGTACGGATCGCAAGGCGTGCCTCGCTGCTTGCAAAGTCCTTTACGGAACCCTTACGGGCGGCAGGGCGGCAATCGAAAATCCAATTCAATGCAAGCAAAGAGCAAAGGAGAAAATCTCAATCCATCCCATCCTCGCCAAAACTGACAAGCTGCGATGAAAAGTTTCTTCTTGTTCTAATTATTGCGAAACCAATGCCACTTTGGCATCTTGGCGAACCCTCCGTTCAACTCAGCCCCAAGCCACCGGCGACGCACTATCTTGACCCCATTGACTGAGGCTTTCCTCTCGCATTTTCCTCGTGGAAATTCACCCATGGTCATCGTGGACGACTCTATTTCGCTTTCGCACCAGGCTTGCACTGCAATTGCTGTGGATACCAAATAGATTCATCAACTCATACCACATTAGACTCACAGTGACTACTAACGCAACGCAATCACCTTACGACGTCAATGCCATACCTAATTAACTTGCTTGGAAATACGCATACATTCAGACATTGAGATCTCCCCCCCCCCCCCGGTCCCGTGGTAGCGGGTTCCACGGACCACGTAAGGCAGGGTAGTAGGAACGGATACAGCAGATCAACGGCCAACGCGGCCGTTCGGTTCCCGGCACCGCTACCGCCAGAAAAATAAGCGTCAGATTATCCCCGCTCCCCTGCCTCCGGGGCTACGCAAACCAACAGGCACCAACAACACCACGGCAACTCTAGCGTAGGAATCTTCCGCCATAGGACAAATAGGACTCGTAACGCTGTAAGACGGCGAGATAGATCACCGGTCCGCTGTGAATACCTACCTACCTACCTACCTCCTCAGTTATACGTGGTAGACAGTCTGATACTTCTCATCACAGTGAGGAAAGGAACCTGAGATCTCGCCGCCGGTGATATTTTCCTGCGTCGTGAGTCACTCCCCCCAACGCGCCCGCCATGGTTACAAAAAGACAACAACACAAAACAACAGAAATCTGGCGTTTACTCTACCCTGTTTAGGAATGATTTCTCCACTGCGCGGTACCAGTTGTAAGACCCCGTTTCTTCCCTGGTGATGGATACCCACGAGAGTTACCTCGACTTTTTTTTCGGCGAGCCAGGAGCGTCCGAACGATGAATTGATTTGATCAGCAGTACTACGGGCGAAAACCGTGACGTTTACCTGTACGAATACCTCCACTGCCGGCCAGTACCACGGAACTGATACCCCCAAGAGGGGGGGGGGGGCAGATCAGCCCTAATGCGGAACGCTGCATTACTGCGAAAGGGACTTTGGGGCTCCGGTGACTCCTCGCCTGGCAGGCTTACCACTCACCACACCCGGTTTCTCACATCATGTCACAGCCTACCTTACCGTCCGGGCACAGGCAGATACCTACTCCACCAAATGTAGGCTGTGAGAAAAGTCCTGCATTCCACGCGTCCAACCCGCGGAGTCCAAAGTAATCACTCCGTCCTCCATCCCAGCAAAGTCAGCAAAGCCAGCAAAGGCAGCAAAAAATCCCCTCCAACGAATAAAACTTCTCGCTCGAGACGGATGAACAAACGTGTCCTGAGCCCCGATACGAACTTCCTACGCACCGGGTGGGGCCCCTCCGAATTCTCTCCCAAGATTGACCACCCATGTCGGTAGTCATCCACTTGAAGCAGTCGTCGTCACATACGCGGCTCTGTTAAGAATCCTCATCTTAACACGCCCTGAGAAAAAAAAGCTTGTCTTCCCACGAGATCTCTCCGAGGTCTCTTGGCAGGCCAAGGCCCCTTCCTACCAGCTTGGCTTGGCTTTCCCGGCCGAGGCCGTCTTACCCTGCATTGGGGTCTGCCTACGGGAATGGAAACCCTCGTGCCTCCTCCGTAACGACGTACCATGTAGACGGTACACCGCAAGGTACCATCGAGCCAGGCTGCCATTGAGCTTCGACGTCGGGATATAGCCGACCGGGGCGGCTCATTCTCAGGCTTCCGTGACTTCTACCTACCTAGCACCTGGGTCCTCCATCCAAGATACCTCGTGACTTCGCTACGCTTGACGACTTTCCAAGTGACGGACTAAATGACATTCATGACCAGAGACGGGACCGAGAACGGAATGTTCGACCTTGTGAATGTGTGTGCGTGTCGAGTTCCGCAATCCGAGCAGACCACCTAACCCACAGGCTACAGAAACCAGCCAGGGGATCATTCGAGCTGTCACAGCCTCTCGCCCTAGAAAATATCACCGGTACATCTTCCACGAGGACGTGGCAGCGTCTCGAGCCCACGACAGAAGCAGACATTCTCTGGTTTGACTGTACGACCGCTCCATTCCAAGCATCGAGATTCTTGGTACTGCAAGGACACACAGAGTTGTGAACTTACCCCCTTTCCATGTCTACGTTTCTAGTATACACCCATGCCGTCAGAAGATGATTGATCATAGGAAACAGTAAGCAACACCAGGCTTCCGTTGAGTGATGTACTTTCTCATCATTCCCTCGAGCTCTTTGTAGACGGTGGGTGGGTTGTCAATCACTCGGCATAACACCCAAACACCACAAGAGTTTGGAAGAGTCGATGAGAATAAAACCCAGAATGAGGAAGAAGGGTGCCGGGATAGGGGTTCAGTGGGATACTCGAGTATGATGGGCCATGGCCGTTAGATTCAATGCCCCTTTTCGTGATTCACTACCGTCCGAGGGAGCTTGGCCATCGAACCTCGCTCCACCTACTTGCTCTTCTCTCTTCAAGTTTCGTGCCTGCAATATGTTCTATACATAATGAAGGAACAAGGAGGTATAGAGACAGGTGAATTAGGTCCAGCCATCTTCGGAGCAAACTCCGGTAGGGTCATCATGCATTCATAAGTATCCAATGTATCCTATCCCAGGAAAACCATCACGACATCTGCTCCTCAACCCCGCCACCGGTAACACCAATATTCTGCTCAACCTCTTCCCCAGTAGGTTTCTCTCTCCCAGCCTCAGGCTCGACCTCCTCCTCTTCGCCCTCCTTCACCGGACGCCACACATCCCCCCTCAACAACGTACACGCAGCATCCAACATATCCCGGTGCTCGCACCCCATCTTCTCGCAAAACGTAGACGCGACACTCATCGTGAGACCGGGAAGCACACTAGGATCCCCGGCCTCCCACCGCCGCATCTCGTCAAAGGTATCATCCAGAAGCAACCTCGCGTGGTGCCGCCCGTCCTCGTCGACCCCGCCCTCGCCCGCTGCGACCTTGCTATACAAGAAAAAGACGCCGTGGCGGATCGTGTTCTCCGCCATACACACACCCATCTCGATAATCTCCGGCCGACTCAGCCCGTTCGTCGTGGGTGCCCTGTACCTCCGATACCCCTGACTAGCGAGGTGTGCGAGAACTACTATGCCCGCGAGGTCTTGCGTAGAGAGATCATTGCGGACGTGGGAGATTTGACGCAACCGCACATCCTGGCGGTTAGACTCGTGGACTTCCCTCAAAGCCAGGTGCCAGCCGTCGGGCGGCGGCGCGTCGTGGAGTATAATCTCCTGATGGATCAGAGACTTGACGCAGGGGTCTCGTCGGGGAACAACATCGTCTCTGTACCGTATCGAGTGCGTCTCCAAGTCCGCAATCGCCGAGCACTGCCAGAGGGCCCTCTTGAGGTTGGCGCGGATGGTGTCCGCCTTGTTCGCGTCCTGGAGCCCGTACTCTTCCCAAAAGGCGAGGTATGCGCCGTGGATGATCTCCTCGATGCGCCGGTGCCGCGTCTCCAGCTCTCGGATGGTATCAAAGGTATCTTTTGGCAGCACCTCCCGCTCGCGTGTGTCGGAGGCGAGGATGTGGTTGCGTGGTGGGCAGGGGTAGCGGGCGGTGTTGACTCTTGTTACCGTGTGCTGGTAGCTATCCAGCAGGGCCCGGTTGGTCCTGCAGGTTGCTCGGAGGTCTTGTATCTGGGCAAAGTCTGCGTGCTCTGCTACGAGGAGGAGAAGGTGGCCGGGTAAGAGTGAAGACATTGTATCCAAGGTTTAGATGGTAGTTGGGTAGTTTAGGTGAATGTTGGAGTAGAGGTTGTACAAGACGCAGTTGGATGGACAAGGAGGTTTCAAATCAACCTCTATCGGCCTGTAGTTGCCCTCTGAGATGTGTGGTTTTGAGGGGAGGTAGCAAGAAGTGAGCCAGTGTCGCTCTTGAATCTTCTGATTCCTTCGTTGCTCCTGCTGCCCCTATGCCGTGCTGTCAACCTCGTCTGTTTTGGTATTCAGAATCGCACCAGGGTAATGTGAATAGTAGATATTTGAGAATAAATGGAATAAATTGAAGTGAAGTGATTCGAAATGCAATAATCTGTAAGATTCGAGTTCGTGATGCGGTGATGTGTGTATGAGGTATGCCAGTCGCGTATAAGTAGGCAGGGGTCAGAGCGTTCTGAATCACTCTACTCCTTGGAAATTGAGATTCAGATGAGATAGTTGACAAAAGCAGTGATTCACTATTCACAGCAAATCGTCCAAAAGATTTCAATCTGAAATTTGGGTAGTTGAGATGAGATATGGAAAAGAGATTAAGCAACAGAGATATAGCATCGCAAGTGTAAGCCAAGTGCGCACCCGGCTGTCCTTCAACGACGTCGCGACCGGCCATCCAGGTTCTCACTTGACGACACAGGCCGCACTCCGCCCCAGATTTCGTCCATGTCCCAAAAAATGGTGTCAGCGATCATCAAAGAGGGCAATTCAGTCTTAGTGCGGCATTTTGATTCCACGGAATGGACCCAGTCTAGAGAAAGGTACTGTGTAACCCGGTTGGTCTGGCCAAGCTATATGAGGCGCATCGTGACAGTTGCGCAAGGAGGGGCACAGCTAGCCCCTCTCTTCCGACCACAATCCAACCCTGCCCCTCAATGACGGTTCTTGATAGGAACGGCAAGTCTGGACTCAAAGAAGACAATTGGCTTGAAGGAGTCCCGAGGAACGAAAATAACAGCACCGTCATCCTTATACCTTAAACGGCCTTTGTCGATAGACGGATGCCTAATCAAACTCGAAGCGGGAAAAGAATTAACTAGGAAGTCGGCCCTGACCCGCGACCTTACAGAAGAGAAGCTGGCCGATATGGCTTCCATGTAGGCTCGTGATCTTATGATAATTATGTGCACAGGAGGAGCAACATCTTGGCGGCCTATTGCTAAATGAATCATGGTCTGTGAGCATACAAGAACAGGACACAAGCTGACAGCGATCCATTCGCATGTATATACAACCGCACAAGAAGGCGATGCCAGGTTACCAGTGTCGCCCTAGCATCTTTAACCACACTACTCATACACGTCCCTCATCATTACGGAACCTGCGCAGTCGTCTGCGACGCGCTTCGTCCAATCTTCAGGATCTGGCGAGAGCCCATATCGTTGCCTTGTGTCCCCGCCGCAGAGAGCGCACGAGTTTAACCGATCCCCAACGCCAAAATATGCAATGTCCAGTACTGGGATACCCACCACCAGTCCGAACTCCCGTGGTTCCCTAATGTCCGCTTCGCCTCGCCCACGATGATGCCACATGGTGGAAGTCGAGCAAATATAGAAATAAAAGTTGGATGACTCAAGAGAGCTAGTTGTTCTTCTGGCTGTTGGCAGACCGTTCCTTCATCTCCACCTTCTTCTGCCCAAGGTCAATGATCCTGGGCACCAACTTCTTCTGGCTGTCAAGCTCGATGATATCGTCGCCTCCACCTATGCTCACACTATTTACCAAGATGTTGGGAACTGTCTTCCGGCCAGTCTTCTCGCCGAGGAAGGCCTGCAGCTGAGGACCAAGAGGATGCTTATCCAGTTCGACAACGTATGGTGTAGGTTCGATCGAGTACTTTTCGAGCAATAATGCCTTGGCCTTCTTCGAGTACGGGCAGTAAGACTTGGAAAAGATGATGACTTGGTCTGGTTAGCTGGCGTTCGTTCCACGAGTCTTGACGTCAACATACCTGGTGACTTCTTCAAGATGGTGTTCAACTCAACCTCGACAGCATGTTCCTCATCGCTCTCGTCCTTCTTCTCCTCCTCGTCACTTTCGATAACTTCTTTACCGTTGGCCGTCTTTTCCTTCTTCTTTTGTCCAGCGGCAGAGTTGCCCTTTCCGACGACATCGCTAGGCGCATCAGGCTTCAGTGGTGATTTCTTGTTGGCAAGTTCCTTGGCCTTGTCTTCGGCGGCCTTCAGGCGTCCTTGCATATCCTTGGCAAGCTTCTCGTCGTCGGCGTCAACGTCGCCATCGGCATCTTTGTCAACAGGCACGTGGCCAGCTGCCTTGGGCTTATTCCCTTCCAGCACCGCTTGGCCCGGCGGTTGTTTATGTTTCAACCCATTGACTGTCTTGTGGTAGAAATCTTGAATGGTCCGCTCGTCTTTGACTTCGTTCGCTCGCAGGGAAGATGTGTAGAACAAGACGAAAACGACACCAATCAACACACCCACAAGGAGGGTGCGCAACTGCCTTTGCGAAGGCATCTCGAAGATTTCGTGTCGCGAAACAGTCGACTCTTGCAAGAGTGTTTGAATGCGACGCGGGAAGCAGATTCGAGAAGTTGGTATTGAGAGTCGCAAACACGTTAATGCCGAGTGGCAGGATGGTACAACAGGCGGTGCGTCCCTCGTAAGGCTTTGTCGGTGAATGCCACGGTGGCAAGGAGTCGACAGCGGTGGGATCAAAATCGAGGAATGGCTATCGATGTGAGGCTCCCTTTTATGTAACGATGCAGAAGCCCAAGCGTATCGGAGCTTCCCCAGCAATTGGGCGCTTTGAACAGGGCGTTTCGAAGCAGGCGAGCGATGGGAGGATGGGCTAGAGGAAGTTCCCCAATAACGGCGCAGGGAGTGTGAAAACTCGTTGGTGATCGCAAGCAAAGGTATAGTGCTAGTCAATTTTCGGGTGTCGAAAAAGGGGTGCGTGGTTGTAGGCGTCGCGTGCGCTATCGTGAAGTCGAGAAGTGTCAAAAGGGGATGAAGGAGATGGTAGGTGAGCTACCTTATGGAGGTAGGTAGGTAGGAGTGGGATCGACAATTTGGCTCCCGTGACTAACCACTGCAAGTGCGCTGGCAGGATGGCAGGTTGGGCAGACGGGGCAAGTAGATGGTACACGATGCCCGAAGGCTGAAGCATGTAAGAGCCAGGTCGACAATACCTGGGAAATGCTGCTTTGCTGGCGATTTCTCATCCTGGGGGAAGAGCTGAGGTGCGTCAATCCCCGAAGCCAAACCGCGACGGAAAATACCCGGGCCACTTGAGCGCGCCAAGATTAAAGTACCTAGAACCCCGTATCTGCACATCACTATCGGAGAGCCAGCTTTGGTGGAGGTCCGGCTTTATGCACCAATCAGTTGGTCCGGGATATACCGTCTTGATCGATAAACAAGACTGTACATTACACGTCCAAATGCAGCTATTGAACAGTGTACTTCTATTCATCTACACGGCCCGGGTGATCGTCACCCTGATGGATCGTGGGCCCGTTCTCCGTGCGCAAAGGAAACATGACGGGACGGCTTGACTCGATTCGAAACAAAAACACATCTCATCTTTTCCTCGCCGGAGCCTCAGTGTACAAATCATAGTGACAGGTTGTCAATCGTCAATCTACTCAATTATTCCGCGACCGCCTCAAGACGATAAATCTACCAAGTGCCAAGTACTCCGAGGTCATCAGCATGCCGTCATAACGAAAGGGAGGCATCTCGAACCGCCAACGTTTCTTTAGCCGCTTCAGACTGAGAACCTGCTGGCGAGACGATTCTTGTCTCCGAGAAAATTGAGCAGCCCGCTATTACGGTGTTACTCGATGCTAACAGGGATACGGAAGCGCTGCTGACACAGTTTCACCAACAGACTGCCCACGATTACCAGCTTTCCCTGCAACAAATGGAGAACTTCATCCCCATATCTGACGCAATCACCGACAATCGCATTTCAGTATCCAATTCTTCTCAGACATTTCCAGCAGGTTTTTCGCGTCCACCAACGATCAACATCAAGCAAGGCACCTCGAAGATAAAGACAAGCGTCCACTGTAGCATAGGCATACAAAAGTGGTATATTCTGCATTCTAAAAATATCGCCAGCCCTATCATCGTGCCATCGTCGCGTCCCACCGATCCTGCGGCGAGTTTGGTTCTTCATCTCGTCATACCGCGCATAAACACCATACTAGGTAGCTTAGTCAACAGCCGCCAGGGCCAGGACCATGTGTCGAAAATCCGACTCATGCCAAATCTAAATACAAGCATTCGAAATCAGGCTTCCTCTCTTGCTCAAATCTCGCGCTGAAATCTGTTATGCTTGACAACAGCGTGAGCACGCAGCAACCGCATCGCAGAGTCGGCATGCCGGCTGTCGACAATATCCGCGACCGACCTCACGCGGTTTTGCCCTCGACCCATCGCCGCCAGCTTAGCCCGGTCAGGCAACGTTTGTTGCTCGCGGACTGAATGTGTCCTCATCACGCGTAGTTGTTGTGAGTCGTCGGAGTCTGAGTCGACTTGATCTGATGCATCATCGTGCTTTGAAGGAGGCGTCAGGGTCGACTCAACATAGGGCGACGGTGCTGATGGCTTGTCCGTGGCAATGAGGTTTTGAAATAGTGGTACGATGTCTCTAAAGGTCTTCATCGTTTCGGTTTCGGGCTCGACTGGCTCGACTTTCTTGTTTAACTTTGCGTGCTGATGGCTCAAGTGAGCGTGCGTTGCGGCGCGTTCTCTGTGGCGCTGGAGGTGAGAGTGAATCGACGATGGTGCGGCCTGTGCTTGCGAAGAGAGAAGCAGCAGAATTCCAAAGAGGGCAGTGGGCTGCATTATCGTAGGCGGGTACGAGTGGCGTTTTTAAATTCTGGGCTCGATCTCGAGGTGGCTGGCTGGCTGGGCTTGAGAGAATTCCAGAGATGAGGTTGGTAGACTTTCGTTCCCTTTGCCGTGTTTTGTAAATTTTGGTTGTCTTGAGGTCTAGAACGAAGCTGGCTGGAAGGGCGCGACGGTTTATATTTCAGGCTCAACGGTTTCCACCATTAGACAAATGACGCAGAAAAAAACACCACAAACGTCATCTAACGGTGTCCAAAGTTGGAACAATCACGCCAGCGTCAAACGATACAAACCCGCCTTCGATCGGAATGCGGCCCTCCTCCGTCTCGGTGTATGCCTCCCACCTAGGTCAGAACGATTCAGACCCTGTGATGCTTCAAGCCTGGTGTAACCTGTAAGCCGTGGGGCGCGAGAGCCCCCTTCCAGGGTCTGTCTGAGTCAGCCATCCAACCCCTTCCTTCACAACAACCACAGCTGTCATTAATGACCTCTTCAAAATGCCTGGAACCCCCAGAGCCAAGAAAATCGTGCAGCACCAGTGCTTCATTCAGTCTTAGGGATTGCCATACCGACTTTTCCATAGGATGCGGAGACTTCGATCGTCAGGCTATGCCCAAAATTTTGTGTACGAGTCTGGTTCAAGGGTTGTTCACAGCAGACGATTGTCGCGTCCATCAAACGACACATCATATCTAGATGAATCAGGGAAAAGCTTCATGAATTTTTCAATTTCACCATGAAGAAACAAATTATTTGCTGCTTGCCAGCTTACTTCGCTTCTCTTGAGTTGGTTTTGTCTGCCTAAGGGTAATAAAAGGCAAAAAGGGCACAGCAGAAGAGGGGAAAAGTGTCATCTGCAGCGATTAGATAAGAAACTTGCCTATTCAGGCCATCACCTCAACGCTGACTGGGCACGCTCGAATTCCCTCACCCCCTCGCCTGTCAACAAAGCCTTGCCCTCCTTCTCCTACTCCTCGCGCCCTTTCGTTTCACTTCTGCCTTCCATCTTCTTCCTCCTGTTACCCATCCTTCCTTCCTTCTTTTTAGGAAGTTTTCACTTTTTTCTGACTCTGTTTGCCCAGGCTCAGGGTCCTTCCGAGACATCTCCTCTCTTTCAGGCCGATGTAAGTCACTTTCTCCTGCCTCCCAGCCCCCCGCAGACATCCCACTTACACACTTTTGCCAACCCAGACGGTAGACCTGCCACCCCCTTCCCACCCCCTCTCTACACAAAGACATACAACCCTCACCACCCTCTGGAATTCTTGAACAGAGGCACACCGCCGAGACTTGTCAACCGTCAGCAATCTTTTCAGGTCTGGACCCTTTATCGTTGATCACCCGGGACGCAAACCACCCGGTCTCTCCACCTACGCACGACCGAAACGGGTCACAACCGTCGAGAAAAGGGAAAAGCCGAACCAACACGAACGAGTCAACAAGAAACCTCAAATAACACCACAATGTCTCACTCCACCGGCAAAGAAGACCCTTCCATCTTCCCCCTCACCGGCGGCTGCGCATGCGGCAACATCCGATACTCCCTCAATGCCCCGCCCATGGTCGTCCACTGCTGCCACTGCACCTCCTGTCAGCGTGAGACCGGCACTGCCTTCGCCCTCAACGCCGTCGTCGAGGGAGACGAGGTGACCCTCCTACCGAGCAAGGCCTCTTCGTCCGCCTCACCGCTGCAGCCGCTGGCGTCGTTCCCGGAGTCTGCCTTTGATGATTGGACTCCTAGGCAGCAGCAGCGGCAATCCAGGCCCGCCGACAATGTCCACGGGACGAGCGAGAATAGGGACAAGGGCGATGATGATACTGGCGATGCCGGCAAACGCCGCGTCGAGGCGGATATCCCTTCACCCGTGATTCTCCCCGTCCCCGCCGACTCGGGCGCCCCTCAGCACATTGCTCGCTGCCCCATCTGTCTTACGCCCATCTGGAGCAACTACGACGGCACAGGGCCGCTTATGAAGTTCCTACGCGTCGGCACCCTCGACTCGCCTGCTCCGCTGGGCGGTCCGGATGTCTACATCTTTATGCGCAGTAAGCTGCCGTTCGTCGAGGTTGCCGACGACGGTAAGCCCCGCTTCGATGAGTTCTATCCTACCAAGGAAGGCGTTTGGGGTCCCCAAGGTCTTGCGCGCCGGGAGAAGCTGCTTGTTCGGATTCAAGAGTGGCGGAAGGAGAACGGGCTGGATGGATAAGAATGGCGGTCAAAGGCGAGCGATAATTGAGAAATGGCATGTTTTGCTTGATTAGTGCTGGAATCTAGTCTTGTCTCTTGGTTCAATCCCTGCTTCTTCTTCCATGCCATATGTTTCTTCTTTCTGTATTCCAGTCCTCTTTGCTAGAGAGGGGTGACCGGCCGTATGGATCTCAAGGCCAACGCTAGGCCTGCTCTAGCCTCTAGAGGTCAACCAGTTTTCTTGCTACCTTGATCAGATTAGTTCTCACCACCAGGAGGGAGGTGATCGGCGATTTAACGTTGACACAAGCATACAAGGCAATTGGATCTAAGGGAGTAATATGAAACGTTATCATACAGCTTTAGGACTGACCAGTTCCCTGGGTCGTCTAGACAGCTTTTCGCTTGCGGTCCAGGCCTGGGAATGTCTTAGTTTACTGCCAAGGCCGAAGCAGAACCGCAGACCCCAGGCCCAGACTCCCTTTCAAGGGTTCAAATTCTACGGCTCTGGGTATCAGATGACCGTACTCCCTTAGAGATGTGCTGTTGTTGATTTATGCCCGAGTTCTGTGATGAAATCTTTGGGGGTGACTGGGACTTTGCGCAAATTCCTTTGGCGAGGAGGATAAGGTCTGGAGGATCGGTGGTCGAACCTTGCACTGTTCTCGGGAGTAGCCGTTCATAAGACATTCCTATCAGTATACAGGAATAGCTGAAGGTTATTGGGGTTGTTGAAATGCAAATGGGGGACCTCGTGGTTGAGAGCTCCGGGTGAGGAGTGAATAGGAAGGTAAGCTCAGAAGCTCGGACGAGTCAGGATTCCACTGCGAATTTACCAAATCTTGCCATCGACCCATGACATAGTCGGGCCTCTACTATATACCCAAGCTCAACCTACCTACCGTTTGTAGTCTTGACAGTGTTGATTCCCGTTTCCGAATCGGCGGGAGAGGTGTGTCTTCATCTGCTAAAGTTGACAAAACCTCGGTCATCACATAATTTTTGGGATATCAGGATCGTTAGCTTGATACACTAGTAAGTATCCATGGATATATGAAAAACGAGAACCTCCTCGCTTCGTCATAAGAAAAAGAGCAGGGCAGGTGACGCCGATGAAGGGCAGATGGCGCTGACCGTAGCTTCCTCCCCATGAAAGCATGACTACACGGGGCAGTCAGTCGCAAACTTTCATCCGATCACGTCCGCCCCCCACCCAGAGCAGCCAGATCCACCTGCCAATGTCGCAGCTCCAAACGATGTTTTTGAGATAGAAACATATTTATTAGACTTATCTTCTATCACGGTGTCCAGACGCAAAAGTACCATGCGAGATTCATAAGAGCAGACAATGCCTTGAAATGATCATCTTTGGTACCCAGATACCCCTTACCATTTGGAGGTGACTTAATAAGCGGTATGAGATAAGTCCATGTAGTCTTGGTTTATAACATACCTGACCTTAATGAACCGTCCAAAGGGATTTGCGTATTGAGCCAGAATGAGTGAGATGCAGTCGGCCATCATGCTTGAACTGATAAAGATTGCTTATATACCGCCAGGGCTCATGCTTCATCTGGCTCAACTATGTACGAACAACGCTAAATATATGTACGTGCTGCAAGTAAACGATATTTACGCAGTCTCCATCTCGAAGAAAAGGCTCTCCGACGACCATGAGACGAGCTGATGTCAACATAAACAATCCTCCGCCACATACTACCCCTGGGTATCCCGTCATCAATTGTGGAAAGACGCCCTCTTAGATACTCTTGAAGGTATCCAAGCTAGACAGGGCGGTACCCGGGTACGCGAACAGGGTGTTGGAGGGGCAGCTAGAGCCGAGGGCCTGGTTGTTCATCCTGTTGTTTGTTAGTAGGTGTCATAAAAACTAAACCTGAATTAATGGAATCTCACCATGCGGGCTCCCAGTAGTAGAGGCCCTTTCCGTTGCTGACACCGGCAACGACCTCGGCAACCTTTTTCAGGAACGTGGTCTGGCCGGCAGCGGAGAAGGGGATGCTCTTGAGATCGCTAGGGAAGGCGTACGCGGGGCTGGGGCAGCTCGTGGGCCAGTTGGTCTCGGCGACGACAATCTCCTTGCCCCATTTGGAGGCCAAGTTGGACAAGCTGGACTTGAGCGCCGCGAGGGTGGCGCCGGATCCGTAAAAGGGGTAGTAGGAGACGCCCATCATGTCAAAGTCGGTGGTCTTGAGCACGTTTTGGGCAAAGAGGCTGGTGTACCAGTTGGCCTGGAGGTTCGAGTCCCAGCCGTTGTCGAGGTGGATCATGATCTTGGGCTTGGGGCTCAGGGTCGAGTCCTTGATGCCGTAGGCGGCCGAGTTGAGGAGCTTGGCGACGTTGTACCAGTTGGACGTCTTGCCCGTGTTGAAGAGCAGACCCGCGCGGATCTCGTTTCCGATGGAGATGATTGCGGGCGGAACGCCGGCCTTTTGGAAGGCGTTGCTGACGTCCATGGTATAGTTGTAGAGCCTCCAGCTGAGGTTCTCGATATCAGAGGGCCATCCTGACGGGATGGCCTGCTTGGTCGGGTCGGCCCAGGTGTCGCTGAAATGCAGGGTGAGGTAGACGGAGAGGCCGGCCGCCTTTGCGCGCTTGGCGAGGGCGAGGTTGTAGTCGAGGTTGTAGTCACCGTTGGACGGGTTCACCCAGACGCGCTGGCGGACCGAGTTGACGCCGGCGTTCTTGAAGATGGTCTCGAGAGCTTGGGAGGTGCCGGCACTGCTCTTGTACTTGATGCCGGCCTTCTCCTCGATGGTCGTCGAGGACCAGTCGACACCCTTGTAGGTCAGGGCGGCGTTGGCCGTGGAGAGGGCGAGGAGGAAGACGGAGGCGAGGGAGGCGAGCATGTTGGGCGACGACGATCGATCGACGATGACGATGGGTTATTATCGGAACTCTCTGCTCAAAGAGAATGGAAAGAAAGGGAGACAGGAAAGGTCCCTCTCAGAGTGAAGAAGAAAACAGGCAAAGAACGAGTAAAGATTCCCTCTCTTTCTTTCCTCCTTCGTGAAATTCCTGCTCCCAAGCGTTGTATATACACCTTCCTCCACCTCTTCCTGCTTGGTGCCCCCTTTCCGGAGCATCAGCTAGACAGACCCGTCCCGTCCCTTCGTCTAATTGACGGGATCCTACGAACCCATCTCTTGGAAATCCCCGCTTCAATAGTCACCGGAAGCAAATACTCACCAGCAATCAGCAGACGACACCAGACGAAATGTAACCCTGGTATAGCCTCCCCCGGTCACAACGCCCGTCAAACAAGACAAAGAGGAGCCGACAGGCATGCGTCTGCTTCATCCATATTGCCCAGTCCATACTCTGTACTACACTACAGCTTTCGGCTACGGCAGAGAAGGGACGAACCGCTTCTGTTTGCTTACCAAACACTGCCAAAGCCAACTGCCAGCCCGGCCAGCCACAGCCTACAAGAAGCAACCAACCCGGCTTTTGACTAGACTATACTCGATTTACTCGTCCTTCCCAGTTGGCTGTGGAGAGTTTGACGTTTCATCGCGCAACTCCTTGGTCAGGGAAGAATTGGCGACTCCTCCAATCATGGCCAATTTTCCCCACCCTTTTTTGCCCATTCTGTCAACTTGGCTCAACTTGGCGAACCTTTTGTGAGGTTTGGCCCCCCCCTTTCGTTTGCTGCTGGGACTCTGGGAGGGCAGCAAGCGAGCTGCGCCCCTCAACTCTCTGGCGTAGCGGGCACTCAGGTGATCCAGCCGCCTGTTGTCAACCGGAACCCTCTCTCTTCGGCGTCAATAAGCCCGCTCTTTTCAATCAAAGTGCCGTCTGCCACTCCGGAAAGTCGTCAGCGTAAGTGCGGGTCGTAGGAGAAGGCCCGAGCTGGCCAAAGGAGTGGCTTGCGTACCCGAGATGACAGGTTGAACAGGTTCATCCCTGGTCTGTTTCAGTTTCCGAGATCGCCCTTTGAAAGATGAGAGAGAAAAAGGAAGAGAACGAAACATTGTGTTCGGAAGCCGTTGGCGCGAGCTTCTCTCACACGTGGTACTTTTCCCAAGGTTAGAGCCGATGTAATCCGGCTAGAACGGAAGACCTTCTTTATTTTGGTTTTTTCGTGCTGACATTTTGACAGGGGGGATGTTGAAATAAGCTTGGTCCGGAGCCATGATCCGAACACCTGCAACTTATCCCCGAGCGCAGCTTTAGCGAATGTCTATCCTCATGTCCGACTTATCAAATTCTCCGGGCTTATCGAGAACGCGGAGAAGGGCAGTTGTCTGCGTCATGATTCATTTATTGTCGAAAAACACAATCAATCGGAATATGATGGAATATCCATACCTACAATCACTTCAACCCAAATTCAACGCAGCTCTGAAGTTCAATTGCATTGTTGGAGCGAGAAGTGAGCTATAGTCGGAATACCATCCGAGTTGAGATGACAGCCGTCGGCGCTAACTTGTTCTTTGACCAAGCTGGGGTGGTGCAACACCGTCACGAGGGCAGCAATTTCTCACCCAATACGGAGTAGACAACATTACCCCGGGAAACGGAACTCGGCTCGCTTCGTCGCTGCAGCCCATCCCGCACCATGTGTCACTGTGTGTGTTTGTGACCTCGCTGCCTTCTTTTTTGAATATTTGCCGTGGATCGTGATGTCGGCAGGTCAGCTACGTGCAGCAATAGCGGGCAGCCGCAAAAAATCAGATTAGCAGTGGCCCGTGGGGCTCCAACGATGGGATGCGCGCCAATGATGCATCGTCAAGTTGCCCCAGAGGAAAACCACTAGCCCCGGATTCCGGCTCTTTTCGAGAATAGATTCGTGGAACATCATGATCCTTGGGCGGCTGGCTGGCTGTCACTTTCTTAAAGTTTTTGTGTCTTTACCCCACGATTGTTACCCCACTGGATGATGTCTGCTTTCTCTCTCTCGACCTGCCGTTCGCCGAAGATGCGGGATGATGTCGGCATTGAGACTGGTTTGCTTGTGACAACTGATTCCATGGAAGCTTCTCGATGCCCGTGCTAGTTGCTGTTGAGGGCACTAGGTCAACAGACGGACCTGGCCTGGTGAGCTGGCAACTGCCAAGGTAGTCTTCTACGGGCATTGGATTTCTTCCGAGTACCATCTCGTCTATATGGTAGCTCTAGGGGAAAGGCGCCGGGTAAACAAATAGGCGACCTTCCCAATGCGACCAGCCTCCGGATCTCGCCTTCTCAGTATGAGAAGAAGAGTCGGAATGCTGAGGCGTCAAATGAGCGAGGGACAACTCTGCCTTGGCATACTCGATCGAGACACTCACTGCCGGCGGGATCTTGGGTTACTGGGAGGGGTTAAGGCCAAGACTTGGAAATCCTTTCAAGAAGAACCGATACCCCAGACTGGGCTTGACCTCACCAAGCTCGCTGTTGACAAACCTGACGTTGACTGTAAGCTTTCACAGCGGTAGCAAATAACTTCGCAAGCTGTGAGGAATGCTGCTGAACTATCAAAGCCTCTTGACCAAAGTTTCCATGCGCGGGGCCACTCAAGAAAACGAACAGGACAGTCAGACGGGATTGCTTACATCTGGCTGAATGCTGGTCAACACCCCGGATAATACATCCTTACCCGAACACAGAATGCGAGTCGTCCACTGATAATCCCAAACAGTCCACTGATAGCCTGCTCTCTTGTTGTTCCATCTCTATCCACGTGGTCACACTCAAGTCTACGAACAGAAGCCTCAAGTCGGACGTTACTCAGTCCCATGGCTAATCCGTTCATCGAATCCTTACACCACGACCATCCTGACTGCCGGGTCCAAAGCATGAACCGCCCACTCAACTGGCGTCTCAAGGATGCACGTCTCTTGATCACGGTTTTTCAAATACATGTAGCTATGCCAGTTCACGAACAGGACACTCAAATCGGATTTACTCTACAAAAGTAACCATGACTGGACTGGGCTGGCCTAGCTGTTCATCGATTCTCTTATATAAGGCCATCCCTAACCGCCGGGAAATCCAAAGTACGAGGCGTCCAGTGACGTCCCAAGCTTGAGTGAACTTTAAAACCAAGACAATAAACGTTGGAACCTTTGCCGAGCGAACATCGCTATTTAATACAAATCCAGCCCGGGGCTCTGGGTCCTACTCACGACCAACTGCCAAAGGTAATTTTCTGTTTCCCGTCGTAACAAGACCAAAGTACCGTCCGGCACTTCAGTTTACACACCTGACGGGAGTAACAAGTCGCAGGGACGGGTTCAATATTCTTGACTATGTGAAATACTCCAACAGACGAGCTCGGCATAGAAACTTCTTCATTCCCGAAACGTGTAACCCATAGCTACCGCCATGCGCCTTAAGTCAAGCCCAGCCACGGCAGATCTGCGTTTCTTCCCGCAGGTCATATGATCCATCCCACTCTGTGCCGAAGGATCGCGGAGCCCAACTTAACCGCCGACTCCGATAACCCGATGGCCCCCATTGCCCGCTGGAACGCTTGGCCGCTCGCTAACTCCCACTGCCGCATACAACCATCCACCGCCCCGGGGTTACCCCCATATATGCTTCATTCGCCACACCGAAACCCCCGTCCTCCGGTCCCCCGAGTCAAGCAATGCCGGAGGCGTCGTCATCTCCACTCACCTACGCGGAGAGGAACCTCCTGTGTTCTGGCTCCCAACTCCCACCCCCCTAAGCCTCTCTCCCTCTCCGCCTCTCCTGCGGCGCTCCGCGGCCCCGAAAACAAGTCAACGTTCCTGAGCCCCATTTTCCCGCTCTTCCTTCCCGGTCGGGCGTATGGAAGCGGGGAGGCTTCCCCGATGATTCCCTTCTTATCCAAAAACGGACAGTATACTATTTATACACACTCTCCAGAGTTCAGGTTGGAAGACTACTTTCAACCCGTGCCTGTCATATGTCAAGCACCTGTCAGCCATACCGATTTTCTTCTCCCAACTTTCCCTCTGTTCGGCCTCCCACATGCTTCTGCTTTGCTCCTTCCCAGAGTGGTGTACACCGAAAAGCCCTCATCTCAACTCCCAACGAGAGTCTAGACCTCGCTTCTACTAGAATCCTAGGGAACCTCGGCAACAGACACCCGACAGACAGGGCACAACGGTCGAGAGAAGCCTAGAGGGGCAAGAAACACAGATCGGCCAGATCTACCGTAACCAAAAAGCTAAGATGGAACAGCCCCTAAGAAAAAGAAAAGACGGATCATGGTTCAGTAAGCCCCAATACCAGCGGTAAGACCTGCCTTGAGGACACTCTACTGGAAGAGCTTGCGGGAAAGGAGAGACACACAGAGAGAGAGAGAGAGAGAGAGAGAGAAAGAGAGAGAGAGACAACCTTGGAAAGGTGCGGCACAGGACCGGCCGGCCGGCAGACGTCAATCACATGGCGCGCATGAACGTCGACTAGGCCGCCCCTCGGCATCGCCAAAAAGAGTGTGTGTCGGGAAAACTCGTCCGAACTGAGCAAACAACACCACCTAGCTACCGGTAAGCAGCTGTCAAATCTTGTATGCGAGCAGATGGCATGTTTAGCAAGGCAAGCACATGGCCGGGACAATCCAACGTCTGTTCGTCTCTTTTCAGGGATGGTCCCTCGTCACAGGGAAAACTTGTCCGGCCTTGTTTTCGTTTTTCAACAAATCAAATCCGTGATGTCATCAACTTCATATGCTAGAAATGTGTCAAAAATATGCTCTGCCTGAGCTGTCCTGGCCGTAGAACCCCGCTATCAGCCGTTATATGATATCCGAAAAAAACACCGTACCCATCCATTCCCGCGAAAATGCTTGACCACAATCCCTCATAAAATCCTGACCCATATGTGTGTGATGATGATAGATCCCCATCTCGTCATTTCCTCTGAACGGCCTGTGATCTGCAAGGAGACAAGTAAAGTCGAAACAAAAGTGACCCGTTCATGCGTAATGCCTTCCGTCCAGAGGTTACCCACCCGCAGCCTTGCCACATGAAACTCCTAATATCCGTGACTCCTGCCATTCCAGTCTTATGTGCACTTCTCATGCCGTCACGATCGGTCAATCTAAGCATTCGCCAATCTGGAGTTTGCGTGATCCCATACATCGAATGTGTCTGCGTAATAGCCAGCTGTTGCGCTTACACTGCGTTCGCCGGGACCGTGATGCCCGTCACCGGGATTTGCTGTGCTTTTTGAAAAACACCAGTCAGAATCTCGATGTGGTTCACAAAGGACTCGGCAGTCATGTTGTGGCCCTTTTCTGCCTTGCTTTCCTCGGTAACCCAGTCTGAACCCCAGACTTCTGGTGGAATGATGGTGTTCTTGTAGAGTGCAATCCGCACAGGCCACTCAAGGTGCTCCCACCAGGGGCTTGTGGCTTCAAACTGGGAGACAATGCCCATGACTTCTCTCCGAGCAACACCATCTAGCCACCACACTGCTGACTCGAATCCTTTCAGCAGCGCGAAGAAGCAAGCAAGAATCGTCAGAGCGCGAGGTCGACGCTCTTCTAGCAATTCAATGAAGCGCTTTGACACCGTGGCGGGAAAAGCGAGGGCGGCGCCGCGATGAGGCAATTTGTGTGCCCAGTTGAGAACGGCGATAGCATGCTGGTACGATTGCCTGGTTGACATGGCCATAAGAGTGTCTTCGGTTTGAAGCTCCTCGTCCAAGTTGTCGAGCAACTTTCCAAAGAAAGAGGTGGGCGAGGTCGCATCGAGATCCAGCTGGAGGACGGGTTGAGAGTCGATGATGGGAATGACAACGCCGCTATTGCGAATCCAAGGCCAAGATGTTGCCACGACCGTTTTGACACCCTGGAAAGCGTGAAACCAAGAAAGTGGTAGAGAATAGGCACTTGAAGGGTCGCTCGGGTCGGCTTCGTCGCGGATAAAGATTCGTGTAGCTGTTGACTGGAAAGCAATCAGAGCTGCTGTGAGGAAGAGAGACTCGGCGTTGGCCTCAGTAATGCCGTTTTGCAAAGTTGTGCAATATGCCGCTAGCGAAGATGCCATGTACGAATGAGATGCTCTGATGAGTGCCCTGTCGTCTGGATTGAAAGAGCGCAGGTGTAATGCAGCCACGGCAAGCATAGCATCCGCCAGGTAGGTGGCACCGCCGAAGGCCAGCCTCGGAACCGTGTTTGTCCAAATATCCTGCGTGGCGGGTGTGTTCACCACTAGCGTACGGGAAGTCATGGAAGTGAATTGGTGCATCAACCGTAACTCGAGAAGTCGATTATTGGGTGTCGTCGTAGCAGATACGGCAGCAGTAGAAGGAGTGGTGTAGAGCGGTGAGCAGTTCATGGCAGGTGGTGAGCCAGAAAAAGAGGGCGTCTTTGCCCGGTGTGCAGATGGGGACGGCGCTGTGGACGAGGCTCTGTCAATGGGAGACTGTGACGATTGGGTATTCGAGGGTGTGAGGGCGGTGAGGAGTTCGTCGAACATCTCGGGGTTCTCGAAGTCACACGGCACGCCGTGCTTGAGACAGTTGCCGCACCTTGGGTGGACTTCATCGCACTATCAGGGTGCCAATGTCAGTCAACAGAGGCATACTTTGTAAAGGCGACCGGAAGCGAAGTATGTAGAGGGGCGACGGTACCTTGATCTTGCGCGACTTGCAACGCTTGCAGCCGGCTCTCGACTTTTTGTGTGATCTCCTCGGAGGCATATTGGCGACAGTTGATGTTGATGATCAGATGCCAAAGCAGTGATCAGGTCGGCGGGGTCCCACTCTATAAGGTGAGCGTGGGTTGGTCTTCACGTGTTGTCAACGGGGGGTCAATGTTGACGTCGACGTCTGTGTCTCGTGGGGGCTCAAATATGGTAGGCCGAGGAGCATGACAGAAAGGCAATCTTGTTGACGTGATGCAGCTGTTGAAGAAAGCTGGGGGCGGTGTAAGTCTTTAAGGTGTTGACAGCCGCCAAGGGCAGTTGGTTGAATGAGGCAGATGGGAAGGAAGAAAAGAAAAGAAGTGAATGATGGTGTCGAAGTTTCGGGGTAGACTGGCTAAGTTGTAGTTGTGGAGATTGACGATTCGGGGTTCGAGGGACCGGGGGCCCAGGGATGTGCGTGTTGCGTTTGCGCTGTTGTGGGCCCAAGTGCTGGTCCTTTCTCTTTATGGGACCGTCAACTCCGTACGGATAACCAAGAATCAACAAGACAACAAGACCAGAAAGGGAATCCGTATCGTAAAAGCAAGAGCACAACTTGTTATGAGGAGGCAGAGGACGGACCAAACCCAAAGCTTGGACCAAAGTACCGGCAGTGCTGGATGCAAATCCCTTTTGTGAGGTTTAAGCAATGGAGGCAAACGAGAGAAGGAGGCTACCTAGTAGGCAGGGTTTTGGTTGAAGCAAGGAAGAAGAATTAAGGTAAGGTTGGGAGAAGTCGAGTTGAACGCCGGGCGGGTTGTAACTTCCAGGTTGTTGCAGTCAAGGTGACGGACGAGGTGTGTCACTATCGGCGTCGGGGGAGGACGGGGGTCGGAGAACGGTGTCAAAGTCACAAGTTTTGATTCTTTCTTTCTTGTCTGAAGAATGAAAAGACGTTTTCTCCCCTTTCTATTTAGCGTTGAACGGTTATGTTGTGGTTGCCCGCTGATTGCTATGCTGTCGTAGGGCAGAATGGAAGGAGAAGGAGGCGCAGGGGGGGGGGAGTGGCCCGGATGGGGAGCAGGGAGCAGGTGCGGGCAGCAGCAGCAGCAGCAGCAGCAGAGTCACTGACATTTGCGGCCGTGGGCCATGGACTGCGGGCTGCGGGCTGTGCAGCCTGCCCTCCACACTGACCGAATCGAGTTGCGGCGAATTGTCAACTCAGACCCCACAGTAATACCAGAGGTACCTCTTAACCTTGTTGCCGAACGGATAGGCAGGTACAAGTCCGTCTCTCCTTACCGCCGTACAATTGGCAAGTACCTCACTTCCTTTCGGGTAAAATTCCAGCTACGCATGAGACTTTCCATCTGTCACCGTCATGCTCCGCCACGCCATGGTCTACGCTGACATGATCCACACCTCACCCTTACACTACCACAATCCGCAAGAATACACAGTCCGACAATGAGACCAAAATCCGCGGAGCCGACGACATCAACAAGGGAAACGGAATTACGGTAGCCAACATGCATAGCTGCAGTCTGTAGAGAGCATACGGATGTGCTACGAACCTAGAGGATGTAGCCACCAGGGCTAATGCAACTTTCCTCACCCCTGTAGCTCCACAAGTACTTTCATAAGGCGGCTCGGCTCTTCATGGGGAATTCTTGCTACGGACAACAGTACCTACGAATTCAGCGTTGAGAATATCCCAAAGCACACCCATTTGGGATATCAACCGTCCAGTTGAGTCCATCGTGTCATCTACCTTGAACTGCCTGGCATGTGCGCTCGCTCACGCTCAGCATTCATAACCTGTCCCGTGCCTACACCTCCTGAAGACTACGCTTGGAATAAGGTACGAGGTACGGAGTACGAACCCGACACGTCAACTTCATCGGACCCGGTCCCCGTCCGCTGTGGCCAACACACCGACCAGCTGGGCAGCAGCAGCAGCAATAGCAAGGTAGCAAGACCGGACAGGGCAGGGTTCAGAGTCTAAACGTCACAGCCAAATATTCCGTGGCTTTTGCAACGACCACGACGGGTACCGTTTCCCACTGACTGAGCAAAAACTGCGCCGTGCGTTCTTTTCCCTACAAGAAAGTTCCTTTCCATGTAGGATAGCGGACAGTGGAGGAATTACAGTCCGCGGTGTCCCCGCTTGGGCGTTTCGCTTCTTGACGGAGGAGTAGAGACGACACGGCCGAGAAGCTGCGAGATTGGTCGGCATGACCCCACGACGAGACAACCTCCCACACGGAGCGGGCGGGTGAGCGGGCGGATCGGAGGAGAGCGCCTGCGGGCTTACGCCAGTTGCCTCTGTCAAACAGAAACCCTCACTTCTTGTCGTTCTCGTTGTCGCCTCTGGCTGCCGGAAGACTAATGGTAGGGTAGGGTGAGATGTCAAATCATCCCTCAGCCCTGCTCTCGGTGCCAGCACCAACGTCGCCTGGTAACCTTTTCAAAACACTTTCTGCCTCCGACTCCTGTTTTCCTTCGGCACCTTTGCCGGCGGGATAGGAAAATCCAAAATCTGAAGTTACCTCCAACATGAGTCGGGGGCAAGGGATGACGAGCCTGCATGGTCCGGGCGAAATGCAGAACACAGAGATTGCCCGACGGTGAAGCCCAGCAGACAGACCAAACGTCAGACGAACGAGATTGATGAACCCGACTCCGCGTTGTTCATCCTCGTGGAAA